CCCTGGCTGCAGACTTTTACGGTTCGAACATGGCAGCATACGGTTGTTCCTTCATCGGGTACCAAGACACCCTCTTGGCGAACAAGGGAACGCAAGTTTTCTCGAACTGCTACATCGAAGGATCCGTCGATTACATCTGGGGTTTCTCGACTGCCTACTTTCACCAGTGCTACATTGCATCGAATACCGCAGGCGCGTACATCGCCGCGCAGAGTCGATCCTCTTCCACTGCCGCTGGAGGGTACGTGTTTGACAGTTGCTATGTGACCTACACCAACACCTACGGTACCACTTTTGGTCAAACGTACCTCGGCAGGCCTTACTCTCAGTACAGTATCGCCGTTTACATGAACTCCTACCTGGATAAGCACATCAACAGCGCCGGATGGAGTATCTGGTCTACCAGTGCACCCCAAACTGACCATGTCACTTTTGGAGAGTACAACAACTCGGGTCCTGGAGCATGGTCGTCCAGCCGTGCGTCATTTGCGACCAACCTGACTGCAGATGCTGCCAGCGCGTACACACTTTCGTCCTGGATTGGAGATACAGCCTGGTTGGACATGACAGGGTATAACTATGTTCCTTCCTATAGCCTTACTGGACCATCTACCAGCACGAACACGAGCACTACCACTCCTACCTCTACTGCTACCCCCTCCGCCACCGCAACTGCAACGTGGGGCCATCCCACCAGCGGAACCACTCCCCCAGCAGGCGCGCTCATTGTCTCTCAAGGGGGCTCGGTGAACGGATCGTATAGCAACTTGACAGATGCATTGGCTGCTTTGCCCAATGACGCTTCGACCCAGGTCATCTTCATGTATCCTGGCACCTACACCGAGCAGGTCCCGTCGATCAACCGGAAGGGGCCTGTTCAGATCATCGGTTACCAGTCTGGAAACCCTGGCGAGACTTACAGCACCAATCAAGTTACTATCACTTTTGCCCGCGGCCTGTCTGTGTCTCCACTGCCAACGGGTCACTCTGACGCGGAGACGGCAACCCTGTCGACCGCCAGCAACAAGATTGCGCTGTACAACATAAACATCATCAACAGCGATAACTTGGATGGATCGCAATCGTCTTACGTGACGCTCGCCGCTTCGATCTATGGTTCACAAATTGGCTTCTATGGCTGTAGCTTTATCGGCTGCAAAGATACTCTCTTGACGGGCAGTACTGCCGGATATCAGTACTACGAATCATGCTATATCGAGGGCGCAATCGACTTCATCTGGGGATACTCCAAGGCCTATTTCAAGGGATGCACCATCGGCGCCAAACGAGCAAAATCTGCGATTACGGCGCAGAGTCGAGCATCCTCTTCTGCTGTCGGTGGATACATATTCGACGAGTGCACATTTGAGGCCGCTCCGGGTGCAACAGTCGATCTAACCCAGAGCGTGTACCTTGGTCGTCCGTACTCGGCGTATGCCCTGGTGGTGGTCAAGAATTCGTACCTGAGCGATATCATCCAGCCCGCTGGATGGAAGATCTGGAGTGCCACCGACCCCCGTACGGACCACATCACATTCGCCGAATTCAACAATTCAGGCCCGGGTAATTGGGAGAATAATGCAGCTGCTCGACAGGCTTTTGGGAATTGTACTCTGCTTACCTCGGACACTTACACTCTTGAATCAGTCATGGGGTCGACTGACTGGATAGATCTGACATACTGGGACGCTGTTACTATTCCGACTGGAACCCCGACTACTACGGCTACAGCGACCGCTACTCCTATTGTTTCTCCGACTCCGTATGATGGAACTGTTCCTCCTGCTGGAGCGTACATCGTGTCGAAGACGTCGATTGGAAATGTTACTACTTACGACACTATCCAGAGTGCGCTCAACGCCCTGCCCACTTCAGGTAAAGTGGCACCTACAGTATTCATCTACCCGGGCATCTACGAGGAGCAGCTTGTGCTCAATCGTTCTGGAACCACGATTCTCATCGGCTACTCAACCTCGACCTTCGACTACAACAGCAACCAGGTCACTATCCAGTATAACGCCGGTGTCGATACCCAGGCCGACCAGTCCAACTCGGATAGTGCCACTGTTTATGCCACCGGCAACTACATCCAGGCTATCAACATCAACTTTGTCAACAACTTTGGTGCAACCAAGAACTATGCATCGCTCGGTTTCGCGGTCAAGTCAAGCAAGTACGCCTCCCTGTACGGCTGCCAGGTGAAAGGGAACCAGGATGCGCTCCTAATCAATGGATATCTGTTCGCCAGCAACAGTTATATTGAGGGGAACATCGATATGATCTGGGGATCTGGGGCTGGGTACTTCCTCAAGTCGACCATTGCGCCTAATAAGGACGGCATCAATCTGACGGCCGATAAGCGGTCTACAAATACAAGTGCAGCTGGGTTCGTCTTCGACCAATGTACTATCGTTCCGTCGACTGGTGCCGGGACAATGTCCGATATCTCGCTCGGCCGACCATGGAACTCTTTGGCTCGCGTGGCGTACGTGGATTCGTACCTTGATTCATGTGTGACGGCGGCCGGATGGGAGCAGTGGTCGTCGAGTACCCCAAACACCGATGGGGTGGTATTCGGTGAGTACGGCAACTATGGGCCTGGCGCGTCGACTGCTCAGCGTGCCTCGTTTGCAACTCAGTTGGATGATAGCGGCGTTTCTCAGTTCCAGTTGTCAAGTTTCTTTGCAGTTACATCTTGGATTGATTTCACTCATGTCAGCGGGACTCCCTTCGTTCCTGGAATTGCAATCAGCACAAGTGTGCCTGTGAGCTCAGCGACGCCGACCTCGAGTGCCGTTGTTACACCCTCGACTGTGACAACTACAATGACCGTGACGGATAAGGAGACTGTGTACACGACATTGACCTCGACTGATGAGACTTCCACGGCCAAGTATACCGTCACGGAAGATGTGGGTACAACTCTGACTGCGGCCGAGTCTTTCAAGACAACGACGCAGAAGACTACCGTCACGGACACGGTTATTGTCACTGAGCCGACAGTGACGATCACGAAAAAGGTTGTCATTACCAGCGATGTCGGCCTCACTGCTACACCGGCTCTAAGCACGAGTACGAGTACGGTGAAGCAAACTACCACGCTTATTGCAACAGCTACCCAGGCGCCGTCTACCGTCACTGTCAAGAGCACGTTGACCTCTTCCGTGACCACCACGGTGACAGCCAAAGCAGTAACAACAACAACAACTGCCGTGAGCACAACGACTGCTACCACGACATCAACACCAAGAACAGTCAAGGTAACGTCGACCGTCACTGTCACTAGGGGTACTGGCGGCACAACCACTATCACGGCCAAGGCTACCACAAGCACCGTTAGCGTTACCTCCACGGTCTCCAAGTCCAAGACTATCACCACTACGATTGACTGCATTCCAGCCGCAGAGGTGAAGCGGAGTGTAATCCCTCGCGCTGTTGCCGCTGCGACTGTCACCGACTACACCACGCTCACAACAACCGTCAAAATGTCGACAGTCAAACTTCCTGCGCCAACTGATATCATCACTGTGGTCACTACCAAGACAATCGGCAAGACGACGACAATCCCAGCCTCAACTAGCACTATTACCGTCCTGTCAACAGTCACCAAGGGCACGACCAGCACCATCCCAGCGGTAACCAGCTATGTCACACAAACCAGCATCTCAACCATCGGAAAGACTACCACCCTCAAGGCTTCTACCACCACGGTGACTGTTACCTCGCTCGCAACCAAGACATCAACTATTACCATGGTTGGCGCAACTCAGACTGTCACCAGCCTAAAGACAACAACGATCGAATCGACCGTTTCGCTCCCTCGGAGCACACTCACCGTGACTAAATCGACCGTCTCGACGATCCATTCGACCGTCACGCTCGCCACTCCTACCAGCACGGTTGTGAAGACGACAACATATAGTCTCAAGCCTTCGATGACCGTTACTTCCCGGGCCACGAGCACCAAGATAACAACGGTAAAGAAGACAGTCACGCAGACGCAGACGGTGACTAAAACGTCCAAGGGGGCTGGGACCTGTCCTACCAACTAATTGACCTTAACCTATTACTTTATCGAACCTTTCGACATAATGTTTAATTGCATTGAAATATAGAGTCCGAAATCGGGTTCTATATTGTATATACAATGAGTTGATTTCGAGCCCGCTTTTCTTTATCTGGCAAGATTGTATTTTAAAATATGTTTCGGCGACCAGTTTCTTCGAACGAAACGATTCTGTGCTTGAGTAAGCATAAGCTGCATGGTTCCTGTATTATTACAACTCTAAATATAAACCACAACACCATGACGTCGACGAGCCAAGAGCCCAGCACAAAATGGCTCGGAACCTCGATTCCTGGCAGCGTAACATGATCGTCCATATGATATGCAGCAAGGAAAGATGGCCCAGGCAGCAAAATGTAGTGAACACTCCGTCACTAAAATACGCAGGAAGATAAGATTGTTCGGCACCGCAAGCTCTCCCCCCATCCGTGTCGGCCGGTTATGCTCGATGCCCTCCGTGATCACCTTTTCGAAAAGTCCACCCCTATACATTGAGGAAATGGCTGTCTACCTATGGGACGAATTCGGCCTGGTACCTTTACTCGGCAACTTCACTGCCATCCACTGGGGTCTTCACTAGTCCAGTGTTACTTATTTCAATGATTGGAGGGGGCCGATGGTCCAGACCTGGCGACAGATCCAGGTTTGAATCTTCGAAATTATGCGAACCGAGGATCCAAGTCCTACATAATTACCCACAAAGATAGTCATGGAATCCTGCTAAGTCATGGACCAAAGGATCCATGGTGTCTTCTCAATCCGCCAGCGGCAGCTGACGTGCCTTCGATTGTATTGATTCAGCGCAATAGGCCTCTCCTTCGCAAATAGGGGCAGGAGGTTGTTCAGTTTGTGTGTAGTCCGTATCCCTCGCTAGCGAAGACAGCCATCAGCATCAACAAGCTTTTTCTTTTCTTTGGCAGAACAATCAGCAACAATGTCTGACCATATCATCAAAACTCTTCGCTTTGAAGGTAAAGCCGAGGGATGGTTTGACCCGCCCCCGCAGCCCCTCAATGTCCAGCGCGAATATCTTTTCTCCGCAGTGCGCATGACTATAACCGGAGCCGCCGACAAACGAAATCATGACATTCGTGTGTCCTTGACTTCTAAGCCAAACGACGACCATGTCAACGGCATCTTCGCCGTAGTGCCCGACAAGGAGCCGTCCACCAAGGGAGCCTGGAGCCTCTCGCGTCTGCTTCCTGATTCGGCGTACAACGTTCATTTCTCTGCCGGAGGATTTTCAGACGACGAGCATGTTTTGATCATAGTCGAGCTTCTCAAGCTGGACTCAACTGTCGCAGCCGTCACTCGCAACATTCTTAGAGATACCGAGGCTGGTGACAATAGTGTGAATGCACTCACGTTTGGGTTCTCTGAGGCGTCCTTTGCACATCTTATGGTACCCCCGAGTAGCTTGCCTGAGGTGGAGGTTGGTCCAGTACCGTTCCTCAAGGTCAGGCTGAGCATGGAATCGCTGGAGTTTCCGTGGTACCCCATGGTATACATTGATGTAGCCGCCGAGGAGCTCGTCATCGCAGGTAATCTGCAGCTCGCCTTCTATCGCACTACGGATCCGGCACAATTTCCTGAACCCGTCGCCGTGGTTCTGGTTCAGGTGTCAGTCCGGTGTAGGCCAGCCATGGCCACGATGACTGAAGAGATCCTGGAGCTACACTTTGTGTGCGCTAAACTATTAGGTTCGATCTCTGTCAATGTTAGGGATCCAAGCGCGGAGACTGGCGTGGCTGGTGGCTTCGGGAGTGTCGTCGAGTTTGAGAAGAGTGTCAACGACTACATCACCCAGATCACCAGTAAATCGGGGGAATTGGGCTTCGCGCTGCCGGCATACCTTGAGTCGCGCCCGCTGCCAGACTACTGGCACCGAGTGCTGAACATGAGGCTGGAGTTTCTGAGATTTCAGTACAAGACGGTCCAAGTTCACGGCCGGCCTATCTCATATCTGTTTCTTGTCTTTTCTATGAGCAGCCTGAACCTTCCGCCGCCCTGTTATTGCGAGCAACCATCTCTGACACAGGCGGCGTCGGAAACAGACGATAGCTCTATGCCGACTGTCTTCGAGGCTCTCCAGCAGCAAGCAAAGTACGGACGGTTACTGCCGAAGAAGTGGAGCAAGACAGTCACGGAGAACCGCACCGACTATACGGATATTCTAGGCGCGGCGCAGGTCGCAGCCTTTGGGATGAGCCAGAAGGCGTTCCGGGAGATTGCGAAGCTGTACGCTAATTTCGGTAGCGACCAAAGCTCGTCAACATCAGCCGACGGGGCTATATATGCCTCGGTGCGCTTCTGGTACAGGGTGTCGCTCGATACGGCAAAGATACGAGAGGACGGTATTGAGGCTGTCATCGACCTTGCAGGCGAGGGGTCCGCTAAGGCCGCTGTGAGGGACCGCTGCGGGCACGACGTGCTTCGTGCGAGCGTGAGCCTACGTCTCACGCTTCAGAACAACTCTATCACCTGGCGGCCCTACATTAGTGTCAATAACACAGACCCCGCGGAGATGACCATCGCTGCTGTCGCCGATGCGCGAGTGGGCGACCCTGATGTTGACTTTGACTTTGTCGGAGGACCGCCGGCGCCGGTGGACCAGGTCATCGACTGGGTCCTCACGCAGCTTACCGAGGGCACCAAGAATAGCCTGGGGAAGATAGCATCCGACCAGTTGACTATCCGCCTCGTCCGTACCCTTGAAGACAACGGCAAAATTCGGCTCCGGTTCGCCGCCAACGAGTTCTTTGAGGATGAGGCTTTTGTGCTCCTAGGACAACTGTGGTCCCAGAATTGGCGATAGGATTCTTGTGTCATTCACGTCGATAACGCACTGGCTGGAGAAAAGTATTGTTGTTTGTGAGTTGCCTCGGCAAGCGAAAATTGACTGTGTGCTCTCATAATAGTCTTAAGCCTTCGGCAACCGTTACTTCCCGGGCCACGAGCACCAAGACAACAACCGTAAAGAAGACAGTCACATCTAAAACGTCCAAGGGGGCTGGGACCTGTCCTACCTCATAATTGACCTTATCATCTTACTTTGTCGAAGCACATTCACAGTGTTTCAATTGCATTCAAATATACACATTAATCATAACTCATAACCAAACAATCACAACTCCGCTGCTCTCCCATACATCCCAACATAAAAATCGAGTAGATCAAGGCGGCAACTGACTCTTCGACTCCTCAGGGAACTTCCTGAACAAATCCGCCAGATGATCAATCGGCGCAGCCATCAACCCGGCAACGGTCTCAAACGGCGGCTTATCAGGCGCACTGGGGTGGCTCCTCGTGGGGATAAACTTCTTCGTCCGCATGAACTTCTTCGTGTGCTTCTCCGAGTCGTCCTGATCAAGCGTCTTCTCCAACGAGGGCAGATCCTCGCTCTCTTCCTCTTTGATGTGCTGGCCTAGATTGTTCCAGAGGGATTTGAGCGTGGGCTCGAACTCGGGGTCCTCGGGGGAGAGGCCCTGGAATTTGTAGAGGTGTTCTTTGACCTATTTCATGTTAACACAAGAACTTTTTATTTGGAAGAGGTAAGGGAGACGAGGGAAAGGGAAAGGCGTACAATCTGATGCTCCGCGCGGTCCTTATCAGCCATCTCCTTCCCGTTGGGAAGGTTCTTCTCCATGAGAGGGTAGACGATTAGCTCCTCGCCGATGGAGTGGCGGGCGAGTTCCCATGTGAACTGGTTCTGCCAGCGGGTTTTCTCATCGGAGGTTTTGGCGGAGAGGATCTTGTTGTAGGCTTCTTCGAGCTCGCGGTGGTCGTCTTTGATTGCGTCTGCGAGGCGGGTCATGGTGGGCGAGGTAATTGCGAAGGTGCGGTTCTGGATAAGTTTGGATGTGAAGGGTGTGACTGTGGATGGTCTGAGGGTGAGTGTTGTTCTGGAGGCGAGGCAGCGGGGGAACATGGTTAAGTTATAGATATGTTGTAGGCAGTGCTAAGACGAGGGGTTGAGGCTGTTGTAGCAGTACTTTTATATACTTTGTGGTGGATGCGAGTGTATAGTTGGTAAGCTAGCTTGGGGGAGATCATCTCCACATGCCCCACACTGAAGGTTGGCCAATCACACAGCGGGAATTACCAAGTATGAGCATGGAATGAATGTCATGTTCACGTCATGTTCTAGACTTGTCGGTATGGTTGCATTCCTTTCTTGAATTGTCCTGGTGAATTGATTAAGAGTGCTGTTCACAGTGACGTACTGACATTTCTACATATTCCAACAACTTCCTTGAAACGATGAATAGAAATCAAGGAGTGTTCTCGAGTCCACGGAATGATACGCAAATATGAGCTATGCCAATAAATAAACTTGCATGAGATGCGGAAAACTGTCAGTGTCATTGACATAGCTTGTCTTGTTATTAATACCTAGCATCTGATTCGACCATTCTACAACTAGTGCCAGGGTCCTATGACCGCCTCGTGATGCAAACAACCGAATAGAATCATGATATTCCCAGCATTGATCGAGATCGAGGTCGAGGTTCTCTCATATTGGCGAAATCGGCAAACATTAGCGGTATACGATTCAGATCATACGATCAAGGCCATGCTCTCGGAGAGAGACGATTTTATTTGCAATTATGGCAGGAGTATTTTCATTGTAGGATTTATCTTGTAGCTTTAACGTGGTGAGGTCACCATCAAAAGCAACATACACCTCTTTTCGCTTCGAAGGACCTGCTCCAATGGATCCAATGGTATCAAGCAACATCCCATTGGACTATATAACTTGACTGCAGAATCTGATATACCGCTATTGCAAGACATGCCACATTAGCCCGCCGCTATAGCACCACCATATGTTTCGACTCCTTTAGTCGATCATGGTGACAATGGTCGAAGCTGCGTCAAGAGGGCTGACAGCATGGACGCAAGATTCCATTTCTTCTTTGATAGCTATTGGGCTCATATAGAAAGTTTGCGCACATGAGACACACTATTGTTTGCTTGAGACACGAGCTAAATGCCATGGTTTATGCACCAGGATTTGCTATGCAATAGTGGTGCTGCGCTTCCAACACTGCATCTACCATAGAACCTCTTAGTGGAATGTTCGAGAGAAGGAAATAACATTGTATTGTCTAATGTTAGCGTGATTGAGCTGCAGCTCTATGCAAGACTCCAGAAACTGCTGGAAATGCTCTAGGTCTAGACCTCACAGTAATTAATGTCCAACCAAAGCCTGATGCTCAGGCCCGTACCTATTCCCGTGGGGCTTTGCCACATCAATGATTCTCCGCATCTCCTGCTTCTCCTCCTCGGTCAATTCAATATCCCTGGACGCCCAGTTCTCCTCTAGTCGACTAGCCTTAGTCGTACCGGGGATAGCAATGAACCCCTGCGCCGCGACCCAGGCCAGCGCAATCTGGCTAGTCGTGCAGTTCTTCCGAGCAGCGAGCTTCTTGATCTCCTCCACGATTGCGCGGTTCTTGTAGAAGTTCTCGCCTTGGAATTTGGGGCCTATATCATCAGCGTTAGCAAATGTATGTGCATTAGCTCCGGCGGGGTAACCTACTCCTCCTGCGGAAGTCATCCGGAGCAAAGTCATCAGGAGACTTGTATTGAAAGTCGTCAACGAGCCAGCCATGTCCTAGCGGGCTGTACGCGACATAAGCTACTCCTAGCTCTCTACATGCGTCAATCAGACCGTCAGTCTCATGGATGGTCTCGAAGGCAGAATACTCCGCCTGCACGGCATCGATCTTGGCGACTGTCATCTGTTAGTAAGATATGAGGACAAAGGAATGAAAATCTCACTTGAGTTGGCCTTGCGCAGTGTCGCAGCCGAACACTCCGAGAGACCAATATACTTGGTCTTGCCGGCCTTGCGGATCTCATCTAGTGCGGGGATGGACTCTTCGAGTGGTGTTTCTGACCTCATCAGTGTCTAGCAGAGTTGAAGTGTGAATGAAACGTACTAGGATCGATCCGGTGCAGGTAGTAGAGGTCAGGCGCGAAGCCAAGTCGCTCGATAGTGCCCTCGATATACTGCTTGATATGAGCAGGGGAATTGGTGACGGAGCGATCGCCGAACACGTCAAAGCCGCATTTCGAAGCAACTAATGGGCTCTGTTAACTTACGCAGACTGAATAGACACCAAGAGCGACTCACTGAAGACCTTGTCCCGGACATTGTGTTTCCGGATGAAATCTCCGAGCAGTTTTTCGTTCACACCAGCTTGATAGACGACCTTGCTTGACACGTTAAACTTTGTGTGTGCAAGTCGGAGGACTGACACTCACAGCAGTGTCCCAAAAGGTACATCCTAGCTCAATCGCTTTCATAAGAACGGGTTCCGCTTCTTCGAAAGTGAGATTGGTACCCAAGCCGAAGCTTAAGCCCATAGCACCGAAGCCGGGTGACGGCACTTGGATGTCGCCGAAGGGGAGTGTTTTGACCATTGTTGCTAAGGAAATGGGTATGAGGGATTTACAATTGATTCACAATCTGATCTACTTACTTTCTCTTCATGTCGGCCGCAGCGATGCACGAATATATACCTTGTGGCGGAGCGCTCATAATTGCGGTGTCCAAAGATCGACATGTTTGTAGATTATGCTGTGATATCATACAATGGGTACTATTCGGCCAATCACCTGGTTAATCTCCGGGGAATATAGAGTGCTGACGGCCATCTTGAGAGTAATTCCTTTGAGCTTCTGTTCTTAAAGCCGATACAGCCGTAACTCCGGTAGTGCTGACTCGGGATGTGGGTCAACGGATCTGATTTTAGGGTTTTGGAGAAAGGATTCCACCTCAGGGCTTGATTCAAAGTTCATACTATTGAATTTGTTGCCAACCTGCTAAGCTCGCTGATCACCTACGGAGTATGTGATTTGACATATATCAAACCCCTCAGCGAAGGTGTCCAGACAACTATTCTAGCTAGTACGGATGATAGCAGTGGCTCAACACAGCAGGGATACAACATGATTGTAGTGGAGAATCGTTTCTCTCGCTTCTCCTTCTATACACATCTGTGCACCATGCGCTCTATACTATTCATACAATGTACGTGACTACGTGTACTAAAAATTACGGGCGGGTGTTGCTATCATGCGCCATCGCCTGAAATGGCTCTACTTACGCTTCTAGGCTTTGATTGTTCAATTGGACCGTGGATGCATGATGCTCTTTGGAGGACGGTAAAATCACGTGCCTAAATATTATGTAATCGAATGGGATTAGACAAATCACGTGATAAGACGTCTCGACCAATGGGACACCCCTTGCTTTTCGAGTATCGATCGAGAGTGAAGAGTCTCCTCAGACATAATAAGCAGATCAATCGAGTTTCTTAAAATATATACCCATCATCGAATATGGAGTGCGCTTGTTACCTTGTTAGACCAGAGTGCTCAGAGTGCTCAGAGTGCTCAGCCTTGCTCCATCATTGCATAGCCACAGTCTTCCTTCTTTTGTAACATGTTCGTATAAGTGCGGCTGAGGCCCCCTCTCACAGCTGCCTGGCCTTACCCTCAGGTCGACTCAGATCATCTATCAAATCCGTCTGGCTAACAATAACTGTCTGGCTATTATTCGGATGCTCAGACAGAGTCCAAAGTTGCTCTCGAAACATGGAAACTCCGACAGTACAGTCTAGGATCAAAGGATCCATCTTTGGTGTGGCAGTTGTTGATGCCCTCGGTGGGCCGGTAGAATTCCAACCACGGGGCAGCTTCATTCCAGTAACCCACTTCATGCACAATGATACCTTCGATGTTCCACCTGGGTGAGCATCGTCACATGTCCTTACCATTCGCACCCGAACTAAATGAATAACACAGCACATGGACTGACGACACATCCATGACCCTATGTCTTGCTCACTCCCTCATTGCCTCAAATGGCAATTTCATCCCCCAGGCTGCAATCCGCAACTATATCAAGTGGCATGAGAATGGCTACTTATCAGCTACTGATGAATGCTTTGATATCGGGTCCGGAACCAGACAAGCGTTGACGATATGGAGACACTACTTTGAGAGATCGCCTCACATTCGCGAAAATGACCCGAATGGCCACGAGGGCGGACAGCCTGAAATCGACAGAGCCTTGAAGCGCGAAGTAAGTGCATGGTCCAAGAGACGAAGGATACACTACTGATAGTGGTAGATGTTTTGTGGAAACGGGTCCCTTATGCGCGTTGCACCCATTGGACTGGTGTATTTCCGGGACATGGATAGAGCATTGTCCAACGCTGCGCTTTCCTCAAATGCCACTCATCCTTACCCCACGTGCGCCGAGTGCTGCCAGATCTACACCAGGCTCGTTGTGCGCGCTATGAATGGCTCTAGCAAGGAAGATCTTGCAAAAGAGTTCGCTAGGACTGATTTCACAGATGTTAAGGTGAGGCAGCGGCTTGATCGTTATTTAGGTCTCACCGATTGGGAAAACACGGATGAAGATTATATCAAATCGTCGGGATACGTTCTTTCCACGCTCGAGGCTGCTCTGTGGGCTTTCTTTACTACAAGCACCTTTAAAAGCGGAGCTGTCAAGGTCGTCAACCTGGGCGATGATGCCGATACTGTGGGGGCGGTATATGGAGGGCTGGCAGGATCATATTACGGAATCGAAGAGATACCAGCTGAGTGGATTGCGGGCCTACAGAAGAAAGATGTTGTTGAAGACATCGCATCAGGGCTCTGTTCTCTTACTGAGTGATGATGCTTATACCCCTACATCCAAATGTCAGGCAAGGAGCCCGCGATGAATATATATATCCGCTCCAAATATCTCTCAGTGGACACGATCGGTCGCGTCATACTGGCTACTCAATTTAATATATACCGGAAGAGGTTATTCAGCTACGCTTCTGTAAGTAGATATAAAACGTTGCAGTCGGAGCTCCATCGCTGTAGTGTAGTTTCTGACCTTGGGCATGTGTCCAAGGGCTCGTATTGATCACCTGTGCCTAACTACAGATAGAAAACGTTGAAGAAAAATACAAGGTCAAATTCGTCAATCGGGCAAGATAAAGCAAAAGCGATTCCTATCCAGGTCCATTCTTCTTTCCCGCTTCCATGACGTTCATACAATAGTCGAGTCGATCCGTGCCGCTTCAAAGAAGAGTTCAATGCAATTAGCACTGTTCTTGACCGTGGACTACGTGAGTGCTACAAGTCAATCCCCTCCCGTCTTTCCAAAATGTGCATAATAATTAGCTAGACTTACCCGGTGACATCTACCGCCTCAGCCTCGTCAACAAAGCGTATTACAGGACCCCCTATACAGATGCCTCTTCCAGCCAGATTCCAGCCGTCACAATGGCACCTATCTGCACTTCGCAGCGCATGAAAACCACTTATCCCTGATACAGCGTCTCGTCGAGCGCGGGGGAAACCTGCAGAGACTAAACGACATCGGCCGAAGTCCACTCCACTACGCCATTGTCCGGAAACGTAAGGACGTCTGTCGCTGGATAGCAGCTACCGATCCAGCAACCCTTGAACAGCGCAACGCGCAGGGCGTAACCCCGCTTCTGATGGCTGCATAAGCACACGAATGGGATCTCTGCAGGGTGCTGATTGGGTGTGGAGCCGATGTCAATGCTGCTGAGCCCAGTCATCGCTGGACGTGTCTTCGTTATGCTGCTAGGGAAGGCCAGCGGGAAATGGTCGAGCTTATTCTCAACCATGGGAGCGACACCATTACGCATGGCTGTTCGGTCTAACGATACAGAGGTCATCAAGTTATTGGTTGATCACGGGGCTGACATACATGTCGTGGATGACAAGGGTGCTAGCATCATTCACTGGTCACTAGAGGATGGTAATCTGACAAATCTGCAGCTGCTGGTAGAGCTGGAGGCAAGTGTGAGGGTGAAGGATGCTCGGGGACAGACGCCTCTTCGTTGAGCTGCGTAGCGAGGCCATGTTGAGATTCGGGAATGGCTGCTGCGGTACAGTGGTTGCACAGGAGGATGTCAATGTGCAATGTAATGGGTTTCTCACATCTTTGTATTATGCTGCGAAGACGCACGGTGGAGACTTTGGGGGTCTTTTCACTATGCGATGATATTTTCGTCGGGACAACCTTAGCTGACTGCTAAGATGGCATCGGGGAGCATATCATGTCCTATTCAAATAATCTGTTTTCAAGCCATAGGTTTCCTTGGGTGGTTTGTCAAGTCTTGTATGCTGTCGTGCCATGGAAAGATATTTGGGTGCGGGCTTAGAAATGTATTATATTTCAGGGCCAATTAAATTCACCCTCTGACCGTTAAGCTCAGTCAAGTGATGCTAGTATAATGAAAGCACTATAGGCCGGTATATTGCGGACTCACTGGAAATGCGGTATGAGGCCACGAGCAACATCAGCACGAGGCTTCGAGCGAAGTCCATCATGGATCCTGTATGCTGGATAGTGCGTACTTAGCCAATTGAACGCAAGTCAGATCCCGGATAGCCCTAACGTTACCCCTCATCCTGGCGCCCGCTTGAGGCGGGGACCTTGTGAAGTCCGAAACACCCCACCTCCGCTGTCGGATGTATTCCAGTCTTCGCGTCTTCCACTCCTGACCCTCACGCTGGGATTAAAACCCTGAGCTGATCTAAAATCATCTTATTGATCATTGCAGCATGCTTTCTGCCCGCGGGGAAACATATGCCAAGGCCGGCTTGGCTAATAGCTACCTCGGGAACCCCAAGACCCCCTTCGACAAAGATAACAAGCAGGGAGTTGTGTCTTTTCGTAATGCAGAGAATGTACCCAGTCATATAATCCTCCTCGCTGGGATCCTGAACATGACCGTATATGTTGACTGATGAGGTGGTAGTTCTTGATGCACGACGTAATGCTTGAATACATCCGCACGCAGGTGAGCCTAGATTACCCACTATACAGAACCCAGGTTGGCTAAGCAAGTGTAAACAGGTAACATCCAGCCTTGACCACTCGAATCTTACCTACCATGAAGGCCCCTTTGGCTCAAGACGTCTCCGAGCAGCCATGGCCAATCACATTACTACCTACTTCCACCCCGCTACGCCAATCTCACCTGATCACATCATTTTCGCAAACGGCGTAACGAGCCTAAACGCGCTCTGCGCCCTCAGCTTAACGGACCCTGGCGACGGGATCCTCCTGGGTCAACCAATCTACGGCTCCTTCAACGGAGATCTCCGCGTCCCCTCCAGCTGCCAACTGATCTACACCTCCTTCCACGGGGACGATCAATTCAGCCCAGACGCAGTGGCTCGGTACGAGGAGGCCTTCCTGCAAGCACGAGAGACCGGGGTAACAACCCGGGCCCTCCTAATCTGCAACCCGCACAATCCGCTCGGCAGATGTTACCCGCGCGAGACCTTAGAGGCGCTACTGCTGTTCTGCCAGAAGTATCAGATCCATCTCATCAGCGATGAAGTGTATGCGCTGTCGGTGTACGGTGATGAGGATCCCACCTGTGGCTTTGTTTCTGTTCTGTCGATCGACCCCGTCCCGCTCGGAGTGGATCCAGCCTTGATCCATGTGCTGTACGGCATGTCGAAAGATTTCGCGGCGTCGGGGTTACGGCTGGGATGTTTGATTAGCCGGAATGAGAGGTTCCTCCAGGCAGTTTTGTCGATGAGGTAAGTGGGTGTCCATTCAATCTCGCTGTACGCAACCGTCTTACTCCGTGGGCTAGTCGATTCCATTGGCCATCGCATATATCCTGCAGTATTGCCACTGCTGTTCTCGAGGATCGAGGCTTTGTGGAGTCCTTTCTTCAGAAAAGCCGCCGATTGCTTCGCTCACAGCGGAATTTGGCGGCACGAGCCTTGGACGAGGCGGGGATTCCTTATGCGCAGGGCGCGTAAGTCTGCTCCTGCGGCCCCTTTTAGACTCCAAAACGAATATAGTAGGAAGCTAATACGTGTAGTATTGCGGGCTTTTTCGTCTGGATTGACTTGTCCAAGTGCTTGGATGACACGATCGTCACCAGTCAAGACGGGTGGGCTGCAGAGTTGGATCTGTCCCGCCGGCTGCAACAGATTGGGGTGGAGATGTCGACTGGCTATGCCTATCATAATGAGGTGCCAGGTTGGTTCCGCGTCATCTTCTCACTAGATGAGGATAGCCTGAAAGAGGCCTTGTCAAGGTAGGTTGCATTCGATTCCGCGTTCGTATGGAGGGTGGTTATGTACTAAACAAGGTGTTCGCAGGATTATCAAGTTCTATCATAGCTCAGGGGGATCACCTTAAAGAAATTTCGGTAGTTTCCAGTTGGCTACTCAGTTTAGCCATTCCTGATCCCTTCCGTGTGACCGTGTCTCTGTCGGTTATGTTATGGCATATACCTCCGGGTGTGTTTTACTTCTTCCTATGGCTACCTTGTTAACACTGCATTGAAGTCGCTACCGTCCCGCAATCAAACCTAGGAGAACCATGGGGGCGGAACTGGGATCTGAAACAATGCTCTGGATTCCTAGGGCGTCCTAGGACACGTCGGGTCTGTCGGTTGTTTGGGTTCGTGCTATCGCTCTGGGACTGTGGTATTGCTTGACTGGCAGACATGACTAGGAAGGCAGGTACCAACCAACTCAGGTAAGAAGCTGGAGCTGGACATCTGAAGACTGAAGACAATGGACATAGGGATGCATCTCAAGTACTCAGAACAGTCCAACCCCTCAGCAATGAAGACGTGGAATAATCTAGTCAAGTACACAAGACAAGTAAGTACTTGAGTCTATGAAATCTAAAAACCAAGAGATTATCCCTGCGTCATCAATATCCGTAATCATCCATCATCCCAGATATCCAATCCGATCGCTTCCCATAACGCTCAGTGATATATCCACAATAAACATCCAACTCCATCCATGCAGCTTTAATCCACTCATTCAAGGCGATCGTGTGCATCTAATTCAATAATATCCGCCTCAGGACCAGTCAAACGCTGGCTTTCCTCGTCTGATGGGATGGAAACCTAGAGTAGCATTAAGATCTCTCAATCAACGAGTCCCAAAGTATTTAATTGTACCAAGATCACTAACCCTTCGGGCCAGAAATATTCTAGCTCCAGCTCGTGATAGCAGTATCGCGAGGTCATATCGTTGTAGCAATGCGTATAAGGGTTCAAGAAGATGCAACGGGGGAGGAAGGCGATAATCAGCGTGGTGAGATGAGGGACTCATTGACTCAGGCTCAGATGTGGATGAACCGAGGAGAACAGCGTCAATTTGGTAACTTGCTGGAGTAATGGTGCGGGTAGTAGTCTCCTCTGCGGTGTAGATGGATACCAGAACAAGAAAACTTGGGCCATGGCTTGCACCGAAGGTTTGGGATACCACAGGTGTTTGATCAATAGATTCGAGCGTCTCAGGCTGAGGGGGTCCTATGTTTTGAATTATATTCTGTCCCTGTCGGACCCTATTCTGGTAATAAGACATGATGCGTCGATAGACTGGGACACATGTAATGAAAAGGGCTATCATAGCAATGATTGCTTCTGGTGACAGCGCCATTGTAAAGGAAACAAACAAATAACTATACTGTTGAGTTATTTCATGTCTTCATCGCCGAGGGGGTGACCCGTCCTTTTAACGCCATGGTGGCTATCGTGCTTGAGGTCTTCGAGATGCGATGATGAGAGTAGCACAGCAGGAATGAAAATTGAAAATCAATATAGAATTAAGGTAATAGGTAGAAAGCCGAGTGAGTTTAAGGAAAGTAGCTGTAGGATATAAGCAGTGGGTGGTTCCTCGCCCTAGAATCTAAGTTGCTTATTCGTCACTATTGTTCCTTTAGCAGTTATATTGTGGCAGTGAGTACGCATTGGGTCCTCATCCTAGGCCAAATCTAAATAATCTGAGCTATCAAAACGTGACCTTCGACGTGATTGGTCGGGCCAAGACAGAGCCCCCTCAGATATTATTATCGAAAACCCCGAATCACGATATGGCCTTCTAGCCTTCTTCCATATGCATAGAGCGGAATCAGCGGATCTTTCTCTTTCTGATCCGCGTCTGTCCAGCTTTGCTACAAGCCGTAGTCCCATCTTTTCGGGCTTTCATTGGGTTTGCAATAGCGCCTCGCGCGCAGGCACTTCAACTTTGAATAATCATCAAGTTCTAAGATCTGGCCAGAATTGCCAGGTGGCGCGCATGTCCGTTTCTTAGGGGTTTTACCTACTTGCAGTCACAGAACACTGTACTCTCTGCTAATTTCTGCCCTCAGATACCGATACAGTACTAATAAAGGGTAGCTAACGACTTCTCGTCATTACTAATTGTACACTTCCATGTGTGAGAATTGAGAAAACTATTCGACGGCGATGATTCCCAAGTCAATAGGTAATCATTATGGAAGTCACAGAAGCGGAGCAGAAGACCACTCTCTGCGTGCCCTACCTCTCCCGACAAGGGAACAGGAACAGCCCCGATATACAGAAGCTGCCACTAATGACATGAATTTCTCCTATGTTTATATTGTTTTCTTTGTCTGGTCGTAATATTTACCATCTTATTTTGTTTATTCTATTCTACTTTTCCTCTTTGTTTTTAGAATTAACTTTGCTATTATTTTGGTATTTTTTCCTCCCTGTAGGAAAGAATTTAGAGTTTCAATTTGAAATCATCTTGTATCCTTCCCAAGATTGCCTGCTACCTGCGGTGATTGGTTGATCTTGAACGCTCTGTGCAACACGAGCAAGTTCAATATGCCCCCAGGGAGATTGCTGCCAGTCGTCTGGGACTGAAACGGGTGTGGCCGATCCATCTTGTGGGGGATGAAGATACGAAAAAATCCCACCACTCCTTCGACACTGGACACTCCAAATCTGCTCTTGCTTGGATGCTGTCCGTGGTTGTTTGGGACCCCTCCAAATGATTGGTTAAAGTGGATCCAAGTAAAGCTTATTTACGAGGAAAACTGAAAGAACACGTCTTGGGAAAATCTTGAACCAAGCTCACCTTTTGTGAAGCAAGACTCAGGCTCCAATTCTCCCAACCTCCTGGCTTTTGAGAACTACTGGTTCCTGATTCTTCACAATCAGCAAGAAAGCCAAGTATCATAATCCCAGGATACAGGAGCCAGACCGCGATGCATATACTTGCAAAACTTGCTGGCGGCGAAGTTGATGAGCATTACGATGTTCTCGAGGCATATTTTGCTGAAGGTGCTGACGGTTCGGGCTTAGTGATGACGTTCCAGCGGCAACTCTCTGCAGAAGAGCCGTGGAATGGTGATCCTTCAAAGGACGATTATTTCGACAACAGTTATTGTATCACCCTCGGATCTGAAGTGACGATATATGGAGGGCTAGAGCAGGTCTCCTTTCTGGATTCCCAAGGATGCTTTTATTTCTCCGATCAAGCGGCCGCCAATCTCGGTACAGGACGACAACTCGTCGTTGATTTTGAGGTGTCTGAGCATGCCCTACAGCTCTTTCAACAGTTTCTCAGGGAAGCAGTGACATGGGGAGTCCCTAGTCAGATCCCTCAGCTCAACGGTTTATCCTTCAAAAGTTCCATCATGGAAGCTCCCAGCACTCAGCCAAAGGAGCCCGATGAAAGAATTAAGGCCCGCAATCAAAAAGGCGATCACCTCAAACTCAAATTCATCTCCCAAGAGCAACTGGGTCGTGAAGGCGGAAACCTTCTTGATGATGGGGCCCGTTCCAGCGAACAAACCCTCGAGGACATCGGATATCTTTCCAACTTGGCTCCTTTCCAGCAGAAGATATGCGATAACTTGCGCGGTTTGGGCTGGATTGATACCGACATTTGCAACTTTCTGATCCAGCTTGAGAACATGCGAGGACACATACGGGCTGAACTGAGAATGAAGGGGCAGAGTGAGATCGACATTCAAAAGCTCGAGGATATCTGTAAGACAGATATGAAGGATTTCTCGTACCTCCGACGGTCTGGCGCCAACCGGGCCCTCGAGGAATACCAGACTGAGCTATACCTGCTGCAAGAAAACAAGAGGCGAAGAAGGGTTATGTTAAATGGAGAATGATTTCTTCTTTGTCCCTTTGAGGCGTCGTGGCAGAGTGCCGCCTTGATGGCTTCTGAGATGGAGACTGAGGGCCCCGGAAGGTACCAGACGGCGTTAAGGCACTTGCATGGATGCAACTTCGGCTGGGGGCTGAGCAAGGAGCTGATGCTTGGGCAATGGTAATGCTTAGGAGAGGGGTGACCGAGGAAATTTGATGGCAGGGGACTCATTGGAAGGAGGGTGTAGGCTTAAGCACTTAGAGGATTATATGCAGAAAAGGAGAGTCTATATCTTACAGTTATAGCATAAAATACAGGCAGTATATTAGGTAAGGGGAGACTGGGATATGCTAATAGGATACAACTATATAAGGATTAGGCGTGAGACAGGAATAGGGCTAGAGTAAAAGAAGATATAAAAGTGTTAAAGGAAGTAAGCTCCTATACTAATATTCTTAAGGGTTTAATTAATCCTTCTTATACTTATACTTATTAGTAAATTATCTTCTCTCTCCTAGTATATATATTAAGGGGAAAAGAGCTATTAAAGTAGAATTCATCCCCTCTTTAGCTACTCCTAAAGCAGCTAAATTATTAACCTTTAGTTATGAAATGTGGCACAAGCAATCAACACTGACATACATAGATTTCCATGTCTCATTCACTAAAACTAGCAGCTAATAAATGCTGCACTAAGTACACTTAGAAAGCTAGGCTAAAGAGTGAGAATTCAGCGGACAGCAAATAGTCTCCCTGTGCAGGAGCTCTTGGAGAACTACTTCTCTTGTGTGAAGAGTGTGGACCAGTCCTGCTTCCTGAAGTAATTTACTATACTGTCCAACTGAGGGGGCGAATCCAACTAAGAAGGTTAGCAGTTGAAAAGCATGACACCGGTCATGAACTCACGTCTTTGGGGTGGATGATTGTAGGGTCATCTCGGCCCTCGTATCCAAACTCATTGCAATAAGCCCAATTCTCATCTAATTCGCGACTGAGCTCAGGCGGGAGGGAAAGGTTCGATTGTCCTTTTTCCAGCCTAATACATTCTGCTTTGATCCCGGTGGCCTGCGTAAATGCCTTTGAGAGCTCGCGTAAAGAGCTCCACTCTCTATAGGCAATGACGTTCTTCCCAGCCGCTTCTTGCACAAGGGCCTTCACAATTGGTCCAGTGTCTTCTTCCGCGGCGATGAAAGGCAGTTTAAGGTCTGGGTCTAGCTGCCCCACGAACTGGGCTACACCGTTCGCTGTCTAGAGAGTGTCAGCACTCATCAGACGGCCAAGTCAATGAGTGAAGAACTTACCATCTGGGGCTGGAAGACCGGAAGTGATACGTAATTACTCAGGAAGAACCCCGCCTGGAAGACGCTGGTCTTCTTCCAAAGTTCAGGATAGGTTTCTCTTGCGTACGCCTCTGCCTTGGCCTTCGAGTCGAAATGATAGACGTGCGTGTACTTTCCCCTAGACCACTTCGTCGCGTCGGAAAGAGACGATAACACGAAGCGTTCCAGCGTAGGTACCTTTGCGGCAGCATCAATAACGCCCTTCAGTTGCTCGGTCTCATGGTTAGCAGCCCAGACATTGAGCGGCTGGTCCTTCGCCTTGGCTGTGTTGGCAGGATCACCGAGTATACCCCAGAAGTCACTGACGGCGAAAATGACGTTCGCGTTCTCAAAGGCCGAAGAGAGCGTAGATGGCAAATCCAAGTCTGCTTGGACAACCTCCGCGCCGCGGGCAGCCAGGGCTTGAGCTTTTGCGCTGGCAGGGTTCCTGGTGACTGCGCGGACACGCCATTGCGGCTCCTGCAGAAAAACTTGAGCGACTGAGCCGCCCTGGTTTCCCGTTGCCCCAATGATAACAATCAGTTTCTTTGTCGCCATGTAGAATACAGCTAGCGGATATTTATCGTGAGCTGATGGACGACGGATTAGCTGGTTGATGGAAAAGCCAGTCCAACTTATAGTTGCTCTTGCGGCCGAACCACTGTTTGGAATTCTCCACTGGACAAACCGATGAGTACTCGGGGGCTTCGGCGACTTTCTCTAACGCAGTCTAGTTCAGTAATTATACAATCAGCTCGAATGTGGTTCTGCCCAAGTATCGCACTCTCCTTCAGCGCCTTAGTCATCAGGTTTTTGGCTTAACTACCAACCCGATTAATCAGGATTATTAATGACGATCGACGATGTGGAATAAACGATTAGTGATTGATTCCCACTTCCCGAACATCCCAAAGTTTGAGTTATCCGCTTCCTCCATAACCTATGAGTCTATGACAATACTGAGTGGGTAACTTATGAGCTCGCTCCACCTTTCACAAAGCTCTGGGCAAGTTTGTATCTGCAGGTCTTTTTTGATTTTTCATCATCTCCGTCTTGGCTCTAACCTAGCCTATACTAACTAGACCAGGTAGGTGGGAAATAATATCCTTAGTACAATACGTAGAACCTAGGCGCTGACGAAGCCAGGCTAGACCCGTCGTTCGAGAGAAAGAAAAGAAAGTTTTCAATACCTTTGATGGCGGAAATTCAACAGTTTGATTGAGAGTATTTGATGATATCTGGGGCTCCAAACCTTGACCGAAGGTACATGACGGTCGGTGCAAACGGAATGCAATCTTTGAAGACCTACATCAAGGATTGACTATGACAGATATTCGCAGCCAACTCCATGAGCTGTCGCATTCAGTAGAGGCGCCATTGATGGGTGCCGCAACGGTATAGGCAGGATCAGGAATTGGGATGGTCAAGAAGGTGGAACCAGCGGCCGATATCGTGAGGACAGTGCAGTCAGAGACTTGAATGAACCTGTTGGAAGCTAGGGCTATCTTCGAGTCCTGACTTTTCATGCTATGTAGTTGTGATAATCGCTCGAGAACGTAATGAATGCGGTATAATAACTTGATCCAATTGTATAGGGCCAGATATATGGAGTTCTTATAACGCACGAGGAATATCAACTACCGACTAGTACTAATAGCCCCAGAAAACTTTCAGCATGGAATGCTATATATGTACGATTTGAAAGACACAGACTAGGATTTAATATATTTGCTGATCTAAAGGCGGTTGCGCGTAGGCTTGTAAGTGACAAACGAAATTGTATCAAGAGATCCTTTTCGATACTGGAATTCGAGTGTAAACACCGTCGGGGTCATTCAGTAGGCGTCTTCTCATGTACACTGAATACCAAAGTGTAGCGTATATACTATCAGCTCTGACTGTTTCCTATCTTGAGTGCCGGTATCCCCCATATATAGCTCAGCGAAGAAAAAGCAGCAACGGCGATAAGGGAGATCAAGCAAAGCGTTCCTGATGCCAGAATATCCTTCCTCGAGATGGGCCTGGCATCGTTTGCCTCGGTCAAGAAAGCGACTCGGAGCGTATTAGCCTCTTCCAGTGGGCTAGATATCCTATCAGTAATGCCGGTATCATGACAACTCCCGCGGCAACCACACAGGATGGTTATGAAGTTCAGTTTGGCACCAATCACATGGGTTACGCCCTTTTGACCAAATTATTACTTCCAGTCCTGGAGCAGACCGCCAATGCACCCAACAGCAACGTCCGAATTATCAACCTAAGTTCCTCCGCCCATAATCAAGGCCCAAAAGAAGGCTTGCTTCTTTCCGAAGTCAAGTCTCCTATGGCCTCTACGAGTACATGGGTCCGTTACAGTCAATCTAAGCTCGCTAATGTCTACTTCACAAGGCAACTTGCGAAACTATACCCCAGAATCAAGTCCGTTGCCGTCCACCCCGGCAGCAATGCCAGCACCAACATCTCCTCTAGCCTCAAACAGTCTTACAAGATTCTGATTCCTTTATATTTATTTCGAAGCGATTCTTCGTGATCCCTGTCAAGGATGGAGCGCTCAATGAGCTCTGGACCGCCACCGGTCCAAATGAAGATGTCAAACAAGCTGCCTTCTACTATCCAGTCGGAGTAGAATTCCACGGGAGCCCAATGGTCAACGATCCAAAGATGGCAGAGAAACTGTGGGATTCCACGGAGACAGAACCCCGGGAACACGGATTTTGAGTTTTTGTTCTTCCCTTTCTCAATGTTAATTTCCACGTGAGATACCAATATCCATTATGTAGTATTGGCGGAGATTCCTCCTGTTCGGCGGATGTTTCCGCGGGTCTTTGCAGGACCAGCAGCCACTGTTTGCTCTCTCCCTGCTTCTCCGGCCTATTTAGGCCTCGCTGTCTTCTCTCTCTCGCGTTCTCTCTAGACAGATCTAACTAGCTCTATTTCCCGTTTCTGGCTTCCTATGTAGGCATGGATGACGCCCTCAAGTGTTAAAACTTTCAGCTATTATTAAACCGGAGGAAATTAGACCCTCTCATGGGGAGGGTCGAAGCATGCTGACAACGTAACCCACAACCGAGCGGCCATTCCGATCGTGGTCACTGTGGTACTGGAAAGTGTAGAACCACACTCCGTATGAGATTTCACCATCACTCCGTGTGGTTAAACCCAACGCAAAAACCCGAACCCAACCCGGCCCAAACCGCTCTGGGCTGGGTTCGGGCCGAGGGCCTAAGGCCCACGAGCTAGTTGGGTTCTAGAAACTAGAACCCATCTGGGTTTAGGTTCTGAAAATGGGTTTTAATTATAGTACATAGTAATTAGATTACACTAGCCTAGGTTAGATTTCTATGCTAGGATGCTACTACTGCTAGTATGGTATCAAAAAATAAATACACACTAACTAGATTAGGCAGGTGGTGAAGAATTGAAGGGCCTAATAGGTTTACTACCCCGGAACCTTTGGGTTATGGGTTGGGTTCTAAAAGGGCCTAAACCGAGCCCAACCCGCGCAAATAACAACCCTAGCTGTGTTGAAGGATGAGAACTGAATCATCTTCTCAAAGAATCTATTCGGTGTGGTATGCAACCCATCGATGCTACTGCACGGTTCTGCTGATTCTACTGCCAGACAATAGCTCAGGACTATTTGCTCAATATGACCGCGACACTATCCTCCCCGAAACTTCGCCTTATTTGCGATACGATAGATAAGTCAGCATGATACGACACTTCCAGGGACAAATGACACTACTATAGTCCGAATGAGACTAAAACTGCAAAGGCAGATGGGACCCACATAAATACGAGTCAGCGCCCCGGTAAATCCAACTCAATTCTCACTTCATCTCTCCCTTCAGGCTCGAATATGTCCTCTCCTCAAGTGATTCTCTATGCCAAATGGTACTCGGACTGCTCTGCACGCCTGCGTCTTGCGCTCCAGCTCAAGGACATCAATTATGTGTATATCTCAGTCGACGAACCAAACGCGGCTGCCTACAAAGAAATAAACCCGTCCGGCTTAGTCCCAACGTTGGTCGTGGAAGAAGGCCAGTCTTGCTCAAACCACAAAGCCAGCAAGTCCACTGTAATATGGCAGTCACTCGCCGCGCTGGAGTATCTGGAAGAGAGATATCCGCCATCAGAAACCCGAAAAGGTCTCCTCCCGCCAGAAACGGACCCAGAAGGGCGAGCAACAGTTCGCTGCTTGATGAATATCATCGCGTCAGACATCCATCCCTTGACCACCGCCCGAGTGTGTCGCCGGATCTGTGAGCAGTTTCCTTGTCCCGCAACTGAAACAGCGGCTGCCACGGGAAATTGTGAGTGGGATAAGTTCTGGATCGAACAAGGTTTGGCCAAGTACGAGCGCGTGGTTAAGGACAGTAGTGGAACGTATAGTTATGGCGAAAATATTACGCTCGCAGATGTGTGTCTCTTGCCTGCGATATGGACCGCGGAAAGATACGGACTGCTTCTTGATGGGTTTCCTACGATCTGTCGCATTGTTGAGACATTGCATCGTGTGGAGGCTGTGCAGAGAGCCCATTGGAGATGCCAGCCGGATACACCGGAAGAACATAGGTTTCCATGACAAGCTCGGCGAAATGATTCCAATTAATTTGACGGGGTGTTGGTTGTTAGTGCTTATTATGCCACTATCTGAGAACATAGTATTTGGACTTAGTGCTCTTGCTTCCTGGGTTGGTGTGTATTATGAATAAGCGCGGCCACATGCTAGTTGGTGGTGACTAGCTATTTGCCCAGAAAATATGGTCCTCGTAGACCCTATGATAAAGATAATACCACTATAATAATGGATATGAGACTCTAGGCTGATAAGGACCATGTTCGGACGCCTTTTGGACCTAGTGGTATTATATTGCTATCACTCCCCATGAGAGCTAGAGACCATCGCGTTGTCTGAACCACTACTCTGTCCACTGTCCACAATCAGCGCGAGTACTTAGTAAAGTAAATATATAAAGGATGACCATAGCCATCAGGCACCAAAAAAGGAATCAAAGAAAAGAAAAAGCGTCAATTTAATAGTCACTATCCCACCGGAGGGCCAATGATTCGGGATCCCCAGGTAGAGATTCATTCACATTTCGCCCAAATTCTGCAAGGTGACAAGCTCAAAGTATGCCGACCGCTTCTGCATCAGCTCAGAATGAGTTCCACACTCGATGATGCGGCCTTGGTTGAACACATAGATCATGTCTGCTTTTTGCACCGTACTGAGACGATGCGCTACGGCGATCGTCGTGCGGCCTTGAGCTGCGGTATCCAGAGCAGCTTGCACGAGCTTTTCAGATTCTGAATCGAGAGCAGACGTGGCCTCATCCAGCAGAAGGATTCTGGGGTTGCGGAGCAATGCTCGAGCTATTGCAAGACGTTGCTTCTGGCCACCTGACAGCATGCTGCCCTTGCTACCGACGAGGGTATCGAAGCCGTTTGGTAGACTGATTATGAAATCGTAGATGTTTGCGTTCTTGCAACAAAGAACCATTTCATCCTCTGAGACGTCCTCTCGGTCCGTACCCAGCATAATGTTCTCACGGATGGTACCTTGGTAAAGCGTTGGCTCTTGGCTGACAAGTGCGAGACGGGACCGGTAACTGTTGATGTTGAAGGACGATATTTCCTTGCCGTCGACATAGACCCCGCCGAGGACTGGATCGTAGAATCTCTCCAAGAGGGCAATTGCAGTGGACTTGCCACATCCACTAGGTCCGACGAACGCAACATACTGCCCGGGCTTGATGTGCAGATTGAGACCTCGCAGAACGAGCTGGTTTGGTCGCGTCGGGTACCTGAAGTGCACGTTTCTGAACTCGACATGGCCTTCTATACTCTGGACCATCTCGCCATCATGGCTCCAGGTGTCGGTATCCGGCGTCCGGTCAAAGAGGGCCTTGAGACTAGCAGCAGCGTGCCTGGCTTTGGCAATATCCGGTGCAAAACTGAAGATAGTCCCTGCCGACTGCGCCCCGAAGATGACTGCGCTGAAACACAAAAAGAATTGGAACCTAAACATAAGGGTTAGAACCAATATAGCGTCTGTTCCGGCCATTGTTCTTCTACTTACATGGAATATTCGTGTCTGCCGAACAAGATACCTCCATACCAAAAGCCAAGAGCCATGCAAAGGAATTGAAGTGATTGAGATGCCGCGTAGAGAACGGATGACTTGAGAACCGACCACACTAACCTGCGGCCCTGCGGGAGGAGCTGTTCGTGGTAGTGATTGCAAACGTCCGCCTCGCGGGTCAAGGAAGCCACGGTTCGGATGGCTGAAGTGGCCTCGCAGGCATAGCTTGCAGACTTTTCGTAGGCTTTCTTCTTCTCCTTCTCGAGTCGGACCAGCATGGCCAAACGGAAGTACCCACATGCGAGAAGAAGGGGGATGGTGGACATGCACATCAGAGTAAGCTTCCACCCTACGGCCAGACCAATGGCGCAGGCGGCAACTAAGGTGGTGACCAGCAAGAGAATCGTCATAAGAGTAATCCCAGACAGCCCAGCCAGGTGGGAGGTCTCAGTGGACAGGAAAGAAGTGAGAGCGCCCGAGGAACGTTTGTCGAAAAAGGCAATGTCTTGCCGGAGGATATATCGAAATGCTCGGTCGCGAACCCGATGGGTAAGTCGCTCTGTGCAGTAAGAGAACGCAATACCCTGAGAGATGAGAGCGAGCAGCTGTACAAAGGCCAGCATCAAATACATCAGCGACCAGAAATTGACCTGTCGTCGTATCTCAGAGCTCTCGGAAAGAGGAAGCGAAAGGGCTGTAATGCACTTGGCGAAGAAGACAGCTTGTGTTGGATTACCTCCACCACAGACGGCCGAGAGTAAAAGTCCAAAGACCATATATTTCCATTCTTTTTTGTTCAAACCAGCGACAAACCGTATCAGCGTGAACAAGGTATAGTTGTCGGCAATGTCCTCTTGCCCCTTCTTCGCAAGTGCCGTTCTCGATGCGGTCTTGTCTGATCGTGTCTTGTCCACCTGAAGGTCATCAGGGTCTTCTCCTGGAACCTCTTTGTCTGAGATGTAGCGATTCTCCTTGAGTTCGGGTCGCCGTAAATCGTAATCGGTTTCAGGCAGTATGGGATCTTCATCTTGGTTTCTAGACTCTTGCTGCATCGCGATTCGCTGAGCCTCGGCCAAGTTGTAGTAAGCCCCTTTCTTCTGGAGAAGGTCATCGTGGGTGCCCTGTTCAACAACACGTCCGTGGGACATAACCACAATATTGTCCGCATTCTTGATAGTAGACAGTCGGTGAGCAATGATCACGGTGGTTCGTCCCTGGGCAGCTTTGTCGAGTGCGGCTTGCACAACTCCCTCGCTCTTTGTGTCGAGTGCGGATGTTGCTTCGTCAAGTAGCAGGATCTTAGGATTGCTAACCATGGCCCTAGCAATGGCAATGCGTTGTTTCTGACCTCCTGAGAGAAGGAACCCTCGCTCGCCAATGTCAGTTTCGTAGCCCTCGGGAAGGGAGGTGATGAAGTCGTGGGCCTGAAAAGCAACTAGGTCAGAACATCGTATCGTATATGGTACGATCAGAGAGGGGTTGTGTGTCTGGGGCAGGAGAGTCATGGCATTTGCCTTACTTACGTTTGCCATCCGAGCAGCACGTTCGACCAGCTCCCAAATCGCTTTTTCAGACTCATGCTCGTGCGCTGTTCCGATCAAACCGTGCTTGATATTGCCGAATATCGTAGTAGCGAACAAGGTAGGCTCCTGGCTCACCAGAGAAATTTGTTGTCGCAACCAGCGTAGATTCAGGTCTTTGATATCATGGCCATCAATGTATACGCTTCCCCCGACAGGATCGTAGAAACGCTCAACCAGCCCGATTATAGTGCTTTTCCCAGAGCCTGAAGCCCCAACAAGCGCAGTAGTCTTGCCTGCAGGGATCAGTAAGCTCACATCATCCATTACAACAACTTCGGGGCGGGAAGGGTATATGTGTCTGATATTCTCGAGTTCCACATTTCCTTGCAGTTCCTCCAGCTTCTGCCCCTCGGCCGATAAAGGGTCGAGGGGTGAGACACGATCAATGGTTGCGTAGATCTTGTTGGCTGCGGCGACCGCTGTGGTGATGGCTTGGATATTCGGTGTAATATTCCCGAGGGCAAAAGCCCCCATCATGATGGCCATTTGAATAGTGAGGATTTGCGCTAATCCAACGGACCCGTTCACCAGAAAGCGGGAGCCCATCCAGAAAGACAGTCCGTAGTTGAGGTAGATGTACCTAAAAATTGGAGGCAAGGTCAGAACACTGGGGCTGTTTGAGGTAATCCAAGAGACCGTCATTTGGATGGCAAGATTATGTGTCACTCGCTGTACTTACAGAAAGAGAAAACCAATCATTGAGCTGGTGGTGGACTTGAGCTTGAACCCGGACTTCTCTGCTTCGACGAGATACCCATCGTATCGTCGAGCCAGCTTCTCTTGGGTATTGAACGCAGCCGCATTTCGGATCGAGCTGAGGACCTCTTCCGCAACCGTTCCTCCTTCAGCGAAATGGCCGAGGTATTTCTTGCTGAGCTTGGCTATGAACGAGCCCACGGCGCCCAATGTCACAACAATGGCAACGACAGTGGAACACAGAATCAGCGTGAGCTTCCAGTATCTGACGAAACCAATCACGAACGCGGCCACAAAGGTGGCGACGGCTGTCAATGTCAATCCCACTTTCTCTGAGATACCTTCCTGGACAAGATTGGTGTCTGCCGTGATGCGTGTGGTGATCTCACCCGCGCCGAGCTCGTCGAAAAATGCAATATTCTGCCTCAAAATGGCGGCCAAGAACTGCTGTCTGATTTTTGCTGTGATGTGTTGACCGGCGTACACGAAACCGACCGTGGCCAGGTACACCATCACAAACTCGCCAAAAGCGAGGTAGAGGAAGTACAGAGAGAATCTGGCAAGCTCGCTGGTGAATTGGCCGTCAGATATGTCGCCCAGTAGGAAGCTGCGGAAGGTGCCTGCAAGACCTCCAAACAGGACGGTCATCAGAGGCATGAGTGCACCGCCGATGATTGCTGCGAGCGAGGCAATGACGAGGACGACCTTGTCATTCCGTGTCGCATAGCGATACAGCGTCATGTAATTGAGCTTGGTGGCGGGCAGATCCAACTGTCTCTTGAGGATGACTCTCTCGTGCTCGGGCAGATGCTTGAACGGATCACCATCTTCCCCATTTCTGTCTGCCGGCGCTGAGCCGACTGGGTTCAAGGGAGGGTCGGTAGTCGCGGCGTCTTGGCCTGCCTGAACCGGCGCTTTTTGGTCTCCAAGGTCGTGACTCGGCATGGTGAGGAAGTCCAGCAATCATTCAGTGGCAGTCAGTTATGGTGATCAAGTCCAGGAATGGAGTGAGGATGAAGCTAGAGGATCGTTGAGGCGAGGCTGAGTGAATGCTCGCGTTTTGTTTACGTCCCTGAGTGTCCTGAGTTCTCCTGCCGACGCGTTTTCTTTGTTTGGGATCAGTGGGGAGCGACCAGGATATGGGTACAGTAGCCCGATTAATATTGCTGTATTGCAGGGATGTTGTTAAATTTAGTCAGCACTTGGATAGGCCAGCAGTGAGTCTGACTCGCTTTAGATACATGGCAGGCCTCACGCTTGCAAGTGCATTGGAAAAAGCGGATGTTGGTTTTGCATTGTTAGAGGACTGAGGTCGACTTGATCCCCAAGTCGAAGCATGGATTGGACTGAATGCCTCCGCAATGCGCATCCGGATCAGCAGCGATGGGTTGCCGATTGCAGGCACTGGATAGTCGCACGACCCCGTCCGTCATGAATTGTATTGTGCCAAATGCCACCGAGTCAGTACGGCTCATCGTCGCTAAGATCCTCGAGTACCTGCAAGTACCAGCCCTGTCTTTCGAAGGCTCCTGTCCCTTCAACCCAAGCCAAGGTATCGGTATCAGCTAAACATGAAAGATTGCTCAGACGTACGGCCTTTGCGTTGCTATTGCTTGTTCTCTCTTACTGGGTGGTGAAAATGATGCTTATTGCCAGTTTGGACGGTTCTATACGCCAATTCCTCCAGCCGAGATAACCCACAGAATTCGGTGAGCGAGCGCAATTGCTTCAGAATTTACGCGCTCTTGCTGAGTAGTGTCATTTATGCTGGGGTAGATTTGGCGAGAGGAGATATCGGCATCTAGGAGAGAAAGACACCTGGTCACTAGGGACAAGTATTCAGGAAAGTCGATTCTTGACGTCCCAAAGGAGATGCTCTTGCCCAGGGGAAAGGCAGCGAAGTAAGAAAGTCACAGGCTTGCTGATTCCTCAACCCGTACAGGATGTGCTACTGGTATATTCAGACATAGTTTATATTCTGCCAATTCTCACTGGCACAAAAAAGTCGCATTTTTTTTTTTTTTGCAAAAACTCACCGCAGTAGAGTACATGCTCATACATGTAGACTACGATCAAGATTCATAAACTGAAAGGCCGCGCTTTCATGTGAGTGGCTATAGATACTGTTATCGAAGTGGAAGCACCGCCTGGATCATGAGGACTGATGAGCTGATATTGCTGCCTTTGAAATCACCTGCTGCAATCCAAACCATTTATCAGTGGCGCAGTATTTGCCATTGTCATAATGCCATGCCGTGATCTGGGCCACAGATTCAGTCGGGCAGCCGTGATGTCTCAGTCGGAGTCAGTCCAAGCGCTGGATTACAGGATTAGCTCATCTCTTCGATGGCCTCTGCACAATCCGGAGGCTACTGTGTATTCGACACCAAGACGTTATAGTTCCTTTGAACCGTGAAACATTCAGCGCTGTCCTCTCATACGTCAGAAATCCGTAAAGGAGAAATGGAACCTTAAGCCAGGAGTGCATCTCTTGGACAGGATAGCATAGCTCTATGACTCCAACTCATGCGCATGTGCCCTGCCATTTGTACCCACAGCAGAAGGCTCAGGCCATGCTTTGTCGCCCATCAGCTCATACTTCTGGCCCTCCGTTCCCAACTCTAGAATACCATGTGGTGGTATCGCAGGTCCAACAGGCAGTGCATTCTCTCTACTCGCCTTTCTCAACCTCCTCCGCAGTAATATGATATATGCAACCAACGCCCCAAGTAGAAGGATTCCCAAGGATACTCCAACCCCAATACCCGCTTTTGCCCCCGTCCCTAATCCATCGGACGCGCTAGGTGCGTCGGAGGATACAGTTGCTCCTAAAGAGGTAGAGCTGGCGACGTCTGTGGCTATGCTTGATGTGAATGTGTGCGTGGCAGAGCTCGCGACGTCTGAGACTATGCTTGATGTGGACGCGTGTGTGCTCGAGCTCGTCTCTGTGGAGGTGACATAGATGGTTGTTGGACCAGTTGCAGTAGTCGTAGGGGGAAGTGTAAGAATCGATGTTTCAACGTGAGATGGAGTCCCTGGCGGGGTCATGAGAAATTGCTTCTGTGTGTCTTTTTAGAGACCACTCACCAAGCGAGGACATAGTGGGTTCAGCTAAATGCAGACCTTCGCAATAGTCTCAGTCAGGGCCGCGGAAAGGGGTTTCTATGCGTAACGCGTTCAAGGCAATGGATAAGCAGGCGGCTTCCTGCTAATCTGTGTCACCTCTGCTGGGTAGGGAATACATAAAGCTGGAATATTCGAACAAAGCTTGTTTGAATTCAGACTCCTGCTGGGGAAGGGATCAGGTAGTTCTATTTTCCTGTCTGTAGGCACTGCGATGAGGAATCAGCTGGGAACTGCTAACCTAGTCTACCCCCTCCCCTAGTGGCAAGCTATTGACTTGGCGTGCTTTTTATGCACCAAATCTGGCTAGTTACTTTTATTAATATAGTAATTCACCTCTAGGCAATCTTACATAATAATCAATTAGTGCTAGAGCACTACCTTTACATATATTTTGGTATGAATGTGCCTGTTAAAGGCCTTAGACTTACTCTAGGAATTTCTCTGAATCTTTGCTGAGTTACTATGCAAGGATAATACACCATAGAAAGCGTCAGATCAGCCTAGCTTCAATAATTTAATTGAACAACCATGAGAAGTAACTTTTAATGTAGTAGCACACTGGTTAAACCCAGTTAATGGTTGTCACGGCCCCTAGTTAGACCTCTTTAGTAATTTCTTATCATCTAAACTAAGGTTATAGGTTTAACTAACCTTCTAGCCTATAGCACTTATAACTTCTACCTAGCTTAACCTACTCTTTAGAGTGCTATATTATACCCTTACATAATATAACGTACCATATAACTTCTCTGCTCTGTAAGGCTTGACCTACTCTTTAGAGTATAATATAGTATCCCTTATGTACTTAATATATTAGTATGCTGCTATAGCAACTAAGCTTTACTATATTTTGGTAGGAGATTTATGGAGGTAGTGATATTAGGTAATATATGTGGCGAATAATAAAAAAATCCAGAAGTTCCTTTTGTACAATTAGTCCGCCGTACATTGACCATTTCACCCATGGTGGCGTACTCAGCAAAGAAAGAACCCTGCTTGACCCGCTAGGTTTAGAACCATATCAACATGGGTTTTTCTTAGAAACCCTGGAAAGAAGGCTCTTTAGTTAGAATAATATGAAGAAATGCTTAGACAGAAGCCGCTTACTGTAAGGCACCTGGAGATGTCCTAAGTACTAGCCAATTATATTCCTTCTAATCTTGCTCGCTTTAACACGTTTATCGCCAGGGAGTGGAAGAGCCTATACAGATCCCTTTGGTATAAGCGAATATGAAACGGACGCCGAATTCAACGTTATTTTTTCCGGGGTGTGCGATAGTTTTAATTCGACGCGAAGGTTGAACCTGCAACGACCAGGCAAGCTGCTAGTGACATGGGTGCCGAATTCTGGACTGCGCGTTTCCTCAGTATTTCGTGCTTTAAACATCCCTTCCTGGTTCGGAGACTACAAAACATGTGTGAACGGCACAGTGAGAGAACGGTCCTGGATATTGTGATGTAAATGCGCAAGGCCACTTGCAAGCAGTGGGAGAAATGAAAACTCCATAGATGCACAACCTGAAAAATGTCACGCTAAATGATCACGCAGAGTTCAGATATTATCTAGGTAGGCCAGAGCTCTTTTATGTCAAAGCGGCTTCTGCGATTTGGGTTCTCGTTGTTGTCTCTAATTATGCTAACGGATTATGGGTGTGGTAAATTTAAGACAGATATCACGCTACATGTACATCCCTAAGATGAAATATGGGTTTCTTATCATGTACGACCAAACGATCTCCCTCAAGCAAGCCCCGACCTGGAAATCTAAAAAAAAAAAAAAAAAAAAAAAAAATCTGGCTTTTTGGCACTCCGGCGTGATTTAGTATCTTCTAGCAGAGTGGACACGCTGTTGAAAGCGTCTCCGGCTTTCCTCTGGAGCTCTTGCCGAGACAACCTTCACAGTGCGCAGTCTACCAAGACGCCCACTCTGCCCAAATATTGTAAATATCGTATGTCAAAACTTTAATATTTATCTACTTTTGCGTGGTAGGTCAAGATCAAAAACAAAGCTTCAATTGCAGCTGCCTTTGATCGCCTGAACTTCCTAAGGCTATCCAACTTTTTCCGCATTATCGACCTTCTCCTATTAGACACTGTGTTCCTCAACTTTGCAAGATTGTTGAATCGAGCATTGTAATACAGTCTTTCCGCCATTAGTCGCCCGAGAAGATTAATCCCAATGCCAGATTCTCGGATATGGAGATATATTCTTTAGGATTGAAAGCCTCTCATCCCGCTCCAACGCTCTAAGTAAATCTATATAGATATTGGCAAGCAGCTATGAGACAACACGTGTAAGAATAGTTACTTGGATGCGGAGCTACAATGGCAGAGAGACTAGGTCATTTCTAAAATCCGGCAAGTTAAAGTATAGCACCTGCGATCTTGATAGTTTTCCCGCAAGCATAATGTTGACGGATGGAGAGATTTTGACCGCTTATATATATTCTGTGCAACCTTTATGAATGTCATGAAATCTGTATTTCGAATCTTAAGGAGGCAGGTCAGTCCTTCTGCCGGCAGATTAAGTCTATATTGCTTTTAGAGGTTATCGACGTGATTTACAGAGTGTGAGAAGAAGAAGGGAGAGAGATCACCGAAATAAATAGTACGTACTCTTAGGTTGCTTTTGGTATAGTTGCCTTTATTCTGTAAATGAGCAGACAGTCGTTCGTGTGTCATGCATAGAGCTTACAGGCATCATCAAGGTGTCAGGCTTGGGTTCTTTAGACCCGTTCATAGGGCCTAAGCTCAAGAAACTCCGCAAGAGAAATATCCGATATAGAATAATATATATCAACTTTTCCGGGCGGCACCATGCGCTCAGAATAGGGCAGCTAGCATAAACGAGGTCAATACCACAATGGGCCATAATAACACCAATATACCGATCATCTGGAGTATTTACTATCATTCGTTCCCTAATCCTGAGAAAGCCAGCGAGCGTAAGTCAACCGTACCTATTCGACGCACCTGAATTCGACCGCATTATATCCAGGGGCTGATAAACCTATCCAGTAGCCTTGAGTTGCAGAGCCTCCCAATAACAGATAACAGCGAGCGACATCTCGGACGCTATTACTGTTCACCCATCCAATCACCATGGCGCTTCATGTGCTTTTCGACTCCCAACTACATCTTAGCACCGTTCTTTTGACCAATATGCAGACACTGCTCTGATTCCGTATAGACAGCTCACTTGTTAGGGATTCCGCACCTACGAGTAGAGGCGGATGAGTTCTGCTTTACAAATTTCTTATCTCTTTGACATAAGCTATTTAATGCTGTATTTGATACCTTCTACCCCAGTCATGTATTCGATCGCAAGCTTTATTGGACCAGCGATAAAACATGCAGAGATCCTGCCAGGATCAACGCTGTTATATACTACTGTACCCTGCGACAGCACTAGTTTGTCAATAACTCCCCTATCCGGATCCTGGCCTTCGGCTATGGACGGGACTCCTAGATGTGCCGTATCGTCTGCCCACACTGCGTCAAAAGGAATGCTTGTGCTAGTAAAATTTCCAAGCTCTGACACTTTACGCGGCCTATCAGCCGTCTTTAAGAGTAGCTGGCTGCTCCTTTCGGACGACACTTCCTCTAGATTAAAAAGCACTGAAAGGCTACCATTGATGGACTCTTGGAGTGTTTTGTTGAAGTGCTGCTCTATGAAACGGGCTCAGTCCCGTGTTGCTAAATCTATATAAGACTAGCATACAAAATATTTCTGAGGAAGGAAGAAATGGAAAGTGGAAGACTGGGTGAAAGCAAGTCGTTATAACAATCATCGGGCACGTTACACTCTAATTCCTGACCGGTAGGCTATCCGCATCGAGTACCCGAACCGAACCGGTGTCTCGGGTATCCCCTATCAATGGTGTCAATAGATTTCATAGATGTACATACCGCAACGAGACACATGCGGGTTACTCTTTCCGATCACTGTTGAATACCCGTTCTCCGGGTATTACGTATTGGCACAAGCTTGGTCCTTGAGGTGTAAATATCACCAACTTTCCCACGGGGTACCGGCTAGCCAACGCACAGAACAATTTGGCTTAAGGAAGCTTGAGAAGTCTACATTAATTCGATAAAATGGAAGAGCCAACCTATGATCCGAGGTAGGAATTACTCACGTGTTTCCACTGGGTAAAATCTAATTCTGGCAGTCGTCCCATGCCTGCGATTAATGTGGTTTACTCGTACAACCTTGTCAATTGTCCCGGCAAGACAATCATTGGCCTGCGCGTGGAATTTCCCCCAAACGGATCGACTCCACCCCATCGGCACGGTGGCGCCTCAGTCTCGGCCTACGTCGTGAGCGGCACTCTTCTGAACAAGATGAATGACGACCCGATGAAGGTGATCCAGGCAGGAGGCACGTGGTATGAAGCCCCCGGTTGCCATCACCGCATCAGCGACAATGCTAGTCCGACAGAACCGGCCACACTGATGTCTGTTTTGGTCTTGGACTCGGACGTATACGAACGTGAGGGGATGGCGGCACTGATTCAGATCGATGAGGAGTATATACGCATTTAGCGTATTAGTCCAGGTCTAGCTACTTTGAAGCTGGGCAGTAGTAGACATGGCCGTTGATTATGTTGGGCTCGTTCACTGTAACGCATTTCAAAAGAAGATCTATGGCTATGACTCTCGTTGAAAAAATGGGTGTTTACTTGCAAGTCGGACATTGAAATCAACTGATGTGATATGGAATAAACCCGTATGTGAAGCTCTCCTGACTATTTAATTGAGCCCCATCCTCACGCTATCGGCGGTTTCTCCTTCGTAAGACAAGTTTTATTACTGTCAAGCACCGGGTCATATAGAGAGCTTATTTTGTAAGCATCCTGGAGGTTGATGGTAAATCACCTATAGGATTCGACCATTCCTTGCACGATCCGCTTGCTCTTTAGAGGTGTAATGTCCAGACTTCACATACAGCTGCTGCTGTTCTCGCGGCAAGGGCCAGGAGAGATATTTCCTCAGGATGGCATGGCCGGTGGTCAATCGAATTGCTGCGCAGCTTTAATGTGCACTGATCGCGCGATTTAGACTTCCGCCTTTTTGTAGAACTCAGCACGGATGGATTGGAAAGGCAACAAATGCCAGTCTACAGAAGCTGTGCCGACGTACCAAGGCGCGGCAAGTCAAGAGGTCGTTCCCACATCACTTGCGTATCGCACGCCGAACCAGGCTTAGAGACCTGTATGTAAGGGTCGTACTGGATATCCTCGCCATGACTCAACGTATTTACGCACAAATATCCTCTCACTGCAGTCCAGCCTACGCCAGTACGACGCCTTAAGACGCTATTGGACTCATACAAAGACAATATACGTACCCTCATTAGCGCACAATGTATTGTTTACAGTACCACATGTGACCACTTATAAGCTTTGCAGCTTTGGCCCACGAAGATAACTTACCTGCTCATTAAATCCATTACACGTAAACAATTTCAGCGAACGCTCTCGCCTTCCTCCTGGCAATGGCACCTGCTGATCTTTGAAAAGATAAAGGCGACGAATATCCGATCAAAATTGGCCTGTATCATAGAGAATGCTATCCGGTCAATGGTGTTCTCTAGTCGACTTTGGCATTAGATATCCAAAGGCTTTCTCTCGCCTCGTCCGCAACAATCTGGAGGCTTCTGGCCGTCTACTGTATCTGGCAGTGCCACGGCTGGAACATCAGGACCGCACTGAGGTTTAGGCAGCAGATCGGCATTGAACACAGGCTGCGTCGTTCCTTAACTAGGTGCTATCTAGCATAAGGTGTCCTACTTTAGGTGGAGCCTTGGAGACCGTTGTAAATCTCTATATAGAATTCTATATCTGAAAAACCTATCCTACCACCGAAAGCATCCCCCATTGATAGTCTGATTCGCAGAACTCTATCCGACCACGCGGACCAAATGTTCAAACAGCTGGTCAGAATCGGGGCCAATAGGGTCAGCCAATGCGAGTGCTTGATGGGCATCGTTAGGGGGGTATATCAACTGTTGGTTGATATAGCACTTCACTCGCTTTGCTATATCTCCAGAAACTTTGATATTTTCCCTCGCCCAGCCAGCAGTAACTAGGGCGCCCCAAGATCCGAGATCAAGACAGCAATTATATGCAGCCTGGGTGAACCCCATGAGGCGCTCACCAAGAAGCTCCGCTGCGGCATTGTACCCTGAAACGCGACCAAGCTGAAGCGCGTGCTGACAGCACATTAACGTATATTGATTTTTGCCATCGGCGAGTGCACAGGCGGCGTCACCTGTAGCAAAGACACCGTCAACGGACGAAACGCGAAGATACTGGTCGACATAAAGGCGAGCTAAAGCGTCCTTGGGCCCCGGGATCTGTTGTGTTAACGGTGTAGCTCTCACGCCGGCGGTCCAGATCGCAGTTTTTGTTTGGATACGCTCGCCAGACGTAAGAGTGACGCCTTCAGGATCAACTGCCTTCACTCCGGATCCGAGTCTAACCTCAACGCCAAGGTCTTTCAGCGCTTGTGTGATTGTGGAGCGAGGGCTAGATCCGAAACCGGGCCCAACTTCATCTGCGTTTCCGATCAAGATAACGCGAGCGTTGGCAATGTGGCCAAGCCGTCTAGGCAGCTCGGTGGCCAGCTCGATACCTGTGAAGCCGGCACCGCACACGACCACATTATCCCGACCAGGGCTTGCCGGAAGTGAAGCAAGACCATCGAGATGAGATTCAAGCTTGACAGCAGAGTTCAGAGAATCGATATCGAAAGCATGTTGGCGAAGGCCTGCGATGCCCTGAGGTCGTACGACGGAACTCCCAGCAGCAAGGATGAGGCGGTCGTAGTCGATAGTCGATTCGACACCCGAAGCACATCGGACTTCAACAGCGCGCCTTTCGGTGTGAACGGTCTTGACGACTCCAGGAAAGAACCTTATGCCGGCCTCTCTAAAGAGGGTCTCTAGAGGATGAATCAAGCTGGAGGCCTTGGACTCGTAGAGTCGTGGGCGCATGACTAAAACTGGCTCGGGAGCGATGACGATGATCTCGACCTCACTCTCCTTGCCCGTACAGTTGATGAGACGCTTTGCCGAGAGTGCGCTCCAGACTCCGGCAAATCCAGCACCAATGATGACTATCTTGGAAGACATGTTTCTGGAAGGGGAAGCTTTGCACAACAACTGTTTGGAGATGCGCTGTCGTGATTGTGTGGCCGATGTCGAGAAGCGATGAAGGGCCCTCATGCCATTTTTATACTCTAGCTAGTTCTACCGTTCTCGGGACATAGCACCATCACCAGACTCCCGGAAGATGTCGATGAGTATCGGGAAAGGATCAGCTACTTGCCTAATCGGTTAACCGGATACCCGGTTCGGTCAGGACCTCGCCAGGCCCATGGGCGGGAAAAAGGAAAAATAGAAGCCCTCGTCCCTTGCACAATTTATGCGGTATTTGGCTATATTTTATAGTATATCCGTTTTGTAGCTGTTTGTACGAGACCCATGGCTACACAAATCGACTATCATTCCTTTTCATGTTCGACTCTTCCCCTGTGCCACTATTTAGTGTCTCTCAACTATACTACTAGACTCGAAACTCCAGGGAGGTGCCTATGGTGGGAACTTGGTTTCAAAGCGGAAGCTGAACCAGCACGATATTCGATCACACGCTAGATATACGAGGTGGCGGTAGGATAAGCAGGAATTCTGTACATCAAACACTCCTCAACTGCTTGCTAAGTCATCAAGCAACTTCTTCAACTGCCTAACGTAAGGAACACAACAAACAGGATATCAGGTTCAAGAATCTGAGATAATCATGGTAGGTCACCTATAATATCTATCACTCCAAAGTTAGTTTGGTTGTGGGCTCCTGCTTTGCATTCTATAATGCTAGTCTTGCTGTACTGTACACATATAGCACACTGCAGGAGAATGAATATACCCTCTAGCTGTTTTGGTATGCCTTAGGATGGCGGGTAGGGTGGGCCTCCCGGGCTCTCTGGGTGTTGTTAGTAGCATCATGATTGACTCTCGCCACCATTGTTAATCATGCCGGTATTGATATGATTCATGTATATACCTTGTATGTAAGTCCTGAATCAACTAATCCTAGCACATACGACCACAGGGTGTGGAAAACAGGGCTTCCCGTCCGCTCAGCCGTACTTAAGCCACACGCCGGCCGGTTAGTAGTTGGGTGGGTGACCACCAGCGAATCCCGGCTGTTGTATGTTTTTTTTCTTGTTTTGGTATCATGACTGTCGTTTCTAGATCTCGCGTAGCCCTAATAAGTCCAGGGAAGGTCAGTGTCAAGCTGTTGGCTCCTGAACTATGAGGATGGACCCAGACGTGGGGCGGACAGATACTCCGTAATGTTTTCATGTTCCTCCTGCGGTCCGAAAACATGTATTGATAGTGTAGAATTTGCCATTGATTGTTCTCACGCCATGCCTAAATTAGGTATCCATCTGCTTGTTTCAATTCTTCAGAATTAGGTGAAGCCTAACATCTTTGATAGAACAAGTCAGCCATGGATCACAATCAAGGGTGTGCCTTTAAGGTATAGGGTGCGTCTATATAATGACCCTGCGATAATTACTGGTCCACGTCTGGAGAAATATTCCAACAAGGGTCAACTTCCAGGGATACTTAATAATAGCAACAACAGTGAAAACATGATAATATTAATCATGAAGCACCTGCCTCTTACTTCATGAAATTCATTCTGCTTTGCATTTTTAGTGGGCTTATTATGATCATCTTGTATGTAGATGCCAACGTCACTACACACATTCCTTCTGGAAAAGCCCATAATGCGCGGAAAAGCATAGCTCATCCCAGACCGTTCACCAGGGCGAAGGGCCCTTGCAGAGGTAGAATCAAGGTCACCGCGATAACGAAGCAAGCACAAGCCAGTTGGGTCTGCAGTAGGCGTTCTCGAAATCGATGTTTATCAGGGTCTGAGGGTCATGCCGGACTTGATTTCACCCGGTTTATCAGTTTGGGGGAGCGAATCCGAGCGAGGCTCAGTTGTTGGTCATGCTCCCATCCTGTCTAGACTGATCATGGCAGTATGATATGCATCTATCATCCCGTCCCTGTATCTGTCGCCAAATCCCCCTGTACCGTAGAGGACTCCGGATCCTGCTCCAGCAGCCGTAACCGCGAAGCCACCAGCTGCGTCTCCGCATCGTCTCGGCCCAGAATAGCCTGGAACCCGGTCAACGCGCGTCGATACATCGTCTCTGCCTCCTGCCGCTGTCCGCCCTGCGCGTAGACAACCCCCAACTTGTTCATCGCCCGCAGGGTCCAGACATGCCGCGCGCCCACCGTTCGCTCAAAGCCCGTCGCCGCCCGGTCGTACATCCGAGCCGCCGCGTCCAGATCTCTCCGCGTCCAGTACCACTCGCCCAGCTGATTGACCGTATTCAGCGTGAACACATGCTCCGCGCCCAACCGCGTCTCGAACCCGGCCAACGCCCGCCCCAGCATTGTCCCCGCCTCGGGCTTCCCCTGGCTCTGCAGCGCCACTCCCACATAGTACACTGTCAGTAAGGTGGCAACGTGGTCTGCGCCCAGCGGGCTCCGCTCGAAACCCTGCAGCGCTCGCCGACACATCTCCTCTGCCCGCATCGGATTGCCCGAATACCCATGCACCGAGCCCAGGTCGCGCAGCGCATTCAGCGTCTCCGGATGTCCGTCCCCCAGGGCGGTCTGCAGCGTCGTGAATGCCGCATGGCACAGCGTCGCCGCCTCGGTCATCTTGCCCTCATCGCGGTAGATCAGCCCGAGATCTCGCATCGCGTTCGCCGTCTGGATGTCCGACTCGCCTAGCGCGGCGCTGAGCCCGCTTACCGCGCGCCGGCCCAGGGTTTCAGCCTGCGCTAGCTTGCTCTGGTCCTTGTAGGCCAGGGCAAGGGCGTGCGCCGTCCGCAGCGCGCTGAGATGGTCCGGCGCCAGCGTCTTCTCGAACCCGTGCAGTGCGCGCGTCAGCATGCTCTCGGCCTCGGGCAGTCGGCCCTGTGTACGGTACAGCATGCCGAGGTTGAATGTGGCTTCGAGGGCGGACGTGTCGTTCGGCCCGCGCGCGGTCTCTGCGGCGCTCAAAGCACGCTGGAAGACGGTCTCGGCGGCGGCGGGCTTGTTTGCGGCGTGGTAGACGGTGCCGAGCTGGTTGAGCGTCACGAGTGTGAACGGGTCGTGTGGGCCGCGCGTGAGTTCATAGCCCTGTAGGGCCTGCGAGTACAACGTCTCCGCCTCGGCGAGCTTGTTCTGGCTCTGGTAGCAGGAGGCTAGACAGGAGGAGAGCTCGACAGTGGAGATGTCGGTAGGCCCGCGGAGGGAGCGGTAGCCTGCCAGGGCGCGCTGAAAGGCCCGTTCGGCGTCGTGGAACCGGCTCAGTTTCTGGTAGGCGATGCCCAGCCGGTGCAGAGTGAGGAGGAACGACGGGTCGTTGAGCTTGTCAGACCTCTCAAGATGCTCGTAGCCTGCGACGGCGGCGTGGAACATGCTTGCCGCCTGGGAGGGCTTTCCCTGGTTCCAGTAGAATAGACCCAGCTCGTTGAGGGCTTTTAGCACTGCTGGACCGTAGGGACTGTCCGGCTGATGATCCACCAATCGCAGCATGTGGTCCACATGCGGCAGTAGTCGCTGTTGGAGATGCGATTCCCCGAGAGGCAGTTGTGACGCGGCCACCCCGAGACATACCAGGGCGATAGCCCGGAAAGGCGTGTCTTTCTCTGCTGTAAACGTGCTCTCAACGTGGTGGCAGGCCTGACGGACGAGCGCATGCATCGAGTAGCTCTCTCGAGTGCGGTCCGTCTGGAGCAGGGCGAGGTCTTCCAGGCTGGCGGTCGCCAACCGCAAGGCGCTTTTGCTGGCTGCGATGCGACAGAACCAGTGTGGCATGCCCGTGCTGGAGGCTCCCGAATGAAGCAGTTCGAACCAGACCGGGTAGGGGCCAAAGTATGACAGGAGTTGCAAGACGTTGGCGGCGACTGGGTCTGTGTCGCGGGTCCGGTTGAAGGCGACAACGAAGGCAGCCAGTAATTTATGATCGCCAGATGACAATGTCGTCGAGTTCACCTTTAGATCAACCTGGATCAGATTGTCGGTATGTAGATATGTTGACACGCTCCAGCCAGTTGAACGGATCACAGCACTGGCTAAGACGATGGCGAGGGGCAGCCCATCCAGCCGTCGAATGAGGCACAGAAGGTCGGTCTTAGTATCCCATGATTCCCATCCATCCTGAGCGTCTTTCGGAGTTGGGTCCCACGCGCCGGTCAGCAACTGCATTGCTTCGCCGTCCGCCATCCTCTCCACCAGACGAGGTTTCCCAAGTACTCCAGACTGCAGTAACCGTGTCGTGATTAAAATCGACCCCCGATCCACCTGCGGGAAAAACGTCCTGATATCGTAGCTTTCGTCATCATCAGTTCCTTCGCCCAACGAATGGGGCACGTCGTCAAAAATAAGCAGCCACTTGCTGTTCCCGGGCGTTTCCAACCACTTGAGGACTTGTTTCGTGCGGAGGTCCATCTCTTTCTGACTCTTAGGCTCCCCTGTTGTCTCGATATCTGGCAGGTTGACATACACCCGGGCTAGAGACCGGGTTACCGTCTGGCGGCTGCGTGCGTCCAGCCAGATGACGGCGGTGAAATCGTCCTTGTGTAATCGGGCAAACTGCAGCGCTAACTGGGACTTCCCCATCCCGCTGGGTCCGTGAAGGGCGACAATTTTCCGCATCTGACCTTGATTCGGGGATAGATCCTTCCACAGGGCATCGAGATCGCCTTGTCGGCCGACGAATTGATGCACCGCTGGCATACTGTCGATGTCAAACCGCAGACGAAAGGTGGACTCTACTCCCATCAGAATGCATTCTCCCTACATATATACGTATCTCCTTCGGTATGTACATTACCACTCACCAGCCTGGGATAGTATCTTCTGCACCGTCGGCGTCTCCTTCGTATGCGCTACCGACGCTACCACCAACAGATCCTTTGCACACGCTGCCGCGGTGGCCGCCGCATACGCCTGCCACTGCTTGTGTTTGTGGGTGTCCGAATAGTCACAGATGCCCCGGATAGCGACGCAGGGGAAGTTATCCATGAGCCCCGCGGCCTCCATCTCAAAACACAGAATCCCAAATTGTTTGCCCAGGCGGTCCCGTGTCAACGCATGCTTGATCACCTGGTTACCTGACGCGATCAGCCCGTAGTGGATGCGCGGATTCGTCGACCGACGAGGCTTGCGAACCACCACTCGCGTCGCGTCGCAAACCTCGCAGGTGGTCTCTGTAGGGACGTGTTCGTAGTCCGCCATGAAAAGCAGGTCGTCCTCCACCCCCGGGTAGACAAACTGCTCGAGGTCGGGGTAGTCGTCGACGATCTTGGTGAGGAACTGCGGGACCTGGGTCTTGCCCAGGAGGTGGTTGGATTCCAGGTCTGCAATCGCGGTCAGTAGCACCGAGGGCGGTTTGTTCAACGAGCCTGTCTGCTCGAAGACGCCGCCACTGACTGTTTTGCCGTAGTCGTACTGCACAACACCGCTGTAATGGCCCGTGGGCTTGCTGATCACGACATCGCCTAGCCGGATGTCGGCGCTCTTGCTAGGCACGCCGCCGCCAATGCCAACCATCAGTCCAAACCGGATGGCTGGGAAGGTGGTGGAGAGGTGCGAGGCGACGACAGCGGCCGAGGTCGTGCCGTACACTCCCGCTGGGAGACAGGCGATGACGACGTTATGTCCCTGAATCGCTCCGAGGGAGTACGTATTGGGGTCTTGGGTGGACTGGGGCAGTTTGGCGTGAGCCTCATCTAGCATTGCCTTGGCCGCAGCCATTTCGATTGGCAGCGCGCATATCCACGCGACGGTGTAGTCCTCGTGCGTGAGCGTTTTCATTTTGCTGGTGGACAGCGATGTTTAGACAAGGTTGAACGGGATAGAGAGGGATAGCATGAAGAATATGGATGTTGTTCGGAGGTTGATGGATTCAAAAGAGTGGCTTTCTGTCCTATGGTGAGGATGACTGCAGGCTCATGGCGGGGTATTTGCCAGTAAGCAGGCAATCTCTGCAACGAGAGTCACTCAAATCTCTTTCACCAGCTGAACTCCACTGCTCCAATGAAGTAAACAGAAGTTTCAGGGCTCGCAAGGCTGTAGAGTCTCGACTATATTACTGGCCCGGCTGACTGACAGTGGCTGTCTGAATGATTCAGCTGTCCACCTGCTCGACCGGGGCGCAGCCACCACCAAGTGAGAGATGGCAGGTGTGACTGCCTCGCACACGAACAATTCACTCCAATCATGGGCTTTTCATTCGTATGTACCCCTGACGAATGCAGGCTGACAGTGATCTAATTGGAAGGAGTCATGGATCGCGACCAATAACCAGCATCGTCCGGTGTCTATAAAGGTCTAATCCCCGGTCCCCGCCTCCTTCTTTTTTCCCTCTTCCTTTTTTGGGTCCTCGTTACTTACTCAGACTCCGCCATTCTGAGGAGCTTTTATTGTACTTGACTGAGCAGTCTCCAACCCTTAAGGATGACCGTCTCTTGGTATACTGGGCATTTGGTTGCCAACGGTTGCACAGGCAACTATGAGGGCTACGTCGACATGCCCTCCCAACAGCCGCTGGGCCAAGGGACAATGTGGCTCACCAACGGCAAATATTACAACGGCACGTGGTCCGACGGCCGGTACCACGGCACCGGCACTCTCAAGACGGCGGAGTTCGAATACACCGGCAGCTTTTCCAAGGGCTACATCACTGGTGAGGGGACCATGACCTACAAGGGCAAAGGAGTCTACCAGGGCTGGTTCGACAAGCGACGTCGAGAGGGCCGCGGCACCATGATCTGGAATAACGGCATCAAGTACGCCGGCATATGGGTGGATGACAAGATCAATGGGTTCGGCAAGGTCACATGGCCCAATGGAGACTGGTTCGAATCCAACTGGAACGGAGCCTTTAGCGATATCTGGGTGGGCAAAGGCCAGCATGGGCCGGGCCGGGCGTACTGGCACTGGAAGGGCGATGGGGGGGATCTGTATTTTGGAGCCACTATGGACAGGTATAGACATGGCCTTGGCACTCTCACCACTCGGGACTACAAGTTCGAGGGAAATTTCAGGAACGGTGCTCGACACGGAACCTTCAAGGTCACTAACTTGGCTACGAAGAAGATCACCCATCACAAGTACGTGAATGACGTGAGGGTATGATGCCTAGTTGACTGGTTTGGTCGCCAGTGTTGACGAAGCTTAAGCAGAATATATTGGGTTCAGGTATTGCTTGGTCCATGTGGAACATATGCTACATGTTTGTCGCTGCCATAAACTTAAGCCTTGCGAGCAGTACATCAAAGCATCTTTTGAAGGATATTCCTCGGTGTCTGAACACTTTAGCCTATATGACTTTGGGTGTCTGATGTCTCTTACTGTCTGAACATTCTATTGTCCGAACTCCTATAATGTCTAAACACTTAGACGTCTGAACTCCCTTAGCATTAAAACGTTTTCCTGCCCGAACTCTCCTGATGTCTGAACATTTTAGCGGGGCAGCCCAGTATGGACGGGAATCGACCTAAGCAATTAATAGGGAATCCGAAGAGCCCACGGTTCCAATCTAAATATTCGGCGCTTCGCTAGGCACCTGTAGTGGCTGGAACAGAAATAAATTTGCTTCTCTAAGCCTACTGGGCCATGAAGCAGGCCATTTCACACGCAATCGCTTCGAGAGAAAAGAAAGTAGTAGACCAAATCAGAGATAAGCAAATGCGCATAAGGGCAAATAAGCCACTGAAATGAAAGCCCGGATGTACATGACGAGTACGCAGGTTATATGCTAATTTTTCTTCCCATCCCATGTGCTGAGACAAGCATAACACAGAGTAGACATCCCAATGGAACTTAACCAGAGTGTTAATAGTCTCTGGGGTCAGCTTGAAGGCAACCGCTTTTATATAAGCCATATCAATATACATGACATATGCTTTAATATGAATCATCTGGTACTGCAGTGCCACATCTAGCACTTATAGAACCATTAGAAACATTACAGAGCAGAGTCTACATAGCACTTGGCAAAGACAAGATCTCTTTTGGTGTTTTTTATGCTGTGTAATATTCTTTAGGGGTCCCTTACCCTTATAGACTTGCTTTATATATTAGGGTGCTGCTGCCCTAGGATACATCTACGTCCACAGTAGCGGCCTAGACCAACAGCAAGTGGACTGCCTCTTATCGTTCTTTTGTTCTTTGCTCATTCGCCAATTGCGTCTACTGACGCTTGGACAGACATATGGCGTACGCCGAGTTAGTTGGCATTGATCCCTCCAGCTTTGCTCTAACAGCTTGCCTACCCACTGTTGATGTTGTTGGTGTCAATCCCAGGGGTGTATGCATAATTTAGTGATCTCGAACCTGTGCAACAAGCAACCTTTACCTGCATGGTGACCTTTGTCATTTGTCCAGTGCTCATATACCTACTATCCAGATTATATCTGGGACCTCATTTCCACCGACTTTGCCTTGTGGAAATCTCACATTCTCGAACTATATCTACTCAATGTCTTTGCGCGCTTGCCTTCTGATTCCAAAATTGCTACTCCTGTCTCCAACTCCTTGCTCTTGTACTGTCAATGCTGTGAAAACTCCTGGCCTGTGCTCGGCCAACATGAGATTCCAAGGCCAAGGGAAGAAAATGTTTTAGTAGCAGAATATTTCTCCGACAATCTTCTCGCTCAGAGTCCACAATTTCTCTGCATTGGAGGCGTCAGAGGCATAATTCAGAACCTTTTCTGGATTACAGTCGCTTAGGAGTGACCCTGATTGATCTTTGTGAACTAGTTAGCCCACTTTCTACTCGGTGCACAGCCGATACTAATACACTTACTGTCAATGGCAGGGTCCAGGGCCGCTGCGACAGTAGTAGCGCAGCCCTGCTCGATGTCCTTTTCTTTCGGCAACTCCAGCTTCTTGCTTTCAAACATGGATCCCACAATTGGCCATGCTGCTGGATCTACTCCGGACAGACCCGTTGTCTGAATAACTCCCGGGTGCAATGAATAGGACCTTATCTCCTTCGTCTCCAGTTTTCTGGCTAATGCAACAGCGACCAAAATGTTTGCTGTCTTGGACTGTCCATAAGCTATCCAAGGGTCGTAGGTCTTGCCGTCGGAGAAGTTGTAGTTGTCGAACATAACTGGGCTAAGCCGGTACATGGCACTGGATACATTCACGATCCGAGCGCCACCACCAGAAGCTTCAAGTTTCGGAACAAGGAGGTTGGTGAGCAGGAAATGGCCAATGTGATTCGCACCCGGGTGACTTTCCACGTTTTCAGCAGTCAGAGAAAACTTGACACCCATAATGCCTGCGTTATTAATGAGGACGTCGATCTTCGAGACAGAGGCATTAATCTCCGCTGCCGCGGCGCGCACTGATGCACAAGACATGAGGTCGATTTTGATAAATCGAACAATGGTGGAGGGGCTGGTTTTGCTGATCGCCTTCATGACTGGGGAGACTTTCTCTTCGGAGCGTCCGAGAAGGATGATCTCAGCAGGATTGGCGGCTGCTAGGCGAAGGGCTGTGTGGGCTCCAAGCCCTCCATGACTAGCTCCAGTGATAACAACTAATAGCCTCTTAGCAACAACATAGAATCGAGCAAAACCTCGTTCCAGTTATAGAGGAATTCTGCTGTTCGCAGGAAGATATACTAACATGTCTTCCCAGCCACTCGATCTGGCAATGCAGCAACCACTTCGGACCCGGTCGTCGAGAAATTGAAAGCAGTCATCCTCAACAACGTAGGTCGTACAATACAGCCAAGGCAAAAGAAAAAGCTATCAGGTATCCGTATAATAGCAGTGTCAACAGGTCAGCCATGACCTCCGCTCGAGTTATATATACTTATTCTGCTCCTCCGAGGTGGCTTATGCTGATTAGGAAGCAATCCAGTGACAACTACATTTCCAAGCACTACTGTCGTCGGATAACTAATCTATCTGGCTCCAACCTTGTGAGTTAGGGTTCCGATTGTTAATCATTTGAGCTGCATATGATCAAGGCTGTTGTGAGATTCGAGCAATCATTCGCGTCATCACCAGTAACTTCACGGCTGAGTGGACTGTCGATGGTGGCGGTGGGAGATGGCCGGTGGGAGACCAAGGTCGAACACCCGTGCAAACCTCAGCAAGGCCCACTCCTCTCCTTTGCCAGGTCATTTCTGAAGGAGCACTTGTTACTAGAGCCACCTTACTGATGGAGGGCTTGGGTAGCGAAGTTGAGCTCTTTGAGACTCTCGAGTCCTTTCGTGTACGACACGTTCCGGTGTCGATTTCCTGGCTGCAATGCGAGGTACCGGCGCAAGGAGCATTTAAAACGCCATGAAGATTCAACGCACAGCCAGCAGCAGGCCTTTGTCTGTTTTGCCTGTGGTTGCCAATACAGAAGGAGGTATCCATGTGCTTACGCTTACCCTAACTATAGCATTGCAATTAGTGATACACTTCGACGTCATATTCAAAGGCAGCACAAAACAACTGAGCCTCTAAATCGCGCACGCCGAGCTTGTGCGGGTTGCCATACTAGCAAAAGTCGGTGCGAAGGGGGCATGCCATGTCAGGAGTGTGTCCGTCGCAACATTCCATGTTCATTTCAAGATAAGGCTGGTATGGCAGAGCAGCAGCATCCCAGAATCTGGAATTCACTGGCATCATCTCCAAACCACGAACGGTCTCAGGAACATTATTGGACGAAGAGGAAGCAGTACGTTGATCATTACTTTGAAGTATTTTATCCTCGTTGGCCTTTCATCCATAAAGGGACATTCAATCTACACCGAGAAACCCCGCTACTTCTACAATCAATGGTAGCTATAGGTATGTGGACATCAAGGGAACCGTCTGCACTGTCTGCGGCAGTGGAGCTTCATGCTAAACTTGATTTTGCTATTCGAGATCAACGGGTACATCAGATCATTAACCTGTAATGTGCCTAATTGCTGACATGTAAACCACAGGAAAAATGGGATGCCTCAGAAGTAGAGGGGGCATGCAGCAACTGCTTCTGGCCAATAGCGACATATCTGGCCATCCTACTCCATATTATTTTCTCTGTTCTCACGAGAAGCAGAGGTGTTGTCAACCTTGACCTGAAAGCATCTATTTCAGCTGAGGATTTAACACTGCTTGAATCACCTGTTGGAAGCTGTCGAAGACTCGGCATGTTCTCCTATCCGAACATGCTCACCAAGTATAAGGAAGCTGACCTGCCCTCTTTTGTCTGGGTGGGCGTTGAAGAGTTCAAACGATTCAATATATCACTGTATAAGCTTTGTGGGAGATTGAGTAGCGCAACTTCGCAGGAGACCAGCCTCTACTGCCTGCCAATGAAAGCAATGATCCGTTATGGGATTCCACTGAAAGAGATGAGTGGGAAACTCATGCGAAGGAGGAGTATACGGATTCCTTGAAGAACGAGCTTCGGGAGAAATGGATTTCGAAGTTTGCAAACATGTTAGATTTCCTTGCTTTATAGTTTATTTATGAATTGTGGTGATCATCAATGAACCGACGGACCGGCCGCTGGCAAGGACACAGTGATGTATCATTGAGGTAGTAATTTCAAATTCTTGAGTCCGTAAATTAGGCCATGCGATGAAGTATTTTGGAAAAGGGACTTCTGGTCGCTGGGCCCGGGGTGTATTAAATTGAGCAGCTATCCTCTCCCACACAGCCCTTTTGTCTTCCGCCCATTTGCCCATGCAAAAGCTGTGTACCCTTCCTTTACCTTCTCCGTGTTCCGGCCAGTCGGTTTGTTCAGGGACAAATGGGGGTCATAAGCCAGGTCTTATCCGAGACGGACATCTGCTCACCTTAAAGGGAACGTAGACCTTAAGGAAAGCAATAGCATTCACCCATGACTAGCAATAGCAAGCAGTAGCCAAAGAACACTATGGTGGGAGAAGAATCCTTTCATGTTTGGTGACGATGTTGCTATCATCCTTGTCATCCACCTCGAGGGTTGGGCCCCGAGATAGTAAGCAAACCAAATTGCGTCGTTGAAAACGGCTCACGCGCTATCCCTATTCCCTACTTTTCACAGGATATCGGTAGCCAGCTACGCAGGTATCGGCCAAAAAGCTGAGCCATAGGACCACAGGCCAAGATGTCCGGAGCGCCCTTTAATGCCTTATGCAGATTCTCACGGCCATACTCCACCATATTTTCGTACACCTCCCATCGCGTCCGCTCACCCAGAACTTTCTCCTTCAGCATCGGAACAAGAGGGTATAGAGGGTCATCTGACCTCAGTGAGAGAGATTGCACCCACTCGGTGTACGTGACCCCGTGCATTGGGTATGGACATATGGTTTTCAACAGGTTGAAGCTTGTACACATATCGATCGCATGCGTTTTGTCCGGATGCACCAGATTGTAAGCATGTCTTAGGTTGTCTCTCGACTTGGATATGTGTAACATAGCGCCCACAATGTAATCCACGGGTATGAATTCCTTCCGCTGACTTGGAAGGAGAGGGTAACATCCCATCTCCATACAGCTTGCGAACACCCGGCCGACGAAGTCATCCGGGTTGCAGACCCCTGTTTGGCTGTGGCCGAGAACGAAGCCAGGACGGTAGATGGCAACAGGGAGGCCATTGTCGATTGCATTCCAGACAATTGCTTCTGCGACATATTGGCTTTGTGCGTAACCCGTGTCGTAATGCAGTGCTGCCAAGTGTGAGGCCGGACGTTCATCCTCGTGCACGAACTTGGTACCAGTCACGAGCCCTGTAGGCCCATATACCGCGATGGTCGAGGTGTAGTGAGTTGCCTTTAGACGCTTGTGGTTGGCAAATTCGAGAATGTTGCATGTGCCGACGACATTGTCCATTCTATGGGATGAATAGGGGGCAACGTAGCTCACTTTAGCCCCAAGATGAAAGACGACGCTGGCCCACTCAGCATAGTAATCGTAGTCCCTGCGATTTAATCCAAGGCTTGCTTCACCGAAACTGCCTGGCACGACGACAACTTTATCCAGATCTGAGTAGATCTGGTATTTACGAAGAATGTTCTCAAGGCGCAACCGCCCAGCGGCTTTATCTTTGTCGCGAATCAAACAAGCGACCTTCTTCACCGTCGGCATTTGCAACAATTCTGCGAGAAAGAACGCACCAACAAAGCCAGTAGCTCCTGTGAGGAAAACACGCCCCTCAGAAACGTCTTCCCAGTCGACGACTGTGCCAGGCAGAGGCTTCAAGTGCTGCCCCAGTTGCGAGTCCTGCAACCATAGCTCTTGTTCGGCTTCGTTGGCAAGCTCCGTACTTTTGTCCTGAATATTTTCCAACAGATTGGTAAGGCTCCTTAGGGTCGGGTTTTCGTAAAGCATCGATGCGCGCAGCGAGACTCCAAATGTACGGTTAATTCTAGCGAGCAAAGTTGCGGCCATCAATGAATTGGCTCCCATCGCCATGAAGTCATCGGTTGGATCGAAGCCCTCAGTGGGAAGACTCAAAACGTCAACACAGAGTGCCTTTAGTTTGGCTTCCACGTTGCCGATATCCTTGCCTGCAGGTCGGCTTGCCATGCACGAATCTTCAACTTTTGCAAGGTATCGATGCTCCAACTCCTTGCGGTCTGTTTTGCCACTGGTCTTCAGCGGCAATGAACCCATGAGTTCAATGCGAGGCACGATGAGATGGGAGTACCTTTCAACATATTCTTTGGTCATTGCGGCGACGGTGATGCAAGGAGATATTGGAACACAGAATGCAACCAGTAATGGACTTCTCCCGGCTCCTTTGGGTGTGATTTTAATCACTACTGCAGCACTGACGAGTTTTGTCCTGACAAGGTTGGATTCCAAAGCCTCAATCTCGACCCTTTGCCCTCTTATCTTTACTTGGCTGTCTCTTCGACCAACATAGTAGTGGACACCATCTTCATCCATACGCATCAGGTCGCCTGTCCGGTAAATGTGTCCTGGTCCGCGGTTGCTGTGGAGCGGAAGATGAGGAAGGGAGACGAAGCTTTTGGCGGTCTTTTCAGGCTCTCCGATGTAACCGCCAGCGACTCCTGCACCCGCCACGAGGAGCTCACCGATAACGCCGGGCTTGACAGGCATCAGGTTCTCATCCACGAGGAAGGTCTGTACGTGGCGGAAAGGCTTGCCCACGGGTATCTCGCCCCGCTGTGCCTCCTCCCGTGAGACACGATGCCAGAGTGAGTATACACTGCACTCTGTGGGCCCGTAGCCATTGATGATGCGCCGTGGTGCGCCTGCCTCAAATATGGACCTGATGGTTTGAACATTGATCGCTTCGCCACCGGTGATTAGGGTGTCAAGGGAGGAAAAAGCACTTGGGGAAGCGTACGCAGTGATATCAAGTAACGATGTCGTGAGTTGCACAACGTTAAGCTTCAGGCTCTTAATCTGGTGAGAGAGCTCTATAGGATCGAGTACTGTTTCCATCGGAATGCAAACTATTGTCGCCCCGTTCAGTAAGCTGCCCCAGATCTCTACCAACGAGATATCAAAGGCCACACTCGCTATATGACCGACACGGTCACCTTTTTTTACAAAGGCCGAAGGATCGAGACAGAGGTTGATAAGTCCCTCCGCAAAGGTTTCGACGGCTTTTGGCTTGCCAGTCGTGCCAGAGGTATGGAGGATATGAGAACAGCTCTTGCGGCCCTTGAACAATGGCTCGAAGCTAGGACCAGAAGCCTCAATCGTATGGTCAGCAAGGACATGTGCGAAAGTCGGAAGTCGATGCGTGTTCTCTTGATCGCATATGACGAGGTTGGAGTTGATATTGTGCAGCATGTCATTGAGATGATCATCGGGCAGCTTGAGATCAAGAGGCACGCATGATCTACCCAAGTAGAGCACGGCGATCTGGGCCAAAATATGGTTTATTCCTCTCGGAACAAGGATCCCAACCGGAGTTTCGTCGCAGGGGCAGAGCCGATGAATTTGCCGGGCCAGATACAGTGCTTTCCAATGCAAATCAGCATATGATAATGCATGGCCATCGCTCTCGACCGCTATTGCTGCACCATTCGCAGATACCTGCGCTTCGAAAAGAGCCCCGAGGCCTAGGTTCAATTGATTTATTTCTGAAAAGACCATCTTGCTGGGCAACGGCATAGTAGGCTAAATGGAAATGAGCAGCAAGTAGCAGCAGATCGTCTGTCAAAATATGTATGCTGTATTATGAGATGATGAGAGTACGCAGAGACCAATGGTTTTGAGCTATAAGAGCTTCGGGAGTACGCCCCTATCACGTATTTATCAAACTACTGCCACTGTAAGTAGGAGCTATGTGTGGTGGGATCCGAATCCTCCAATGGATCTAAGCCCAGCTCTACCAGCATCATAACAGTGTTATTCATTGTAAACCCGGATCTATGACGGTATGTAGGTATTTGGGATCGCCACCTTTCCTATAAGCTACTGTTTGTCTCTTCATAAACTCGGCCTCCAGCAATGGTGGTGTCATGCATGGGAATCATCGCCAGGAAAGTCCAAGGATGGGGCGGCACTTTGCTCTAGAATGCAGACAATGGAGAGCGATCTTCCGCAAACAGCGTTGAGTAGGGCAAGAGAGTGTTTCCTAGTTGGCAGAGACAAATACATTAATAGTACAGGTATTCCATGTTCGAGAGTCCCGACAAAGAGGAGCATAGCAGCTAACTCCAACGAGCCATGGTAATCCAATTGCTGTTGTCCTAAGAGTGAAGAAATCTATGTTGACGCAACCCCTTCGTGGGCTGAACAAAAATACATGTTTCGCCTGAGATCCGTCGAGGTAGTCTTGCGCTGATATGATGCGTCCAGACTTCTGCATTGCGTTGACAGCTTTACAAAACCCCAGGGCATCAGGCACCACAACAAGCATTGCCTGATACCAATTGTAAATTTCTCTATGCACCTTCTTCCCCTTTGCAACGCGGTCTCGATCGTAGGAAGTCGTATTTGATAGGGCAGTACCACTAGTCAATCAGCTTTCATCTTTCAATAACTACTATAGTAGAGAGATGTTAAAGAAGTTCAACCAAGTCCGCTCAGCTTGCGTAATAAATTGCATCATATAATCTGTACTACATTCATTCATATACACATCCTTTATGAGAATTTGGCATTGATGTCACAAGTCTAACTTTAGATATGGAACTAATGATATATACTGATTCTAGACTATATGATGCAATGGTTGTCTGGCACACTTGTACTTGATTAGGAAAGCAAGAGCCAATAACGTAACAAAATGGCAGCCTTCAAGGCTTTGATATCTCAACCATGCACTCATATGCTATTTATGTGAGTAAGATATTCAGAGTATATATAGTCTAGAGTATATGAATACTCTTTTACAAGGCCCTAAAATACTATTCCTCTTGCTTGATGTTTAAAAAGCTAGTATTACCAAAAATACAGGTGTAATTTATGTTACCTAAGTATATACATATACTAGGAGGCTGTGGCTTATAAGTGTGGCTCTATATGTCTATACTATACCTTATGCCTAAACTTAGACCCTCTAGGTGCTTGGTTGTTGAGATATCAAAGCCTTAAAGGGTGCTATTTTATATGGAATACAGAGATGGGCGGCTGGCCCGGGCGGGCGGCTCGCCTGGGAAATACGTTAGTATAGAGTTGCTTAAGTAGGGAGTATGAATAACCGTATAAAGTCATTGGAGATTTCAGATGGTTACGTTAATGTGACCACTTGTGATGTCGACGAGCTTCCTATCGGTGGTGTAGCCAACTGAGCATCATCGATCTGCTTACTGCTAAGCAACATTTGCATTATCCGTACTTTCCGTATAGTGAAATCATCTCATAACTCAAAGATCTTCAAAAACAATATGCGCCGAAATTGCAACCTTGCAGTGGCAAAGCCGTTTTATGATGATCTGGGCGTGCTTTAGACATTATTCACTGTGGATAACAGGTATCCACCTGTGTCTGGGCGTACAAGTCGCTCGCTGCTGGATGCGTGCAGCTATGCCTAGACCATCTAAATTCTGTCCCGCCCCTTGAGAGAAATATAAGAGTCAGTGATCCTTGTTCTATGTTGAAGTCCTCGTGTAGTTGTTTTACTCCAGGGAAAACAACAAAAGAGCGACGAGGATCATGTCAGCCGAACCGAAGACCATTGCTGTGTATGGTGCTACAGGTAACAAGCCGACAGCTCCACGTTATAACAAGTAATTGACAATGTTAAGGTACTCAGGGGACCGCAGTCTCGCTGAGCTTGCTCCAGAGCAAGCAGAACTTCGTGGTGCGGGCAATTACTCGGAACCCTCAAGCACCCAAGGCTCAAGCACTTGCTCGCCTGGGAGCACAGGTAGTGGAGGCAGATGGTTTCAATAATGACGAGATGCTGGCGGCGCTCTCTGGAGCTTGGGGCTTTTGGCTCAATACTCATCATCACGAGCCAGTAAGCATTCGCAGAAGGACTGCTAAGAGAACAAGCTAACCACCATCGTAGGCACTCCTCACTCCTGAAGGCCCCGACGACGAAGCGTTTGGCAAACGCCTTGTAGCGCTTGCTGCGAAAGCCGGCGTCAAGGTGTTTATTTACAGTACGTGCGAGTCTCCTGCGCAGTTTACGTACAACAAGGCACCGGTACCTGGTATGGATGGTATGTAGAATTTCCCATTCAGGCAATTATCTCTGTCGCCACAAGAGTCTATTCTGACATTGCATCATAGGCAAGAACAGAGTCGAGATGTTTGCTCGAAGCTTTAAAGAGTTTGACTCTGTCATTGGTGCTTTTCCTGGATGGTATATGGAGAATTTCCTGTCCGAGGAATACGTGTCATGCTTTGGAGGCTTTCCGTCTGTTCCAGATGCCGAAGGCTATCTTACCTTTCACAGCCCTCTTTGGGGAGGGGATGGAAAAGTTCAGTTTATCTCCATCGCGGATGACTTTGGAGAGATGGTCCATGGAATGTTCCTCAATCCAGCAAAATGGAAGAACAAAACCATCCAATGCTTTAGCGATGCGTTTACTTACGACGATATGGCAAAGATATTTAATAAAGGTGAGTAGCCTACCCGAACCCAATCCATGACAGCAGCCTAAGCGAACATCTTCACAGTTACCGGAAAGAAAACTCGATATGTTCCTATGGACTCGTACAACGATTTCCCCACCCATGGCAGTACCGTTCTGGAAGAGATCCAAGATGTTTTTAGATACGCCCAGGCAAATAATGGTTGGTTTTTCGGAAATCCAGACAATATCGACGATGGGCGTGCGCTCAAGGAAGCGGCTCGGAAAGATAAAGGACTGCCGGTTGAGCCACTCATCTCAGTGGAACAGTATTTCCAGAAACATTTCGCCTATCCAAACTAGTATTACGAACAACTGTGGATAATCACATTTTGATGGCGTCATTTCGGTGATCTATACTTAATATTCAACCCTAATAGCAAGGAACTCAGATCTCTACACTGAGTACTCTTGAGGATCTTCCGCCGTTGATGGTCAAACCCTAATTCACAGTTTAATAAATCACTAGGTACTTCCTCTGGCCACGAGTTCCTGATATATATTACATCAGAAGGTGTTAGAAGCTTGATTCATAGGGTATATACGGGTATTTTGAGTCATGATGCTGTCTTGACAAAATTCAAGATGAAGCAGCATGGTTTCTGGAAACTTTGTAGGCCGATATTACCGATGAGGCAGGCTCCTTCCCTTTTCAGATATACTTGTCATAGGGGCTTGATGTAAGGTCTCGCCTATGGATAACTATATTTCTAAGCTGTCGACTGTCTCAATGGCACGTAAGTGATTTAGAGGTGTCAACCATCATATGCCACCTACTGAAACCTTGTCCCTCAGTCACACTGTTGTTTATTCCTTGCATTATTTGGAATCTGAAATTTTACCCTCGTCGACAGACGTCATATTGACCAATTCACTTCTACTGAACCAGTAGAGCAAATGATCCACATACTGTGGTGTTCGCGGACCACCCAGCAGCAGGTAGTAGTCCAAACTTCACCAACCTCGCCGTGACAACAGCAATGATGACGATTTGAAAAGCCGTCGATTCCTGGGACGTAGCTAAGGTATTTTGCCAAGTTAGTCGTAAATTATAAAGGGTCCCTCGGCGTACCGTTCGGAACCAGGAACCTACACCAATCCGCTTTTCGTCCAGAGGGAACCTCGAGTAGGCCGTTTTGCACTGACTTGTATTCGCTGCCCTCCCAAGGATGGCTTTCCAGCAGCTTAGAGCACAGCTCGACGTTCATGCAACTGTTGTATTTCCGGGTGACCAAGATTGGGATGATAGCGTAAAGCGATGGTCTGCTATAGGCTTTCGACGACCGGTACTACCCTTCACCTTCACAAGACATTGTTTCCTTATTGACACGGTCCGTACAGGGTGTCGTGGTTCTTCCAACCGATGTTCAGGGAATAGCGAGGACGGTGCGGTATGCAAAGGATCACAAGTTAGACCTAGCGGTTCAGGGTGGAGGTCACTCCAGCAACACTGCCTCGTCGACTGATGGAGGAATACTTCTGAACCTCGGCAAGATGAACCGAGTGAGCGTCGATACTAGCACCCAAACAGTCACGGTTCAAGGTGGTGCAACATGGGCTGATGTGGCCCGAGAAACTGCCAAGTACCAGCTAGCCGTCAACGGAGGCACAACCAGCCAGGTTGGGGTTGGGGGTCTCACTTTGCGCGGCGGTTTCGGATTCTTGACGCCGCAACACGGGGTGACGCTCGACACTCTCCTTGCGGCGAAAGTGGTCACCGCGGAAGGAATCGAGCTGCAGGTGTCCACAGAGGAACACCCGGATTTATTCTGGGCTATTCGAGGGGCTGGACCAAATGTGGCAGTGGTGGCTGAATTCACATTCCAAGCGTACCCACAGCCGAATTTGGTCTGGTCTGGGTTGAGAATCCACCCGTCTAGCGAGGTATCGAAGGTCGTTGAAGCCCTGAATCAGGCGCTTGTTCACCCCCAGGGGAGGGCTGCCGCACAGTGTATTCTGTGTTTATCCCCGGAGGACGAAAGAACCCCGTCAGTCACTACGATAATATTCTTCAACGGCTCCGAGGAAGAAGGACGAAGACACTTTGCTCAGTTGCTTGAGGTGGAGTGCATCAAAGACGACATTAAAATGAGACCCTATAGCGAAACACTCGGTATCTGGGATCGATTGGCGCCCCCTGGGGATCGGAAAAGAGAACTGGGGATTCAAATGACATTACCACCCCGGCTTGCGTTTCTCTCAGAGCTCATGGACAAAATCAGTGATAAACTTACCAAGGAGCCAGACCTGGCCAAAACTGACTTGGAGATCGACTATCTTGACCCGACCCAGATCTGTCGCACTCCCATTACAGAGACCGCTTTCCCTACGCGCCTTAATAGTCTCCTGCATGCGACTCTCATGTTACAGTGGACTGACGCCGACAAGGATGAGGACTTTCTCTCATGGGGGCAGTCGATCCAGAAGATGTGTGAAAATGAATTAACTAGCCAAGGCCACAAACTGGCACACACTGTGTCAAACTACAATGGCTACACTCAAGGTTCGTCGGCGTCATTGGTGAAAGAATCATTTAAGGTAGCAAGCTATACTGACAGCTATGATAGAAATTAAAGTGGCAGCTGCAGATATGTTTGGTGTAAATGCAGAGCGCTTATTGCACGTCAAGGCAAAGTATGATCCAGCCAATATTTTCAACAAACTTAACCCGCTTGATCGGAATTTATGAATCGACATTAGCGCACAACTGGTTGCTAAAGTTATAAAAGTCGCATTCAACTATTGTTCGAGATTGCAGATGGCCAGCTTCCGATTCTTTACTTTACTGGATGTGATTATTCGAGTGGTAAATGTTGATATTACGTAGCCTACATGTCTACTAGTCTAAGTTGAATGACAACAATCGATGCACTAGGCATCCAATAATAATTAGATTTCCTGCTTGATGAGGTGAGGTTCTGTGCCCTCGTCAAAGTTCAGATACTGGCATGGTGTTGTCAGTCATTAGCTCATTAATCTGCTAGCATAATCAAGACCTTCATAGAGTGACTAGTTATTCCTTAGACTATCGAACTTAAATTCCTAGTATCTAGTCTGTTGTGAAGCCTTACTGTAAGCTTGACATCCAGCTTGTCAAAGTGACATTTTCGACAGCTACAGGCAGGCTGGGGTATGACCAGTACAATCAGTCCATGTCGAGTGTCTATGACTACATTCATGTAACATTCCAGGTCTGTTTATACTTTACAGCCACTTTACCGGGTCTTACTCAAAGCGGCCTGTTATGCCCCTGTGATCCTCTCCAGTAGGTCCGGATAATATTTCCACTAGCACTCCACCTTTTCGATCCGCCTCTTGCCTTAGAATTATTGAACCCTATTGGCGCCTCGGGCTTTGGTGGTTCTTCATTACCTTGATTCCCAGCAAATTGTCATTTTCTCTACCCGTCATACATACCCTACTACTGGCCTGGCATCTGAACCCTCTCTAATTGGCCCTGTCCCCTTCGAAATCAGGGTGATCTTTTGGAGTTCGGATATGGTTGGTAGTTGCCTAGAACACATACGTCCGCAAAATGACTGCATATACTTGAGCTAATAAACGGTAAATTATATGAATAGAGAGGATTCGTCCTTCTCAGTCTCTATCCAACGCAAAAGATGTATTTCTGCATATCTGTGAGCTCTAACCATACCTTGCACTTGAATATTCTCGAGGTCACCTCTCTTACGCCTCTTCTCGATTACTAAGGACAGAGGCATATATCGGCCAGACCTCACATACTCGGTGACAAAAGAGCATTATTATCGGCTGGGCTCAAGGTGGACTTCCTGATTGACAGTTTCTTCATCCAGTGAGTAAAAAGAGTTGTCTTCACTGAAAGTGTTACACTGCACAATTGCAGATGATCATTTGCCCTCTGGAACCCACGCCGACCGATTCTCCTGCGCAAAGAGATCGAAGCTCCTCGGAGGTCGCCCAGTCACTTTCTCAACTTCATCATTCTCTCGTGTCTCAAACCCAGTCGAGGCCGCAACCTCCAGCTTTGTCAAGAAGCCCGCGTAGTACTCGGAGACACCCGCGTTTACCAGGCCCTGGTACCGCTCCTCTCCCGAAAGCTTGACGTGCTCAATCGTTCGTCCCAGGGCATGGCTCAGCTTCTCGGCAATATCATCATACGTCAAGAGCTCCGGACCCAACACCCGGTGGTCACAGTTGTGTGAGTCGCGGTCCGTCAGAGCGCGATAGGCGACGGCCGCGATATCCGTAGCGCTGACAAAGGGGATTTTGCCCTGCCCGCAGGCAGTATAGGTCTTGCTTTGGTCCCGGATGAGGTGGCGCGGACCATCCTCGGTTAGATTTTCTAACCAGGGACCAATATCAGCACTATCCCTTCAACGACAACTCTTTGGCAGCTCACCCATAAACCAACTCGGCCGAAGCACGCAATAATCCACCTGCCTGTCCAGGAAATGCTGCCAGACCATGCCCATACCCGGCTTGCCACACTCGGCCGAGCTACCGGCCACGAGGACGAAGCGACGGACGCCGTGCTCCTCCAGCGCGTAGTCGATAAACTCATTCAAGGGCTTCCAAGGCTGCGGCGCCTGTGGTTCCATCAGATAGATGGCAGAAATCACCTGGTCATTGACGAACTTGTAGTCGAACGGAATGCGCCAGGTATCCTTATCTAGCCAGTCGAACTTGACGGCCGGCATGTCGGCAGGAGCGGCGGACTGGCCGCGGCGGGAAGCTAGTAGGAAGGGGATATTATCATTTTGGAGGAAGCGCGCTACTCGGATTGATGTTTTGCCCGTGCCCCCAGTCAAAAGGATTGCCATGATGAGTGTGTGCCGATATTGTTAGATGGAAAAATGTATAGTGATGAGTTTGTGCTCACACATTGCCAACCCTCCTTTTAAGACCCAATCTCCCCCTTCGGAGTTAGGATTTAAGATCGTGAGATCCGGTGTTGGGGGCAAAAGTCCGTCGGACTGGATGCTCTCGGGCAAAGGGCCTGGGAATATGTCAGGGAATGATCATTCTGCTGACTCGATTCGGGATGCGAGGCCCGCCACCAGCAGTTTCAAAGCGCTGACGGTGAAAGTTCATTTTGCCAGGGCTTCTGCAGCTTGCTGTATGCGCTGCACAGCCATCGCAAGACAACGTACACCGGGTCGCTTCTCTTGCTCACCACACTGCCTCCTTGTGGAACTATACCGGGGGATTATCGCGGATCTGGTTGATAAGTAGCTGTAGCTACAAGCCTGCGTCCGGCAATGGAATCGGCGGAAATTTACCCAACAAAATTCCTCAACAACAAAAACACACAATACATCCGAAGTCTCGCGATCTGATATACTGGTTGTCATCCAAGGAATTAGATATCAGACGGTCAATCGAATCGCCTTGGGCAAGGCGCTGCTGAGACTGAACCCCGGCATGGCGCACCAGGCCGTCGACCAGTCCTCACTTCCCCTGCCAGCGACTACGGCCGTGACGCGCACGGTGCATGACGTCGAGTCCCTCTTGCCAAATCAGCCAGACAGGCTCCTGATTCTGCTCTCAAACGTAACCGGGGTTGATGCGGCGGCCATCGGACCGGACACTGTGTTGGCCGATCTAGGGATTGACTTGCTCATGTGCATGGAGCCAGCCAGGTTTATTGAGACTCTCTTGCAGTGTGAGCTTAAGCCTACGCAGCCGATGGAGCTGGCCAGCTTTCCAGTCTGCTGGAACTCCTAGATGGCCAGGAGACCAACGACGAGGTGGAACATGATTGACTGAGTGACGACTCTACGGGTCCGCTGTATCGGACAGCGGCAATCACTCCAAATGAGTCTTCACTCGCGGAGTACCCTGTTGATCCAGCTAGCGGTGCCAAACCGTGCGTTTACGAGACTGACGCCAGTCGGCACTCGCTAGGCCTTTCTGTGGATGAGTACGAGCACCTGCTGGCGGCGGTCGCCCATGTTATCCACAATGCTTGGCCGATGACCATCGCGCGTCCCGTGCGGGATTCGAAGCCCAGTTTCGCGCGCCTGGCGAATTCCGCGAAACGAGTAGATAGATGCCTGTGTGGGAAGCACTTTGTCCGCATGGCGTGTGGAGGAGTGGTTCTCCATACCCAGCAGACAGCCAGGATTTTGGCACGATTCAGTGCGTTGAAGGCTGTAGATCCTGGCGTGCTCAAGCTGTTCGTCCAGTATTGGCGTAAGCTGCATCTATGAACTAGTTTCGTAGACATCTTTAAGGAACAGTGCTCATAATACAGAAGAGGCAGTTTATTTCTAATAACACCATCTGGAATGTATGCACTGTATAATCTCCCATGAGCAAGCTAGATTATGAGCTAATATGTGTCCACTAGTATCCATAAGTATATCAACGTTGCAACCGGATACGAATAGCCGATACTAGCCTCATCGGCGTCCCAATTAGGAAGGTCCCGTCTTGGCCTCCGTTAAACAGATATAAGTATAAGCATCCAATAACCCTGAAAACATCCCACATCATCATCGCACCATCCATCCTACCTAAGAGACACCGTAACCATGCTCCAAACCCAGATCACCCTCCACCCCGCCGTCCAAGCCGACGCCCTCCCCCTCGCCAAACTCCACAACGCCGCGTTCGCCAACGATGCCCTCTTGGAAACCATGTACGGCCCTCTCACGCAGAACGACCCGCCCTTCGCCAATGACCTCCAGCAAATCATCGCCGACGATCCACACTCCCGCATCACGAAAGCCATCGATAATGACTCAGGCCAGATAGTAGCCTGGTCATGGTGGAGTATCTACCCCGACGCCGAGGCGCATGCCACAGCAGCAGAAGTGGCTAGGAAACGGTGGACCACCCCGCCGGCGGCGTCGCTTTGTCCGCGGTTGTATCTTGATTATCAGGATTTGAAGGCGAGGACGAGGGAGAAGTGGATTGGGGGGAGGGCTGTTGCTAGTAAGCTCGCTAGTTTGCTTCAATGTTTGATTTGGGTGTGGGGGGTTAGGCTGATTGCATCGGTAGTTCTGCAAGTTCTGGCTGTTCATCCCGACTATCAAGGTCGAGGGATTGGGACGAGGTTGTTGATGGTTGGGGTGGAGGAGGTGAGACGGTTAGGTTTACCTGCTTGGTTGGAGGCTTCGGAGGCTGGGTATAGTGTCTACAGGAGGTGTGGGTTCCACGATGCTGAACGGATGGAGTTGGATTTTGGCAAGTATGGGTTTAGCGGGATGGAGCATGTCTATTGTATGTTGATGGATGATAAGCAATAGGATATAATAGCCTGTCAAATATGTATATCGTGTGTGCAGAACAAGGGCATATCTCAGGCCAGACTAGATTTGGGATATCCACTGGAGCAGTCAAATTGGGTACGTCAGCATAATATGCTTGCATTAAGCTGTTCAATACCTAACTAGGCAATATGCAATAGCAATTTTGGCTGTGCATAAAACATATACACTAGGAGATTCATATCTCATAAGAGTATCGACATCACAAACGGGCAGGAATAGTCTGCTTGCCCTTCAGATCAAACCGATCCAGGTTCATAACCTTGTTCCACGCCGCCACGAAATCCTTGACAAACTTCATATCACCATCATTGCTGGCATACACCTCCGCAATCGCACGCAGCTCAGCATTGGAACCAAAGACCAGGTCCGCACGAGTAGCCGTCCACTTCTTGCCTCCGGTCTTGCGATCGCTTCCCTCGAACAGCTCGCCGTTCCCGGCGTCCTTCCATGCGGTGTTCATGTCCAGCAGGTGAACAAAGAAGTCGTTCGACAGGGCCCCAGGACGGGAGGTGAAGACGCCGTGCGCGGAGCCATCGTAGTTGGTGTTGAGCACCCGAAGACCACCAACCAGGACGGTCATCTCGGGCGCAGACAGGTTCAGCAGCTGCGCCTTGTCGACGAGGTAGTGCTCCGCACGCGGGCGGGCAGGGCCCTTGGCGAAATTGCGGAAGCCATCGGCGAAGGGCTCCATGTGGCTGAAGGACTGTACGTCCGTTTCCTCTTGGGAGGCGTCCATGCGACCGGGGACGAACGGCACCTTGATTGGGTGGCCGGCGTCCTGCGCGGCCTTCTCGACGGCGGCGCAGCCGGCCAGGACGATGAGATCAGCGAGCGAGACCTTCTTGCCGTCGCCGCGGGAGTTGAAGCGCGACTGGACGGCCTCCAACGCGGAGAGGGCCTCGCGCAGCCAGGGCTGGTTGTTGGCCTCCCAGTCGCGCTGCGGGGCCAGACGGATGCGTGCGCCGTTGGCACCGCCGCGCTTGTCGCTGCCACGGAAGGTGGAGGCGGCGGCCCAGGCGGTGGAGATAAAGCTTCTAAAAGGCACGCCGGAGGCAAGGATCTCGTCCTTGAGCGTGGCAATGTCGGACGCGTCGACGAGTGGATGGTTGACGGCGGGGATGGGGTCCTGCCAGATCAGAACCTCGCTGGGGACCTCGGGGCCGAGGTAGCGGGCCCGGGGGCCCATGTCACGGTGGGTGAGCTTGAACCAGGCACGGGCGAAGGCATCGGCGAACTGGTCCGGATGCTCGAGGAAGCGGCGGGCGATCTTCTCGTAGGCGGGGTCGAAGCGGAGCGACAAGTCGGTGGTGAGCATGGTGGGCTTGCGCTTCTTGGAGGCATCGTAGGCGTGGGGAATGATCTCGTCTGCATTCTTGGCAACCCACTGGTGGGCGCCGGCGGGACTCTTGGTGAGCTCCCACTCGAACTTGAACAGGTACTCGAGGAAGTTGTTGCTCCACTGGGTCGGGGTCTTGGTCCAGGTCACCTCGAGTCCGCTCGTGATGGTGTCGGGACCCTTGCCGGAGCCATGCTTGTTCGCCCAGCCGAGGCCCTGGGCTTCCAGGCCGGCGGCTTCGGGCTCTTTGCCGACGTTGTCCGCAGGGGCAGCACCGTGAGTCTTGCCAAAGGTGTGGCCACCAGCGATGAGGGCGACCGTCTCCTCGTCGTTCATAGCCATGCGGCCAAAGGTGTCACGGATATCGTGAGCGGCCGCGATGGGATCGGGGTTACCATCGGGTCCCTCAGGGTTGACATAGATCAGACCCATGTGAGCGGCGGCCAGAGGAGTCTCCAGCTCGCGCGAGTGAGTGGTCTTGTGTGAATCCTCGTCGGCGATGAGGGTGCCCCGCTTGTCGGATCCAGAAAATCCCTTCGCGTACCGCGCGTCGTTGCCCAGCCAGGTAGTCTCTCGTCCCCAGTAGGTGGCCTCGTCCGCCTCCCAGGTGTCTGGACGACCTCCAGCGAAGCCAAAGGTCTTGAAACCCATGGACTCCAGGGCGACGTTACCCGTGAGGATCATCAGATCGGCCCACGAGATCTTGTTGCCGTACTTTTGCTTAATGGGCCAGAGCAGACGACGAGCTTTGTCCAGACTGACATTGTCAGGCCAGCTGTTTAGGGGGGCAAACCGCTGCTGGCCCTGACCGGCACCTCCACGACCGTCAAACACACGGTAGGTTCCGGCGCTGTGCCAGGCCATCCGGATGAAGAGACCTCCATAGTGACCAAAGTCGGCGGGCCACCAGTCCTGCGAGTCGGTCATCAAGGCACGAAGATCCTTCTTCAGGGCCTCATAGTCGAGGCTTTTGAAGGCGGCGGCATAGTCAAAGTCAGCGTCCAGTGGGTTGGAGACGGCAGTGTGCTGGCGTAGGATGTTGAGCTTCAGCCGGTCAGGCCACCAGTCCTTGTTGCTGGTGCCGCCACCAGCGAAATTGGGCTGAGAGGGCTGCTCCTTGAAGGGGCACTTGTCCTGTGTCATGATGTGCTTGTCTTACTATTATTATCAGGGGTATACTGATGGTCAACGTCAACGAGGAGAACAGAAGACGACAGAAGATGAGGGGTAGATGAAACCTTATAAGCTGAGTTGTCCTCGTCTAGGCCAGGTCTCATTAATAACGCGTCCAATCCAATATATCAATCAGATCAGCAGGTGCTTTTCCCCGCATTCCGGAGAGTTTTTTGTTGCTGCTTTCTCAGTAAAAATGTTCTGGCTGGACCTTCTTACTCAGCTCCTATCAGCCTATGATATCATGCAACTGCTTTCCCCGCTTTGTCTGAGCCAATCACAATGATGGATTGGTAATCCTGCTGACTGTACATTAGCAATGGTCGGCAATGACTGGCTAATTCCCTCGGAATACCCCGCTTTCCTTTTCCGCCTTCTCGCCTCGCGCCGTTGTCCGAATAACACCAGTAGTTATTGTTATTATTGATGGAAGGGTATGCTGTGTATAAATGTCCAATATGACCTGGGTTAGAACAGCTTGCTAAATGATTAGATTCTACTACTCCTTGCCAAGCAACAGCAAGTTGTCTGCATGCCCCAGCCAAAAGATCTCGCCATCTTAAAGTTACCCCTCAGACCGACTTACCTAAGAAAAAGTACTGTAGCGGATTCACATTCCTTTTTAGGACAAACAATACCATAAGATTCAGTCCCCAAATTACCCTCGGCAGTTGCTGTAGGAAACTGAAAAATAGTCCCTTTCTTGCTGGAGGATAAAGGTTCTCTGTATGTAAGGAAGGAAGCATGACATCCTCCTCTTCTGCATAGGAAACTTGGTCATATTTGATAGGTCGGCAGCCTGTAGCGATTCATGGAAACCTCTAGATATTTATTTGTTTAGTCAATATGAGGAAGAAATATGGTTGTTTTCTAATTGCTAGAGTGGATTCTCTGCAATGACTGTTAGAGTCGTCCAATTAATCATATTGATACCGGTGTTGTTTCATCGCAGAGATACAGAGATATATATTTACCGCATGCCTTAAGAGGAGCCCGCAGGATCGACACTATTCATGCCCAGCAGTCTATCAAATCATCACTCTGTATCACAAATAATGACTGGATTTTTTATCCAATATCACCCATTTACTCTTCTGCTTTCATTTGCCATTTTCAGTGTGCCATACGAAGACTGTTGACAACCATGCAAACATGACTCCGAAAGGATGCAATCTAGGACTGCTGCTGGCCAAACCTAAACAGTTTCTATTTATTCCCTTTTTGAGGCAAAATATATAGAACATTAAATACAGTGTGTGCTTCATATACTAATCTATGCAGTGAAAGGATCAACACTCACCAATATACCTAGTAGTAGTACGGCTGCTCAGGATCTGTCAGGTCAAACACCACGATCGAATGCGGCCTGTCTCCATCGCAATCCGCAAACTCATGCTAAAGATATTACTCCTGTTGAAGCTCAGAGTCCCATTAGTGTCTGTTTTGGGTGTCGCTAGCCCCTATCAAGGGGTAATATTACATTCCACATAGACAGACGCAAAAACGCAAGATGCCCGTATGTCTTCTCATATGGGTCATCCCAAGACATCTCATGTAATCCGCGCAAGTGAATGTCTCTGAGGCCGTGAAGGTAGGTTTGGAATCCAGAAGAAGGAGCAGAAGTCGATATTACCCGGTAAAGATGGTCTGAGTAGCACCATGTTGCCGCCCTTGGCGTGGAAGGAAAATGTCTCCGAAATACGTTTCAGCTTGAGTGACAGTCTTGGCCAGATGGATATCTGCCGATCCATGATTGATTCGACGAAGCAGCCCTAATACAGCCTGAACACGAACTCAACGGGCAGGCTTAGCCTTTGGGCTGATCCATCTGTTGCTAGCATTGTTCGTGTATGTAGAGATTGCTGCTGACTCTGCATGGAAGCTACCGAGATAAGAATTCGTAGGCGGGGTAGTCCTACAATGTGCTTGACAGAATGCCAAGAGTAATCACAGCCAATCTCTCAGTAAATCGCAGACATAATCAGAGGCCGACGCTAGTTTCCAGTCTATATTAGATCTACTGTGACACGTAGAATGACCAACACGCCAAGACAGGGAAAGGCAGAATGTAAAGCCCGGAATAAGCTTCATAAGGCGTCCAAGGACTGGATGGTGAGTTTGGCGCTCAGGCCAGCAGATGGCGTTGTGATAACCTTCAAGTCGATGTCGAGGTCATTAAGCAGATCACTGAGGAGAAACAGTTGCGAGTGAGGGGGTAAATGACCCTTCATGGCGCTAGGTCATGTGCAGCGACAGTTAGTTCGAGTGATGCGTTGTAATAGGCAATATAGTTCTGCGCGAGGCGCCACCACTTGGTCGCAGAGAGTTGGGCAGTATTGAGACATGTCCAAGCACTACCTCTTTCAGAAGCTCTCGGAGCTCGGCACAGTAGTAGCAGCAGGACTATTATTCAGAAGCAGCATCTGGTGACCACGATATGAAGAAGAATCTTCTAGTGGGCTTTTGTATCAGTTAAGCGACCCACCGATTAGACTACTACGGATGCGCCGGGTCGCGGCGATCGACCTGGCTGGCCTACCCACGTCGGATTCTTGATTCATCGACACAGTGACGATGTTTAGAACACATACTGAAAGTAATAACAGGATCAGGAACTTGCAGATTATTGAGTGTGATATTATGAAATGCAAATGTTGCATGCCTTGAAATAAATCAGGACATACCGTGGAAGACTGACTCCGCTAAACAAGAAGCGACTCGCTACCAATAGCGTAAAACTGACGATAAACCGACGAGCACAGAAGCTACCTTGTTAACCCTCGCAGGGCTGATTGATCTCCACCACTTTATTGGTGATTCCACACAATCCCGAAATCCAAAATCCGGACAGCCAGCGAGCGGAAGCCACGGGAGTCCACATCAACCCATCGCTCTCTCGCTCTCGTCTCTGTATGGCGTCACAGCTCCACCCGCCCAGCTTCTGGCTGGTTCGACAGCTGCTAGCTGTACTCCCATCACATTGAGAACATGACCTGGTGTTGCCATCAGGTCGAAGCTTCTGATGGACGCGCTGCAAAATTTTCTGGGATCAATGATCGCATGGTGCGATGGTATTGGTGCGTCGACCATTTCCATCGGCTGATGCCGGTATGACATAATTAATAGGTGCACTTTTTCCCTTGCTGCAGTTGGACCTCGCCATGATATATGAAGGGCTGGGATTACCTCCGGACTGAGTCTTCTTCAATTCCAAACTCAGAAGTCATAAAGCAGTCCTTGTCGCCGGCAGCTTCAGCACCCTGTCAAGCCGTCACAGATCCCAATCCCAACCACAGTCAAGGAGTTAGATATCGCCATATCACATTCAGCATCATGCTGTCGACAGCAGTCACTCGTCCTGTCTCTCTGCTGGTGCGCTTCATGCAATGGTCCAGCGCCGTCATCGTCATGGGCATTACCTCCTACTTCATCAACAAGTGGCCCCATACACAGCACACCATCTACTGGGAAGTCATCGTATGTTGACCCGTCTCTATTCATCCATGTACATATGCTAACTTGCCATAGTCTACGATGTCCGTTGTCTTCTTCCTGCCGGCTTTCCTTTCCCCCTTCATGCCGACTCGCCTGAGCAGATTCGTCTTGCCTATTGACGTCATCTTCTCCTATCTGTATGTGAAGCTGCCCTTTAGACATCCTTGCTGCGATACTAACGTGCTTAGGTGGTTGACCGCGTTCATCTTCGCTGCACAAGACTACAACTGGCACAACTGCGCCGTCAATGCTCCCCCCGGTGCTAGCTGCGCGCTCAAGAAGGCCAACGAGTCGTTCATCTTCCTCGCCTTGTAAGTGGTCCGATGACACATTATCCATACAATAGCTAACCCCGATCAGTATCTTCACCTTCTTCGCCATCGGTCTTGAAGTGATGAACCTCTGGGCCGCTCGTCGCGAGACTCCTACCCACGAGAAGCACCCTGAGGGTCACCGTGCTCCTCTTGATGCTCCTGCTGCCAATCCTTAACCTGCTCATTGTTAAGGGAACCCGGCGACTCTGTTGCCAGGCACTGATCGCCAAAGTGCCCTAAATCCATGACCAACTGCGTGTCAAAGTCAAATTATCGGTTGGTCGTCTATCAAAGGGATGTCCATCCCTGTTTGATTTTATAATGTCGCGACTTGACGTGATGTCCAGCACGATCGTATCTTAATTCCTAATACCTAACGATTCGGTCACGATTTTGTTATGTATGTATAATGATTAGTGTTATGTCGCTCGTTATATGTATTGATAATGCACGAAAATAAATAGCGAATGATTATTTAATTGTTAGATATGCTGAGTAGCCTCTCTTGGTGCATCCTACAACTACACAAGATATATAAGTGGACCGGATTTGTTGACAAATTTTCTACCGAGAGGATCAATCATATACACTGCGACCACCACTGCAGTGCGAGATCTTATTGCAGGATCCATTGTCGAATCTTTCTGGTGCCAAATGATATACGGTAAAATAATAAGTTCCGAATTGGCAAAGCTATGTCGAAGTGTGGTACGAGTACAAGAGAAACTGGATAAATAGAAATAAATATGCGATGAGCTCAACCAACTCATATGCGCGTCATTGGTGCAATATCTGTACATCGTCCTTCAGGTACTTTTGTCAGACCCAAGGTCAAGGCAGATCTCTATGCATTAGCAGTTTATCATGTGTCAGTTTCAGCATTGTTGAGTTGGGAAGATGCGGGACGCGATCAGGGTCAACAATGGTGATGTCACCGCACGGTCATCGAGATAAACCATCGTCACAACAAAATCGAGTCATCTGCCTCCTTTTTCTCTTTTAAACCCAGTTCTCTCAATCAAGTACATCTATACAATAGAACAACACTCTATCCCTACAGTTGAACCCGCCATACGAGATCCCCGCAACATATCACGATTCCACAAGCATCAGCGGTGCAACCTCTGGTGGAGATGACTTCGGCATACAGCAAGCTTAAAGAGCTGGCCACAGCATCGATTGCCCGGATCCTGACAGTCTGGGGCTACCTCAGTGCCTTCCTACTGTCCTTCACAATCAATCGCGCCTTCTTTGCCTCCGCACTCCTTCCCCTCTACCTTCTGAGCCTTGCATATAGGGTCTTGCCCACCCTATTCTGGAACGCAACGCGGCTACTATTGCCAAACGGATGGAAAACGCTTGTGAAAGATGCGGAGCAATACCGACAGCGAGTAGACGCGCTAGCTCAATCACAGCTGGAGGGAAAGTACAAATTCAAAGATGACGAGATCATCCGGACCGATCAAAAGGGCAAGGGTTGGATGGCTAATATGCCATGGAGGGACAACGTGGAGGAGTTGAACGTGTGCGGCGCGACGGCCCGATATGTCCACCTGAAACCGAGTTATCGCAGCATCGCAACGGATAACAAGGCCTCCCACCGGCCGATCGTCTTTCTGCATGGGAATCCAAGCTGGAGCTATATGTGGAGAAATGTAGGTTCATTCCCATTCTTCCATGGCTATCGTGCGCAGCTGACCAATGCGCAGGTATTTCCCGCACTTGTGGAACGAGGACACGAGGTATATGCGCTGGACTGGCTCGGACATGGTCGTAGCGACAAGATCATTCGTCCGGAAGCAATCACCTTTGAGCTACACATGCGTACCCTGCAGCAATTCTTCGAATCTACTGGTCTGGAGAACGCTACTCTTGTGGCTCATGACTGGGGAGGGTGAGTCTACCATCCACCGTCGCATTTAGCGTTTACTGACATGTCCAGCTGTGTCGCCTTGTCCACGCTACCTCGACTTCCGACATCAGCCTGCACCAGTCTTTTCTTATTGAACTCCTTCCTTCCTCCCCGCATCAGCGAGATAAGCGTGCATCACGCCCTCCTCTACGCAATTTGGTCCATGACAACCGAGATCCTCGGCGGGTGTACCCCCGAATCAGCAGTCATGCGCTTCATGTCTCCAAGTATCTCACAGAAGGACGTCACCGGCTACGCCGCGCCTTACAGGAATCTCCCCTCAAACGCCAAGTCCAGTATCTACCGCTTCTCGCATATGGCCCCGGCTACACCCCGCGTCGTCCTGACAAGTTTCCGATACACATGGTTGTGGAAACTAGTCGAGGGTTTGGCCGGACCATCCAACTTCGACAACCTCACTGCTCAGGCGCGACTCTCTCTTCGCAACGATGAGGTCCGGAGTTTTTGGAAATCTAGCGAGAGAGCGCGCCAGTTGGAAGTTGCGGTTGTATTCGGGGACAAGGACCCGTTGTTGAAAGATTACAAGGATGTTCTGGTGCGCGCTGTTGATTCGCGGGTCATGGTTGACTGGGCCCCTTACGGAGTTTGGCTAGACGGTGCTGGTCATTATCCAGCCGAAGAGAAGCCGAAAGCCGTTGGGGACTTGATTGCTAGGCTTGCCAGATATCGCGAACCTACCGTCATGGGGAGGTAACTGTGGCATTTTTAGGTTCAAGGAGTCTCTTGTGTTACATATTCCTCTTCTTTCTGTGGTTATCATTCTATGATTACAGGGCTATTGGCAATGAATAGACTCAAGTAGCGCAAGGTCACGAGTCTTGTCTGTTTCGTAGAAAAGCCCTTGTCCACCACTAAATGTTAAAGATATCGCCAAGGAATCTAGAACAATGAGTAATCAACATGGTGTCTCTCTGGGCCAGAAGAGTTCTAGTCCATGGCTGGTGCAATGCAAACACTGTACCAGATTCCAACCTTTCTCAAGCGCGGGAAGTGATATATCCTCGGCATTCACTCTTGAAGGTGCTACGGAAGAGGCACTATTGTACAAACCCCAGAGGCCTATCCCCTCATCCATGGAATAGCTTCGTAGATGCCTTCAGCCACCATTCGTCTCGCGGCACCGCCAGACGCACTAAACCAGCCGTGCTAAGGTTCTTGGTGAAGCAGCCACTATCACAGCCACTGGTACCCAACAGACGTGGACCAGGTGGATGCCATAGCACAGCGTAGTGTGCTGAAAAATCATCCTCGGCATGTGGAGGGCGAGAATCACGGTAATAGGACGCTGACTCATCTCATCCACGGACCGCTGGTACCTGCAGAACAGAAAAATGAGGCAACTCGTTGAAATGGCTCAACTGGGCCAGAGCCCCGACATCAGGACACGATTATCGCCACCGCAGACCGCAGACCTTTGCAGTAAAGTAAGGGCAGCTGTGCATGGCTGCTGTGTTGTACCTCGCTAAACTCTTTCGGGCTGTGAATAGCAATTGTGATTGGTCGAAGCCAACACACAATCCATGGCTGAGTCTGGACTCCCGGTGGAACAGGGACTAGTCTAGCTCAAAGGGGAACAGTGATTTGTATTGACCAATGAGACAATGCCAAATGACGTAGGATCCGTGGAACACATGGCTATTCATTGTGTTCCTGAACTCTGATTTTCAGAGTTTTCCAGTGCCTGGCGGAGCTCTTTTGTTCCCTGTCCCGGCTCCATGGGATGTGTCATAGCAGGATGTGATATATCTCCGCGGTTCTTTGTACCTGCATGAAACACATAAAGAGAGATGGGAACGATGTAAGTGATGTGTTTGTTGTCTGCATGTCTGAGTACCTCTACTGGACATGGCCTAGACCACTGACTTACAAAGGACAATCCCAGAAACTTCTTTCTGTCGCTAGCCACATGTGATTTGTAGCGAGAGGACCAGGGCATAAAACGGGAATAGACGCATGGGAGGCAAAAGTGAAAACCTTTCTTCGAGTTCGTGATATCCTCATCTTTCAGCCAAGTGCCGGGGGCGTCCGGCCCATTCACGGCGTTTAGCGCCGGCGCTAACTGAGAAATTTTGACTGCTGGTGGGGCTTGCAATAGATTCAGACTGTTCTTCTCAATATGATTCGTGCAATGGTTTAGGCACACCGTTTCTGAATCTATATCCAATCCCTTGGCGTCCAATCAGCTCTTGCCAGACAAAGAATCGGTTTTGCTTCCTCTTCCCTTCAAGGCTTAGGCTTTGAGGCGTTCGATTTTGTGTGCCTAAAGGATTCTGGAACGTCTTGGAGATGGCCCACTCCCATCGCTCACTGCAGATGATAAATTCAGCCATGCCCCCCATGTTGTTTCAGTCTTTTCCATTCCTTCAACTCTACTACCAAAGTCATTCATTCCTTTGACTCTTTGACTCGAGGTTGATCCTCCACTGTCCTTTACTTTCAATCGTCACTCTCTGTAGATCAGACTGTTGTCACTCCTTCCAACAACAACAACCACCACCACCACAATCATCATGTCTTTCTCCAAGTTCTTCAGCCTCGCTGCTGCCTTCGCGCTCACTGCTTCGGCCCTCCCTCTCGCTCCCCGCGCCCCCAGCGGCGGCGTCCAGATCGTCAACAACATGAGCGAGGATGTCTATCTCTGGTCCGTCTCCGACACCAGCAGCGAGATGCAGACCATCCCCACCGGCGCCTCCTACATCGAGAACTGGCGCACCAACCCCAACGGCGGCGGCGTCTCCATCAAGATGTCCACCGCCGCCGACCTCGCCTCCGTCCTCCAGTTCGAGTACACCGAGGCCGGCGAGACCCTCTTCTGGGATCTCTCCTCCATCGACCTCTCCCCGCAGTCTCCTCTCATCGCCGCCGGCTTCGGCGTCTCCATCGATGATGCCAGCTGCCCCACGGCCGCCTGTGCCCCCGGCGATGTCAACTGCGCCGAGTCCTACCAGTTCCCCGATGACCACAACACTCGTGCCTGCGGCACCGGTGCCGCCTTCACCCTTACCCTGGGTTAAGCGAAGCGCGCTCGCTCTCGCCACTCTGTGTGCTGGCCATGAACATCTCGTTCCTCTTTACGCTCATTTTCTACCCCTGGAGGATATGAAAGTTGTCAGGAACACATCGAGGCAGGCCTTGTTTTTACGAGTCACGACTCATACGGCTCACGATTATGCCGAGGATGGATTATACCAACGATGATTTACCTATACCTATACCAAACGCAAACCATGTCAATAAAATTGGAAAAAGATATATAGAGTGCAATTGATTTGATACCTGTCTCAAGATCTACCTTAACTGCTGCGGTGTGAAACTTGTCTTCGTTTGAATGTAGTTGTATCTGACGTGGTTGTCTTACATTCTGGTGTAGTCTGCCGCCAGCGCTTCGTGAACTCTATATTGACCCACTTATTCCTTTGAACTTTATCTAGATGGCTGCGGTCTAACTAAGTCGGGTACGGTCGAATACTCGTCTTGATGGTGTACTGAGTTTAGTTTGAGTTGCTCGTGGCTTGGGTTGTGGCAGTTCTAGATCTGGTTGACCTCCCATACAACCACCAGGTATTCTCTGTCCTTGCACGTTGCCAATCACAATGACGCAGTGACATGTCTGGAGACATTATCCTTGGTAGCACAACAGCTAATGTGATATTGCGCAGACTGCAAGTCCACATGATACTGTGCATGCTTCCTTCAAAGTGTATATTGACTGCAGTCGGAGTTGATGGATGATATCCAGGGTTTCAAACTGAAGGATTGAGTTTGTTGGAGACGAACGCGTGTCAGTGGTATCTCTGTCATTATTGGCTGGGTCAGTCTTCGCATACGGTAGATAAGGAACCACGAGTAAAACATTTCTGAAGCTTAAGTACGTGGTCAGGCATGATTTGCCGAGATGGAGAAGTTTCAGGCGGGAGTCAGGTATCGGTATGCTGAACATTAAGCCCGAAATCAGCCCAAATAGAAACAATAGACGTAGAATTAGACGAAGGATGTCGATCAAAGTGAGCGTCACATGGAATAGAAGAGAAACTTTATGTTGGGATGTTTTGAGGTCTGTGTGGAACATATGGCTCCTGTGAGTGAGTATCGAAGTGAAGGTTGTCAGAGAAGGAAGCCAGCAGGAGGCCACTGGGCGCATTATTTTACGTTGTAGGCTTCTATTTATGGACTTGGTTCATCTTCAATCTGAGTGAAACACACCATATCAAATTAAACACTCCGAGGAAATATTATGTTATGTACTCAAACGTCAGATTCGTGTCTTGACGAAGACGAAAGATAACTGTAAGAACTCCAGTGTTAATCCCACAAATAGCTCCATCTTCATTCGAAGTCTTCCAGCTTCAATCCGTTCATCTTGGTCTCTAGGCCCCTGCGGACAGGATCAAGGAGGGTTCCTAGTCTGCAGCTGTGCCATTCAGGACGCCCCTTCGTTGACAGCCTAGCCTCCCAGAGCGGAGACCGAGCAAAAAGGACGACGCTTCTGGTCAGGGATCCAATGCTCAGGTTCTCGTAAGGAGGTCTCGGGTCGGGAAAGATAAGATTGGAGAGTCGCAGGAATTTCATCAGAGCGCCAAGAAGTATTGAACTGCATTCGAAAGAGCATCGATGCGTGGAGGAGCTCAGGTCATCGATTACTCTATCAATGGCCGCCAGAGCCTCCCTGATCCCCTGCTCCCGAGACTCGTTGATTGTTTCTGCGCATGAATTAGCAAAGCATCATAGTTAGGTACGATTTAAAATACGAACCGATCACTCTGTTAGGAATAGGGAGTCCGTATGCATGTACCACTCCAGGACTCTCGACGAGGGCAACCCGCGTAGCTGCGAAGAACTCCGTCTGCTTGCAAAACACCCATGCGATGCATATCCACTGAAGAACCGCCTTTCCAAAAGTCTTCGGCATATCAGCCTTCAACTCATCGATCCAGATATCCGCAAAGACCTCCACAACCCCGCGACATTGGTAATAATCAACCATTACAGCGATTTTGGCTAATGTGTCCAGATCGACCTTGCGAGGGACCTGTGGCGCATAGCCATGCAGGATGTTCATGAGGATGAACGTGATGTCGACGTCCCAAATGTCCATGATGATAACTACTATGCCTTCAGAGCGGATCTCGCGTGCCTCGTGCCAGTTACCGTTGAACATGCGGCTGAAGACGGGGGAGGCGAGGGCCAAGTGTCTTGAAGAGACGCGCATGCCGACGAGACTGCTCCCAAAATGTCCTTCTTCGCTCGCGTCGCTAACTTCGGACGTTGACGGTTGGTGTTGGAGAGCTTCTGGGTCAGACGTCGTATGATCATCGCTGGTGTCTTGTTCGAGGGCAGACGCGTCGATCATGACAGATGTCGGAAAGCTGGTTTCCACGCTCTGACTAGGAGGAGAGGCTTTACTGACACCGGGGAACAGGAGCATCACATCGCCGTGCGGGTCGAGTGTGTACGGGTCATTGGACATAGTGCCAGCGCGTAAGAAGCCAGGATAGTCCATGTGATAAGAATCTAATGAAGGCTCAGACAAATGACAGGAACTTCTGCGGGAAACATGGGACTGATGACAGTGCTAGATTGCAAGGCACCGTTCATCGGAGGGATAATTATGTGATTTCAGGGGAAGAAAGATACCTAGATATCTTGTAGGTAAGGAAGTAAAAGGAGAGAGATGTTGATAAAATCTGTGGGGGCTCTCAACAAAACACTCGTTGATCTTGGAGTGAGTGAACAGTGAATGCTGTTGACAGCCCCGTCTGGTCACATTTCACGCACCTTCCATCTTCTTCTAAAATCTCAAGCTTTCTCTTGCTTCCAAGTATCCCGTCTTTCCCATACACAACTCATAAGAACAGCAGGCAACTATAGGTGAGTTAAAATTCTGAGTTAGAAATCCTCACTTCTCTCCAAGCTGAGACGCTGATCACCAACACCAACACAGTATTAGCCCTGTTTGACACACAGTATGACGAAAGATTATTACGAGCTCAATCCTGACGGAGACGTCATCCTCATTTTTACCACTGCTGATCCAGACACTGCGAATCAAGCTTCGGGTTCCAACGCTGCCCTGCACGAGTCCACCAAAGCGGCTCAGGGCACTTGTGATTCGGTTGAAAGGTCCTCGACCTCGCGTGCCCGTACAAGGGCGCAGAAATCTAAGCGCCAGGTTACCAGTGAGAAGACCGACACCCCAAAGGATGGGAAGGTGGTAAGAATAAAGGTCTCGTCAAAACACCTTTCTCTGGCCTCGCCGGTGTTCGAGAAGATGTTCCATGGGCTATGGAAAGAAACTCAGGGTCTTCGTGGCGGGCCCATAGATATGGAGATGGACTGGCAGAACATGGACGCCATGCTGATATTGATGAATGCTATTCACGGAAATGGCCCGGATGTTCCTCGCGAGGTGGGCATTGAAATGTTAAAGGAAATTTCTATTCTCGTGGACTATTACGATTGCCACAAGGCTATCCACCTGGCCTTAGACCTGTGGATTCGGCCTTTACTGGCGCAAATGGCAAAAGAATTTTGTGATGAGATTCTTTCGTGGATTTGGATCTCTTGGGTTTTCCGACTCAATGACCCATTTCGATCTGCAACACGCTGCGTCGTTGCGCAGAGCAAGGGGCCAATATCCAGCCTCGGTCTGCCCATTTACCATCGCATTGTAGGTAAGAAAACCGTCTTTATAACAAATGAGACAAAGGTGCAGAGCGAGCTCTGACAATCTTTTCAGATGCAATCGAAAAGAGACGTGACCACTGCATGAAGGGGACATTAGAGGCTCTTCGTCGTCTGCTGACTGATCTGCGAGATGGTAGAAACTCATGCTCCTTTGAGTGCGACTCCTTCCGTCTTGGTGCTCTCTCCAAGCAACTACACGCCCACGACTTCCTAGGGCATATAGTTGAATGCACTATCCCTAGTGTCAGTCTGGACGAACTATATCACTTTCTTGTCAACATCAAGAGCCCAGCCTGGTGCGACATTGCATCAAACTTTGACAGTCAACGTCACCATCAGCATCAGCACTCGGAGCATCCTTGCACTTTGCAGTCTATGATAAAGCCTATTCTGAACAACATGACCTACCATATGAGAGGGTGCGAACTTGAAGACTTCAAGGAGGTACCGTAAGACGGTGTAAAAGATATAAGATGGCAATACCTAGCATGATGGAGCATATTTCACATGGTAGTCTGATTGCCCATCATGATTCGACTGGAGGCAGCTCGAGATAAATCATGAGATTTCAGGTACTCGAAACTGGATAATCGTTGATAGTAATAGTCTCATCAAAGTACGCACACGACTTTCTTGTTTCCCTGGAGGGATTTTCGTGGCATGGATGCAGTCTGGCTCCCCTCATTCAGCCAATTCTTCGAGACGTTCAGAACCGCCTGAGGGGCTTTGAACTTAGCGTTTTCAAGATCAATCGAAAGCTTCGGGCGGAAAAGATTGCACGGCCTCTTCCCTGTGAGGGATGTGCCCCAACTTTCGTCGGATTACACTTTCTACCCGAGTCTGATTGAACTTTGATATGGCTCCCGCATTGACGCAGTCATTCGAGGCTCAAGAATTGCAGCAATCGAGAACTACTGTGTTGCTGTATCCAAACAGATCTGGTTTATGATTCCCAATGCTTACTGCTCTGTGCAGGAATGGAAAGATGTTACTGTCTCCAAGAAGCATCTCTTTACCATCTGAACATTCATGTTGGCTCGGCTCCCGACTTTGGGAACTAAGCATCGCCCTTGATATATTTTACGTTTCAAAGAATCATCAATGACCTCTATGTGGACATGGCCTGGGGCGAAGGAGGTAATTTGTTCGAGTGTCTGGATCTAGAGTCCATTGGAAATCGAGAACCTCTCTATATGAGACGAAAATTGGACGCGGAAAATCCCACCACATCAGAGAGCAGATACCCTCCTTGACAGTCAAGACTGAGGGAAGTCCAAGCAATCCTTCTGAGTTAGATAAGCCACATTGCTGACTTGCAAACACAAGTCAACTGGCCGCCTAGACAATGCGGAATGTAAAAATATCTAGAATTACTCTATCGTACGAAACAAAGGGTATCTCAGCGCTAGAATGTATCAGCCACACCGCTCTTCTTCTCGTCCTCGCGTCTTTCGTCCGTGACCCGCCACCACCACTCATGCGTAGGGTCCAGACTCGCCGTCCGCCGTTTCCCCATCCCCTGGCCGTCCGCAGCGCTGTCAATCTCATCCCACGGCTTGGGGCTGAGAATATAGTGAACAATTTTGACCTTATCATCCCGCCAGATTGTGTCGTGGACCCCCTTGCGCCGTAATGTCTTGAGCGCATTATATATGTACGGTATGCCGACCCAGCGGCCGCGGAAGACATCGGAGAGAAGGTCTTGGTCGGGGAAGGTGTAGTTCAGCGTTGCGGGGGAGTTGAGCTGATCAATGATCCTATCATAGACTCCTTTCGACGGATTGATGACGAGGAGGCCCGAGTTGCAGAGTCCAAGTCCACGGTCTGATGGCGCTCCGTTTATCTGGGCGCTGTCGGGAGTGGCATGCTGTGATGTAAACGCGCAGTTGGCCGGGATCCTGTACAGGTTTCTGTCAGTCTCGCTCCCAATCATTCATTGAACCTCTTGAGACAGATAGACATACCAGTTCTTCGGATAATGCGGCTTCTTCAACGGATTGCAGACACACGCATGACTAGCCGCAAACACCCGGTTCCCCCTCCCCTCTAACTCCGGCGCATCCAGCTCCATATCCATCAGTTCGTCCATGTTCTGCATGACCAGCATGTCGCTATCCAGTAGCACCACGCGTTCATACTCCACTAGCGAGAACGCGGTAAGCTTCGTCCACGTATCATGAAATCGAGGGTCATTGGTATATTCTTTCGGGAGGGTCGGCAGGAGATGCGGGACGCGCTGCTTCGGCAGTCCACGGGCGTTGACGGCGGCATGTCCTTCAGCGGGGAATGAGTCCGTGTAGAGAACGACGAGCGGGTACTTCGACCCGACTTTTCGTAGCGAGTACTCAAGGGTGAAAAGGCCCGGGAGGTAGTTTGTGTTTGTGATCAGGGTGGCCCATACTGCACGGAAAGAGTCGGTTAGCTTGTCAATGGCCGGGATCGCAAGATTCGCCTTGTGCGTACCTTTTGTTGCGGCAATGGTGCGATGGGCACCATTGCTGAAGCGCATGGTGTAACGATGTCTGCACTCTGCAGAGGCAGAACATAAGGGTAGGTGACGTGCGAGATCTGGAGTGGCGATAATGATTTATCAATCGCATAAGCTGGCGGGGAGTCGGAGCGGAACAACCCGAGAGGGGTCCGGTCCGAGCTGATTGATAACACCATTCTAGTACTCGGTTGCGAATCTATGATTACTATGACTCAGAAGCAAGCGTACAGTTGCCGACTACATGGGAGAGTCTCACCCGGTGGAATAGCGCGACTCCTCAACGAGGGGACTTTACTACTCCAGGAGTAGGCATTAGGAAAATTAGGTGCTTCTAGCTAAAGACTTTACCGCTCAAGGTTTTGACATTCTTTCTCTACTGCTCATAGTAAAGGAATGTTAAAAGCTCAAATATAGTAAATAGCAAAGAGATAAAGTATGCATTCTTAGATGCGGCTGCCGACAAATGCCGAGCACGACAGGATCTTTGACTATTCTGAATCCTGCAGGATCTTCCCCTTGTACAATATACCATCTTGACACCTGAGGGCTGAGGCCAACATTCTCCTTCCCGCGGAGTGGATACTGAGAAGTAAGCAGATTGCAGATCATAGTTCGCACCGTTCCAGATTCATTCTCTCGTGTTTCCGTAGTAGATTGTAGTATTTAGACCTGGTCATTTTGTGGCTTTAAAGAATTTTCGAGATGAAATAGTGATTTGCAACAGGGTGTCGCCGGATTCGGAGAGTTTCTTTGCCAAAGGCCCAAGGCTCAGCCAGCCTCATCTTCTCCCGGCCGATGCTTTTCTTTCCTGCTAGTAATTTAAGCCGAGTCTTTTATGGATGGATATTTATGCCGACAGCCTCGATCCATATACACGTGGCCCACGTCTCTTAGCGTCACTAAAGAGGACCAAATTCGGCGGATTTTCGGAGACTTTCCGTGCATGTCTCGTCCCCTATATCCCTTCGACATTCCAGAGTTCCATGAGCAAAGGGATTACTCGCCTGAGTTACAAACTTTGAAAGCAATTATTTTTCAGTCTTTTGCTTTGTCCGCCTATGGCCTGTCGCAGCTGAACGCTGGGTGTTCATGTCGTTTATTCCTATGGAGCATCCGCATTGCCTATACGAATATTTTAGAATATACTGGAATTAAAGCGCAACCTAAACGATAGATGTTCTGCTAAGGTACACCAGGGGACTCCATTCCACACAGTTCACCTTCAGTGGGCATCTGTCCACTTCATTCTATAGCTTTGTTGTTTGAACAGGAGAGGCCCCAATGTCAAGGAATGCCTCCCCAGAAAAAGTCTCCAGCTCGGACACGAACGTGTTCCACAGCCGCTCGGAAGTCATAGGCGCACTGCTGTATGGCCCTGCTCCTGTCTCGTACACGAGCCTTTCTAGGTCAGGAAGTAAGGCATCTGCGGCCTGGGCTTCCATCTCCCTCTGGACCCTCCGGCTGATGCCTCCCTGCTCCGTGTACCATGCGGAGTCTTCCAGAATAATACCACTTTCGTAGAGGGCGCAGAGCTTGGAGTCAATGTTTGCCTCCTTTGCTGCTTCCAACGCCATTCGGTGACCAATCGCCTGGATCATTGGAAGCGAGAGCGGGAGGATATTGCGGTTGAAGTCTTCGCTTCGGTGTATGCCGCCAAATTCTATCAGACGATGTTTTGCCTCTGTCAATAGTGCGGCTTCGTGCCGAGCAACGGGGCTGTCGGGATCTCTGGGAGACGGGAGCTGATAGCGGCCGATTAGGAGCTCGCTTGCGAGTCCTGTGTGGTTGCCATAATTAGCATGAAGCCCAACACCTAAAAATAGCAGGAAACGTACGAATGGCGAGGACCCTGATGTCCCCTTCTGCAGTTCCTACTGCTCGGAATTCCAGCTATAGGTGGATCGTCAGCATTCCGCGCAGATAGCGGTTCGGTTTTCTTACTTCAGATTGAAGGATTTGATTATGTTCATAATATCCATGCCAGCCACATTCGTCATTCAAGGCTTTGATGCTCTTCTGAAAGTGCTGCAACGCAACAGCCTTGAAAACAGTCGCGGTGGCGTGGCGCACGCGCGGATCAACCTTTCTATTCCGGAAAGTAGTCGCAGCTTGTACGAGGAACGCCTGAAGCACATGGTACTGCGCGATTGCGTGGAGGATAGGGAGGTGCTGGGTGCGGAACTTTATGACGGCCATTGGGTTTCCGTCGTGGCCTGTGACCATCCGTCGCAGACTGAATTGAGCTGCATTATACACTGCAACTTTGAGGGCAGGGATGGAAGCACCAGACAGGAATAGCGTCCCGGCTGAGACGCGGTGGATCGTGGCAAAGAAGTGATCCCGTTCGTTTCGTGGTTTTTCAAGGCTCCCCAGGAGGGCAGAGTTGGGCAGCACTACCCGGTTGAAGAGGGTGAGCGCGTGGTCGATAGGATGAGCACCAGCGCGTGGAGGTAGGGCCCTTGGTCCGAACAGTCAGCATAATCGTGTGCAAGGGACAAGATCAAAGACTAACTTCGCAACTACGCCTTTGCACATCTCGCGGCCATCTCCCAAGGGAACTAGGAATGGACGGACCCCATAGTTCTCGCCATCCACAATCAGTCGGGCGATGACAACGGCAACGACTGGAAGCCCACTTCTTGGTGTCGTCGGTGGCATACACCTGTATTAAGTTAGCGTTGTATTTGGGTGGGTGTGAGATCACCAACTTCGCAGCGGCCCAGGAAGGGCTGTGGAGCTCGAAGCCACCGTCTGGCAGGAGTGTCGCAGTCGTCTCTAAGTTGCGCGCATCTAATCCATGGCCGACCTCGGTGAGCATAAACTGCGCTCTGAGGCGTTCCTTCGAGTCAGCTCTGACTAGCTAGTGAGTGGGTATGTTCCATGAGGGCGGTACTAACGAAATATCAAAGCTCAACGCGCGCTGGAGGATCCACTGAAGGTCCGGCCGGCTAGCTGCGAATGGGGCCACCGTGCCCATAAACAGATTATACTGAATACTAATCAAAGTCAAAGCTCCACCGTCCACTGCGGCGATTGGGTCCGTCTGCAGCTTCCAAAACTTCGGACTGAGCGTTAGAATGTCGTCCACCGTCAAGCCTAGTCTTGCTTAGCTGGTATTAGGTGGGGTGAACAGAGATTAGGGCCGTACCGTATACATCGCAAATCTTCTTTGCCCTTTTGTATGTGAGCCTGGTGCGCTCTTCCAGGGTCAGGAAACTTGCTGGTGATTTGAACAAAGGTGATTGAGCCAGCTCAAGAGTAGGTGAGGGTGACTGCCACACCCATTCGTAGAGAGTTTGGTCCGGCTGATCCGGTTGGCCCGCATCGAATGCATTTGGTTCTGGAGGCAGCATATTGTGATCTGGTCTGCACGCTGTAGAGATTGATGAGTGTGCAATCCCTAGTTCCCTCTCCGCAAGCTGCGGATATTTATATTCGAGCGTTGGTTGTGCAAATGTCTTCCTCGTCGATAACAGAAACGCTCTCAGCTGTTGCAAAATATACTGAAGACCAGATTGTGGCCGGTGATTGGTTTCCATGCACGACGCCAGACCCGCCGCAAACATGTTTGTGGCTGGCGGAGGGCATACGGACTTCGCCGCACTTAAGACAATAATATGAAGCGAAGATAGACGAAGAGCTGAAATTCGGCTGTATGTGATAGGGTATAGGTGCATGTAGGGCAGGAACCTGACACATAGTCGGGCTCAGCTTTTACCGTACACTAATGTAGTGTTCAGCTCGAGAGCTCAAGATCGTACCTGTCATAAAGGACGGCGCGCCCAGAACAAGTCAGCAGTTATCATCGCTCATCAACCACAGTCAACATGTTCGTGGCTGCAGGACTTGGTATGATGGTGGCCCATTGGCCTGCCGTTATCATCGGTTTCGCAATCTGTTATGTCAGTACTCCCTCCCAATCAAGTAGACAAAATCTAACGCCTTCTAGCTCCTCGGCTCAGCCATCTACAACTTGTACTTTAGCCCATTGGCAAAATATCCTGGCCCGTTGTTCGCGAAGGTGTCTGCCCTGCCAGATTTCTACTGGTCTCTAACCGGAGACCGGCATATGTGGATTGCTCGCAATCATGAGATCTATGGGGATGTGGTTCGATTTCGCCCAGACGGCCTCCTCTTTAGAACCCCCCAGGCCCACCGAGATATCTTCAACCACAAAGCCAACGTCAAGCGCGCCAAGTTCTACGACATGTTGACGCGGAACAAACATGACACGAGCACCATCACCGGGACCGATCCAACCCTCCATGCTCAGAAAAGGCGGGTTCTAAATACTGTCTTCTCGGAGAAGTCGCTTCGTTCAATGGAGCCCTTTCTGGTTAAGCATGTGACACGCTGGTGTGAGCTGCTCATTGACGGGGACGGTACGGATTGGTCAACTCCACGGAAAATGTCCGAAGCATGCGATTATCTGGTCTTGGATGTTCTCTGTGACCTCTGCTTTGGGCAGTCTGTCGACACCAAGGAACCTGGTGAGAATGAGTATCATAAGATTCCTCATGCGATTGGCTCGTTTCTGGACATCCTTTACCCGGTACGCTTCCCACCTTAGGCACACAAAAGCTGAACCTATAACTGACAACCCTGAAGCTTGGCCATTCTCCATGGCTGGATCTTATCGTCTGGTTAAAGCCAAGAGGCCTTGATTGGGTGTTTGGAGCTCTGACTCCTCCGCACATTCAATTTCTCTATGAATTTGTGAAGCAGTCGCTAGCGCAACGTCTCAAGACCGAGAAAGAAACCCCATCGACGGGACAGGAAGGCCGAGGAGACATGCTTCACTATCTGATACATGCGAAAGACCCAGCAACCGGTCGCGTGGGGTACACTCCAGAAGCGCTGGAAGCCGAGGCGCTAATGCTGACAATCGCGGGCTCCGATACTACTTCCGTGATCATGGCCGGATTCTTTTTCTATATTGTGCGGACACCTCGTGCTTATCGGAAGCTTGTTAATGAAATACGATCAACCTTTACCAACATCGATGAGATTCGAGCCGGCCCGAAACTGACATCCTGCCAATACCTTCGGGCTTGTGTGGATGAGGCAATGAGGATTATGCCTCCCGGGCCGTCTGAGATGCCTCGAATTGTGCTACCTGGAGGGATCATAGTCGATGGGGACCATATTCCCGAAGGAACAACTGTTGGAGTGGCATCTTGGAGCTCCTACCGCAATGAGGAGTACTTCCCAGACCCCAATGTTTATCGCCCCGAACGATGGATAGTGGATGAGGAGGCTGGCGTTACTGCCGAAGACGTGGCCAGGGCCCGGTCTAGCTGCTTCCCATTTGCTGCTGGCACGACGGGTTGTGCTGGGAAGAATTTTGCCCTTTTGGAACTTTACATGACCATTGCAAGCACATTGTGGCAGTACGATGCGCGGCTGCTACCAGGCGATATGACTGGTGCTGGTAGCAAGGCGCAAGGTTGGGGAAAGAGGAACCCAAAAATTTTCCACGTCAAGGACAAGTATATCAGCGTTAGGGATGGGCCAATGGTTCAGTTTAAGAAGCGAGTAGCTTAAATCTACGAACAAAAGCATTGATGGGTAATAAGTTCTACTAAGTTATTGGAGGAATATTACGCTGCTACAACGCATTTTAAGATAGATGGCTGATTCGAAAGCCATATTTTTAATATGATATTGCTTTTTCTACTCTATGGCTGAATGATAATCTGTAGTTACTGGCGGATCTCTATCCTACTCTGCTCATTGATGGAAGAAAGTTACTATGACGTACCTCAGGGCGTTTTCTATTGCGAAAACAAGCCAACTGAGTGTCTGTGCCAGATTTACTCGTGGTTTGCAGAGCTGAACATAGTCATACCTAACAATGTCCAGGGCTAATAGGACAGGAAAAAAGTTTGTTCAGGCCCTATAACACCGCTGAGTACGTATCAAATTCAGTTCTCGATGGACTTGGTCTAACGCATGTTCCGTTTCAGTTGCTGAAGCAGCGTTTCCTGGTTCCACCTGTGGTTCCAAAAGAGTACGGATGAAGCGGAAACCGATGTAGAATATTATCAGCACTAGTGCATTGGCGTTTTCAAGCCCCCAGTAATCCATGTGGTTCCTCGTATCCTTGAATCGAGCAGCGGGTCCAAGTTCTGTTTCCAGCCCAAGGGCAACGCGGGTATCTCCGAGGATATTTACTCCGCACCTCTGCCTGTATTTACGATTGGTCCCGGATATATGAGAGGAAGCGAGAAATGTTTGACGAGGCTACTGTTGCCATATATGTTAAACTCTGATACACTGTGATAGCAAAAGCAGCCACCACAGTGGCTTGCTTATGAAGGTCCAGAATAGAGCTCACCATCTGGAGGCCCATCGATATAGCTCTCGGCGCATTGGACATTAGTAAACCATGCTCAACTATACGCCCCACTCTTATTGCAGCAGTGAAAGAGCCTCCGAGAGCCTGGTTGACTCCATTGCCACTGTTGACACTATGCCGGACTATTCTGCCGATTGGCTGTTGGTATCCCACGGTTTCGCTTGACATGTCCGCCAAGAATAATGGTATCATATAGTGTAGATTGGGGGCACATCCATTTGCCAACTCAGGGCCTGGTGGGAACAGTAACTTTGTAGAGTACTCCGATCTACTTGAGTTCAGAGTTCAAGAGCCACCATACTAGTATCATTAGAGGATTAAAACAGATTACAGACTGGAATCTCAGGTACTCTGGGAAAGCCTAACTAGACTTGGAAAACAATGTGCCACAATGCGGCCCAAATTTATGTATTACTACCTAAGGTTTGGGAACATAACGAACTAGATGGTTCCTACACCGGCAGCTTATCGAAGTAATTCCTCCTATGATTGGATCACTCTAAGCCACAGCTGATAGCTTGATACTAGCGGCTACTAGCCCTTCAAAAGTGATCTGTTGACTTATGGTTAGGTGACAACTGACAGGCCAGGCTAGCTGAATTATTAGAGGCGTGGAAAGTTCTAAGTGGGTTCAGAGTACTAGGTAGTGTTTTGAATAATAGATCTAGTCATAATCTTGCACTAGAACTGTGGCGTTGCTGACAGTCTCATCTCTTGCTCGCAACCCCATCTGGCACTTTGTACGCAACCTGAACCAGTTTTACCTTCAATTGGCAGGGGCAGCACTGGGCATTCTACAAGTACATTTATGGAGTCATGTGCACTAGTGACATATCCGACAAACTAGTCTTGGTTTGCATGCTGCATATTTGGCCCACCAGCTCCAGAATACGAGTCAGTGCCCCGTTTGTCAAATGCATCCTCCCCTGGGAGCGGAGTTTGCTGCAGGGGGATTTGCGATTAGATTTATCTGTGATGAGCAAACTAACTCGCAGTAGTAGAAGCATTCAGCAATGTATAAATATACCTGTACCACGGCGTTTTCGCAAAGGAAGCCCGCCTCTACCTTCCTATAGATCTGTACCTCCCATTCCTCGTGTAGGAGTTTGCAAAACTGCTTCATCTTTTCCTCTCAAACACATTGTCTATCTTCGCCAGCTAAGGAGCCAGAATGGTCAAAGTTACCCAATTTGTGTCACTTACTGCCATGCTTGGTGCCCTCGCACAAGCAGCATCGCCTACAGTAAGCACTATATTTTTCCAAAAATCATGGATGTAAGAGCATTAATAACCTCGCATTAAAGATTGTTTTCTGCACAGATGCCGGCCGTCGTGGTACTTGCCTTCAATTACCAATAGTCGCTGATAATTGTGTCGACTTCAAGGGTGGCCTTACCATCCTGTAAGTATTCTGACCAGCCAGGAAACTCTTTATAGTCATGCCTAGCAGGAGATGTTCTTGACTAATTACCATCTATTTCTTTGGCATAGTTATCACGAAGCTTCCTCAGCAGTAGTTCCACAGGGATTTATCTGTATGCTCTCTAGGTATGTACACGCATAACCACCTTGACTAGATGTGCCTCGTCTGATAAGATGAAGGGGTTATGGTTGCACCAGTCCTGAAGTCTACCTCCAATCTGGATCTTGGAACCTAGCCTCTGTACCTTCTGCCTCTGGTTCCATCACCAATTTTAACGATTTAACGGGCAGTTTTTTATGCAGCCCTATTTGAAAGGGATTGGAAAGGATCACTTGAGACTGGCAGTAAGCTCGGAGCCCCAACTTAATTTATAACCATAGGTAGGTTTCTAGATGGATTCCAGGTCTTGTATAAGCCTGACTTTGAAGCCCATTCTTGATTTCCTTGTGACCACCTCATCCCTGTCCAGTCCTATTCTTGTTTCCCAGACCTCCGGTTGAGCTTCTTGTCAACTTAGCCCTGCTTTGGTCTACCTTAATGGAGCTTAATGCATCAGACAGCAAAGTCCTTCCTTGCTCTGTGTGAGTTATCTGCTGGTGGTCAGGTGTCTCTCGCGTCCTAAATGCGCTTATCTATCTAGGCAGTAAATCCATATGATTTATGGTATCAACAGAGCACTCACACATTTACCCATTAAAGATGATCACTAACACAGATGCGGTCCGTACGCTGTCATGGTTTCTAAAGCAAGACAGCCCTGTCAGCGCTGAGCGAGTGGAGTACGGGGGGCCTGAAAGAAGCATCAGCCACAACCGCTGATGGCAACATAGTCATGTAAGCACCATACAGTCGGGGAGCAGCTTGTGCACCTGATTCAGTGTCTCACTTGGAAAGGGGGACAGCCGCTGAGATACATTGATCACGCCGAAACGATGCCATCCGTGGTTTCTCAGCCACAGGATCCGTTATATCCGGCGTGCCAAATGGATAATTATAGACTCTGTGAGTTGACTGGGCTATAACATCTTAGATAACTATGACTACCTGCTGGTCAATAGGATATGTACAGGATTGCACCAGTGGTGTACAACATATAAATATCGCCTTCTTCCCAACATTAACTCCTTATTCCCATCATCTATATCTTCACATCATCAAATCCTCTTCCTCTCATCCAAGTTCAATAGCATAACGCCTCTGCACGATGAAGCTCACCACCGTCTCAATCCTCGCGGCTGCCAGCTCAGCGCTCGCCGTTCCCACCAACATCAAGCGCGACAGCTACATCCAAATCAGCGACTTCTGGGCCAGAGCTGGTCCCACATCCCCTGGTGCATCCATGCACTTTGTCGTTACTGATCCAAACTACCCAGAGGACACGCCCACCGATTGCAACCTAATCTGGTAAGTTTATGCCCCTCGTCGAGGATACCAAACTAACCAACGCTTCTCTTGTTGTTTAGGACCTATGGCCACCTTCCTAAGACAAATGCACGCTGCAACAATGGCGAATACTACATCAAATTCCCCAATGGGGCTCCTGAGTTCAACTGGTTCACGCTGGAGCTTCAGAGGGTCAGTGGATCAATCGCTGAGGATGGCCATGTCTTGCTGAGTTCGAACGCGAATGGCGCCGCACCTGGAACCAAGTGGATTTGTGTCAATGACCCGGAGCCAGGGGTTGAGATCAGCTGTTCTTATGATGGGGTTCTTCAGATGGAAGTTGCTTAAGGTCTGCGCATGCGGGGACCATGAGAGACACGCCAGTTGGGTATATTGAATTGTTTTCATTCTCAGCTTTTTCTGTTCATGTCATTGTATTGTTTGTGGGTATAGAAGTAGTATAGTGATGTTTGTGATTCTTGAATCGTTGTTGGCTTTATTCCGCTACACTTCAGACAGAAATTCAGCTTTCTCACTCTTCAAAGCTCTAAGATCGAAGGATATACCGTGCAGATCCCAGTAAAGATTCGTCTCCAAAATGCCAAGATTCGGTCCTTGTGAAGCTGGCTCCATCAGCCTTGCAATAACTTAGCCGTGTTAAGTGCCGAGAGTCAAAGCACGGCCAGAGTCTTGTGATATCCCGGCAGATTGTGTCAGTGCGATTCGTTAGGAAAGACGAGGAAGATATCGGCCTGACTCAGTTTGGGAATAGATCACCGTCAATAGCCAATAAGGCTTCCTCAATCCATCCAACCAAGAAACTAGAGTTGCTCGATATCGTTAGAGATCCCGAACACGAGGTGTCCGCAACTCTCGACCCATAGCCAAGAACGCAAGACGCATATAACCTCATCTCTACCCCTGTCTGTCTCATACTGATCCATACCCAGAAACATGGCGCGCTTCTCCTTCCTCCTGCTGGCCTCGACCATCTCCCTTACCACAACAGCATCCAGCCTCAAGCGCGATACTCTCAAGCCCTTTCAGAACGGCCGCTTCGCGCCGTCAAATAATGCCTCCACCTCGCTAGCATACGACAACAATCTCCTCCCGCGGTACTACGACTGCTTACCAGGTGCTCATCTGTGCGATGCTGGCCAGTGCTGCGACTTCACCTGTTGCTCGGATGGATCCTGCTGTCCGGCCGCTCAGCTTTGCTACAACGATGTGAAGCCGTCCAAGGGACCGACGTATTGTTGCGAAATATATACTGAGAAGGAATGCGATACGAGATGTGTGCCGATGATGTCGGAGTGCTGCGGTAATGGGTTCTATGTGTGTCTTTCGTCTCATGGTTGCTAGGGAAGGTGCTAACAGGTGTAGTGCGAGTATGGCTACGAGTGTACTGCTGGTGGATGTGTAAGTCTGATCGACCTTGACCCCAGACTTGTGCTGACATGGACAGTGTAAATGGGGTCATACATGCAGTGGAAGCTACGACGATGACGACGATGACGACGATGTTGGGAGTGGTGGTGGTTCTAAAGATCACGATTCAACGACCTCCATGTCTACGGAGCGGAAAGTGTCTACTACCTCGGAATACACGACTCACACAAAGGAGCGCACAACGACATCGGAGAGGAGCACTCGAACGAGATCAACGGATACTGATGGCGCATCGGAGACTACGGAGACGGATTCATCAACCTCAACTTCAACATCGTCTCGCAGGACGACGACAGATTTTCCCACGGCGTCGGATTTCACCCCAGCCCGGAGTTTTGTTCCGGCTCCAGCACCTACCGGTACAGTATCTCTTTCGGGAGCAAACAAGAATAGCTTGTCGAGCCTCGATATGGGGTTGTTGGTGATTGTGACTGGAACTGGTTGGTATTTCGCATTGTGATCAGTGGACGAACTCAATAACCCTTGGGTCCATCTTTAACCAATGTAAATATCGAGTGACGACCAGATGGTATGCTCTCTTATGCAGAAATTGAGATTATGTTAATTTCTCATGACTCAGTTAATCCGAAGATTCCCAGACGAGCCGGACACCCCCATCAAACTTCAAATTTTCAAAGCATTTAAATATTAAACCTATCCAGACAGCTACTATGCCACGAAAATCACATCAAACCTTTCGAAATTTAGTAGATTAAGAGGGAAGGATCCTATTAGCAATACCATCTTTGAAAAAGCAGGAAATTTAAAGTATTTACTACACCATAGAGATATTTAATGTGCCTAAGTCTACCCTCTATAATCAACTTCATGGATGCCAATATTAGATTAAGAAACATGTAAATACTGGGCTTTGAGTGGCGGAGGCGCCGCACATTCGGTGTGGTCCTCAGCATGACCGTCAAGATCTACCCCGAAGGCCCTATTGGCAGTGCATTACTTTCGATCAACCGCTCCGGCGTGGCAGGAAGCCTATTCGAATGCTATGGCAGAGTGGTGGCACAGTGTCCCCGTAATTGCAGATGCCGGAGCGACCGTTCTCTCGGCCACCAGCAAGGCGCTTTTACCTTGGAGAGTTTCACAGCCCGGAACAAAACCGCCAGCGAGGTGTCTGATATGCTGGGTCCCTTCCTCTCCTCCTTGGATGCCCTTAGAGTTCCATATAGCGCCTCAACCTATGTCACACCCACCTATTACGAACATTTCAACCAAACTAATGGCCCACTGCCGTACGGGAGCTGGCCAGCCTCCATGCTATTCAACAGACGTCTCGTCTCCCGTGCTATAACCACCGATTCTGAGCGAATCAGAAACTTGACCGACACGATACAAGACGTGGTGGACGACGATGACGAGGCCCCATGGAACTTCGGCTGCATGGCTCTTAACGTGAAGAACGTTACCCACCCAGGTAATGCGGTCATCCCGTACTGGGGTGATGCGATCGCAATCTGCATTACTATTTCGCGCTGGAACTGGACCATTCCGCGCTCCAAATTGCTGGCGCGAAAAGAGCACTTGGCCGAGGTGATCACTCCTGCCATCGAGACTGCTACTCCTGGATCGGGGGCTTATTTGGACGAGGCGGATCCCTATGTCTATCCTCCCGACAGTCTGTCGTGGCAGAACATGTTCGATGGGTCCAACGGCCCCCGGCTTCGTCTGATCAAGGATATATGGGATCTTGTTATCTAGTTTACATGCTCTAGGGCCTAGGCAAGATGTATATGCTTATTATGATCTAATAAAGGTGGCTTTCGAAGGGCAATATAATATGTATAACCTTGTTTCTTTAATGCTTGAGTAAGGGCGGATGATCTAACAGGTAGATTACGTTCTTAATAGCCTTTGTAGAAAGCCATACATTGATTATGCTTAGAGGAAGAGATAAATGCTATAGTATTATTAATATCTTCCTTAAGCTTTAGTGGCTTGCCTGGGGCCTTTCTAGGTGTTATTTACTGGCTTTAGTAGGTATACTGAACCTAGTGATACATGATTTGAAGCTGATCTGTAATCTATTGACAGGTAAAGCCAGCATCTTAGAGGGTAAGGACATGGATTTGATCATCTTGGCTAAGGCATATGGAATTACCCCTGTTGTCATGGGGCTGCGGCCTAGGTAGGGTCACTGCCTTAGGGAGGCTTATAAGCATGTTCTAGGCCTGGCAATCCATTGTAACCTATTGGTATTGTGGATAGTGCTGCCCAGAACACTACCTTCTTACACCTCTGCTTAGCTGCCTGCTGAGGGGGGGTGCTAGGTTTGGGGGTAGGCATGGTGTGTTGATTGCTCACTAGGTTCACTAAGATGAAGGTCTTATTAGCTTCACATAATACTAATTAGGAAGGTGGTGGGAGATACTAGAAGGATTCGAATTCCCTGCAAGGCCCACTGTACTAACCAAATCACCGGGGGGGAACAGTATATTCTTGTTTATAAAATACCACTAAAGAGTTTTGACATTGCTTAGTGGGGCTTGCCTAATTTGTATATTATCTTGGAGTTATGCTCCATTGGGTTAGTTAGTCAGCTGCCAGAGCTTTAACTAGTTAACTAACTAAGGGTCACTTGGCGGGTGACCTCCCCTAGGGGCGGGTCGCGAAGAGGGACCCACGGTCCGGGTCATGGCAAGGTCTAGGCCAATGCGGGGAATTTGAATGCGACCTCGGTCTTCCCAAGTGCTGGGGGCATTAACGGCATCTGCCTCAATGCTGGGATAGTTTTGTCTTTAAGTCTAGGTCGGTCCATGGTATCTTTCTCTAGCCTGTCAACCGTGGGCTAACACTGGAAAATATGCGTGAAATTGTAATCAGTCGAGCGGTATTTGACAGTTATGAGCCCGGAAGCCCCTATGGTATAGGGATCTGACGATTATCTTCTTCTTCTTTCCTGTTTGAGAGAAAACCCGGAAATCTGCGGAAGGGTTTGCCGAGGCAAACACATGTATAGTGAATTGGCCCCTTGTCCCGAATATTACTATTGGGTCGTCTATGTCTACATACTATTGACTCGACGACAGCTATATACATATTTGTCAAGTTTACTCCATGTCAACAACGCACTTGGCAGCGGTTTTGTTGACCTTCAATTGAAGCAGATCCGGTCGTGAGTAATGACCTACCGGATCAGCCAACGCCTTGGCATAATCAATGTGTTGCAAGTCGATATCCGCCTGGAGGATACACTCCACGCCGGGAGGGGGCGCTTCCACCAGCGGAGTGCCGTCGGGTCCGAAGATCATTGCGAACCCACCGCCGGGCTACATTATTATTAGCTCAGATAATATGAAATTGGATATGAGGTACGTACCACCTGAATGATCCCCTCCTCTACCAGATTCTGCTTGGCTAGATTTTCCTTTGTGAGAATCTGCGTACAAGCAAGCACGAAGGTCTGTCCCTCAATAGCCATGAACTGACTCATCAACTGACAACCGGCGCCGGTGGCACTGAATCCCCATGGCACACTCTTGACCATGGGGAACATGGCCGGCCAAGACGCGACGTGGATCTGCGCACCCTGTTCGTACTCATAGTACCGCAACAGGGGCTGAAGATGTTCCCAGCAGTTCAAGGCGCCGATCTTGCCGAAGGGGCTGTCGACGACCGTCTTCAGCGAGTCGGCCTGTGACTCGCCCCAGATGCACCGCTCCACATGCGTGGGCTTGAGCTTGCGGCGGTGATGCACGATCTCGCCTTCCGGGGAGATGAACGACTGGGCCATGTAGATGCTGCCCGCATCGCGCTCGCTGTAGCCGAGGACAATGAAGATTCCGGCTTCTTTGACGGCGGCTCTGATGGCGTCCATCTCGGGCGAGTTACGGGCGAGGGAATTGGCCATGTATTCATGGAAGAGTTGGACATTGTCGATTGGGCTGTTCGTCCACATTGACCTAGATGAAAGGGTGCTTGAGTGAGTCAAATTTTGCCATGTATGTAGATGAATCCACGGCAATACACATACCATAGATATCCCGGAATCCAAACCTCAGGGAAGCCGAGAACATTAATTCCTTTCTCGCCGGCCTCTTTGATGAGTTTGATGGTCTTGGCAACACCCCCTTGGAGGTCATTCCAGGCGGGTTCGGCCTGGACAGCTCCCACACGGACTTTGGTCATGATGCTAGGTAGAATATGACAGATGATACGGAGTAGGTTGGGGCGAAAAATGAAAGGATGAGAGAAATTAGGGAAACCTCGTTCCGGGTCTTTATATACTGGAGTGGATTAGCTAGATACTCTTCAGACCGCTAAATTGGCATTATGAATCACACAGCCACATGCCAGTTCACAATGTTAGTCGTTCCACTCCCAAAGGTTAGTAAAGAATTGGAGTCGTTCCACTCCCAAAGGTTATTGAAGAATTGGGGTCGTTCCACTTCCAAAGGTTATTGAAGAATTGGGGCTGATTGATGGCCAATCGACTGGCTTAGCATCATCATCAAGGCCCAGCATCACTTTAGACGACTGATCAGCAGCAGGATTGGAGATTAGCAACGGGGACCCGCCCCCGGCTGAGACGGAAAGTGGAGGATTGTAATACTAGCCTACTATCATAGTACATACCAGGAAGGTGGGTCCGTACTAGTCTAGATACCAGGGGGTCTGGTCGAGCTGTAACCGTTTTTCCCCGACAATATGCTTGACATTTCTCTGTGTACGGAGTAGATGGAAACCATCCACGAAGGACGGCTTTGGTCCAGGTCTGTCGATTAAATTACCATTCAGCCCCTATGTCTGGAGCACTGGAGGTGTTAAAAGTATGCCTCCTGCCTATACCACCATGTCTGTCGTGTCAGTTAGAATCCAGAGATGCAGCAACCTGCTCTAGTACCCGGAAAGACCGTCGAGTCGAGAGTTGGGGAGATTTTCGGTATCAGTATCGCTTTCACTTGCACCACCGTTCTCATCGTCGCTCTGAGGATCTTTACACGCCTGAGATACGTCAAACAGCTCAAGTCAGATGACTACATTATCCTTGGTTCACTTGTAAGTTATCTGCCATTGAATTGTGTTGAGTTGATTGATCTAATGCCCTCTTACTCAGGGACCCGTAATTTTCTATGGAATCGATATCTGCCTCCGTAAGTGAGCCCAGTGAATAAAATGCGACTCCCAACTGATGGATGTTGTACCAGAGACCCAGTTTGGACTGGGATATCATATTAGAGACCTCGCCAACCCAGCCAATTTTGCCGGCTCTCTCAAAGTCAGATGATCCCTTGGCTCTTCTGTTCATGACTGTTGACTGACCAGCTTCTCAAAATAATAGCTTTTCTATGCCGCTGAAATTACCTATTATGTCATTGTCGGGGTGACCAAGATTTCCCTCTTGATCTTCTATCTGCGCATCTTCACTACCTCGAGCTTCAACTTTTTGCGGAAGCTTTCCTACGTGCTCTTGGTCGCCATCTCCCTTCTCACCGTCATATACGTATTCGTCTGTGTGTTTCAATGCAAGCCGATTGCATTGGCCTGGGATAAGGGGATCAAAGGCACATGTATCAATGTCACTACCTTTTTCTACTGCCACGCGGGCCTCAACATCCTCGCGGATTTCTGCATCTACATCATGCCCATGCCATTGTTCTGGACGGTTAAGCGATCGGCCAAAGAGCGCATTGCCCTTGTTGGGATTTTTGCCGTCGGTGGCTTCGTCTGTCTTACCGGCATTATCCGGCTGGCCTCCTTGAAGAAAGCCATGTCCAGCGATGACCCTTCTTGTATGTCTTGAACCTTGTCTCTCGTTGGCATCCCCAAAAATGCATTCTAATGACATGAACAGGGGACAACGAGCCGTCTGCCGTCTGGTCTTGCATTGAGGCCGACACTGGTGTCATCTGTGCCTCTCTCCCGTCTCTCAAACCGCTCTTCGCGGATGTGCTTGGCAGAGTTCCGCGCACCCAGAGCTATTCCAGGAGTAACACCAGTCGAAACTTCGGGGCACTGACAGAGAGCCAAACCGGTCTGCATACTTATTCTCGAGCGGATGTCGAACTCACCCAAAATCCCCGACCCTATAAAATCGAGCATGTGGTTGTCCGGACCGATGAGTTTCGTGTTGAGCGCAGCGACGCTTAATCTTCCAGTGTTCCTTTTTTTTGTAAATGTTACATCCACTACAAAAGAATTCTACAGCGGCATGCTGCAAGACTCAAAAGTCATTTCGTCGTTGATCTGTTGACTTTCTAGGTTACGTAGAGTGTTGGGGTTTTGATGTCTCGTTGCTTGAAAAAAAATACGACTGTCTTCCAGTCTTCTTCCTTTCTATCTGCATACTCGACTGACTTGTCAAAGAAGGTATCAAAGCAAGAGGCAATAGAGCGCAACGCTGATCTGTGGGATGCATAATTCTATTTCATCTCTGACTTTTGCTAATATCTGTTGTCTATGTGAATGAATCTGGGTGTGACACAAGGATAGGCTGCAGCTGAACTGGCTGGTCTCCTCATGGCATAGCACCCGCGCAAGTCGCTAAATTCCATCGTGATCAGCGATACCAGATTCTCCCAGTCTATGCTCAAGATGGGGTCGTCTTTTCCAAGGTCTTTTAAGCTTTCGACCGATGCCTCTGTCTTTGAAATTTGTCGCAGAGCTGCTTCATCATTGTGAGAAATGGCCGGAGCCGAAATCTGTTCTTGTCATGGATAACGCCTCTTTCCACCATTCTAAGAGGATTGAGCGAATGTGTTCACAAGCAGGGGTCTTTGCTTTTATATTTACCTCCGTACTCACCAGACTTAAATCTCATTGAAGAGCTCTTTGCTGAGCTAAAAGCCTTCATCAAATGTCCTTGGCAAGCTTACGCTGACAACCCTGCATTGATACGTTTCCGGAACTCTGGCCTGCAATCAAGAAGATGTGATGCAAACGTCATCAATCTAGGAATCATTTATGCAATGGTGCACAGATATTTAGAATAGATTTAGCTGCTCTCCCAGACCCTTCTTTCCTGAAGATAATTGAAAATAAATAGAATCGAATTTGATCAATTTCTCAATCCACTAAACAGAGGTCCACCTCTGTAATAATGGGCTCTTGATGGTGGCAACCCATAATGTATGCTTGAGCAGCTGGGTTTTTTTATGGATAAAGGCATTGACTTTCGCCCATCTGATGTCTTAAAATATACATTCCCATCACACACATAGCAGATAAAAGTCTTATGGATACTTCTTTGAGCCTAAATTTTGCACAAGCCTGAGGCAGCATCAGCATGCAAACAGAAGAAAGGAGAATGGATATCATCAAATTCCCATAAAAGAGCTTCTATTTTCACCACCATTCCAGTCTCTATTGTCTAATCAGCACATGATCGCCTGCAGGATCTCGGGCGGCCAGGGAGATTGTGTGTCTAAGGCCTCAACAGCTGCCCACCTCACATCGGAGTCGTCGTCGTCTAATCTATTATCGAAAGATTGATGTAGCATTGGTCCATATCCAAAAAAATCTCCAGAAAGGCGCTTAATCCTCAGACGATTGTCCATCTCATAGTATTCCCGTAATTTGAAGTCAACTAGTTCATCGGTTAGCAGAGTCCTTTGTACCAATTCTGGCAAGAAAATCAAGATATTGTTGTCAGCCATATCTTACCACTATTGAATCCGGCGATTATCGGAAATTGGTATCTAACTGAATTCTGGCTGGGCTAATCAGATTGCTTAATTCTACTATGGATTCAACTCACCGAATTAAGAAGATCTTACAGAGTTTTCATTTAGCATCTATAAAATAACACCCACACCCTTCTAAGGCCCAGATACTACTTAGGGCAAAGGGTGAAGCTATGTATAATGTGATATCAACAGCTATGTCAGTGGTTTGGTATGATCTATGAGTATATATAGCAACATCTAGTGATTATTATTATGTATGTAATTATTTAGATTATCATACTCCTTAATAGCTTAGGTAAAAGTATAAAAGGGGAGGTAGAACTCCTTTGAAATAGATGGGATATATACAGGGTGGCTGCTAGCGGTTTATCTATTAATTCTATACCTTTACCTTTAGAACTACTAAAACACGCGCCACCAAGCTGCTTAGATTACTATATCATAGGGCATACAAGAGTTAGATGCCCTACACGCAATACTAGCTAGATCTAATAAAATAATATTCTATTTTGGTTGATTTGGATAGCTTCGAAGGTGTAAACGCGTTGAAACTGGATGGAGGTGTCCGGCTGGCCCGGGTGTCCGGCTCGTCTGGGATTTACGTTAGCTATGGCGTCACCACTGTTCAAGAAAAGACGATCATATGCACTAAGGCAACGGCCCCAGCACAAAAAGACTGCACTAGGAGTGGTAAAAGAAAGTATGATCTGGCTCCTTGATCTGAGAGGCCTTGCGGAGTACAAGCAGCCAGTGATTGCTACGCTGCTGGTTACACAACCTAAGCAATGGGTGCTCTCAGGAACGTGTATGATGCAAGGTATTGGAAACCAGCCATGTCCGCAAATGATATTGACCTCGAGACAAGAGTATAAATTCCGCTGGATTGCCAGCCAGAGCTGTCCATTCTTCATCACCGAGTATAGGTTCAAGTCTGCTGTCCCAATGTAAGTCGGCGAGCGGCTCACCTCCCTAACATCAGTAAACTGACCTTACACAGATCAAGATGCAATTCAGTCCCCTTCTTACCATTTTTGCGCTGGCGGCGGTTGCTTTCGCTCAATGTAATTTTTGCTTTCTCCGTTATTAGCTCGCAGCTAACATTACTAGACGATGAACCCTGTGGCAGTGCCAAGAGCTGTGTCGCTGATTGTCCCAGCAAGGATTTCTTCCCTATGATTGATCAGTGTGATCTCGTGGACGGCAAGCCGGACTGCTATGTCAATTTCTACTGTGCTTAGGCCTTGGACAGTTATTAACGATAGAAGATGATTAAACATGAGGCTTAATTTGGTTATGTTAGGAATTAACTATTCCCAACTAAATTAGAGCAAATTGCGTGATTGATAGTGGATCCGGAATTATCCCCACCTTTGCAATAAATAATCACGTACTTGGTGACTAGTCCAGAACATCAAACTTATGCCAAACAACATCAAAGCACAATGATAAGCCCATTCTCAAGTATGCTGGTCTCCCCAGTGGAATTCCACGCCGCCGTGAACTCACCTACAAACACCCGTCGGATTGTCCCTGTAGCCGCCGGCCGGCGCGCAGTACACACCCCCGCCTATCATGGCCAGCATATCCCCAACTCCGTGTATGTCCCACCTCAACCACCCCGCACCAGCATACTAACGAGCACAGCTTCTTCGACATGGATCTCATCAGAGATGCCACCTCGCCATATCCACAGATGCTCCCCACCGCGTCACACTTCGCGTCCTGCGTAGCAGCCCTCGGCATCACCAAGGACGACGTGCTAGTCATCTACGACGCCGTAGACGTGGGGATCTACAGCTCGCCGCGCGTGGCGTGGATATTTCGCTTCTTCGGCCACGAGGCCGTGCATGTCTTGAATAATTTCCGGGTGTATGTGCGGCAGGGCTACCCCGTTGCCACCGGCGAGATGCGCCCTCTCCCGTCTGTGGACGAGTATCCTGTTTCTCCGCCGGACAGCGACCGGGTGATTGCCTTTGAGGAGTTGAGGGAGCTGGTTTTGGGTCGTGAGGAGGGGTTCCAGATTGTGGATTCGCGGATTGCGGGGCGGTTTAGCGGGGAGGAAGACGAGGTGGTGGCTGGGTTGAGTTCGGGGCATATGCCGCGGGCGGTTAATGTGCCGTTGGCGGCGATGCTGGAGGAAGGGTCGAGTACGTTTTTGCCGGTGGAGAAGCTGGCTGAGGTGTTTGAGAGGGCGGGGGTTGATGGGCGGGTGCCGTTGGTGTTGACGTGCAATTCGGGGGTGACGGCTGCAGCGCTGGATTTGGCGCTGGGTGAGACGGGTTTCAAGAATGCAAGGCGGATCTACGATGGGAGTTGGATGGAGTGGGCGAGGAGGGTGGATCGGCCGGAGTTGATTGTTAAAGAGGTGCATTGACTGGTAGACTGTATAGAAGCTATGTCATGAAGATGTCGGATCCTCGATCCAATTGTGTATCGCTCTGACCACTTGGTCGCTGTTCTTCTCCAGGAACATCATATGTCCGTTGCCATGGATGCCGACCTCCCGTAGCTGCAGGTGCTTTGTTGGAACTCCAGCTTGTTTGAGAAACCGAGCAGTGCACCAGTCGTGTGTGGCATGGTACGATGCTTCGGCTGTAACGACCAAGGTTCGAATTTTGGACAGGTTGGCGAGCTGTCGGGGTGGAGGGTCGTCAGCCTGGATCACACAGTCCGATGTTGCACTGGAGTTGGATGTGATCGTCTGTTTAACAAAGTCCGCGTCTGGATCAGTCACTGGCGGCGAATAAGTGATCGGTATGTCAGTCAATCCGTACGGACGGGCTGGTCCACTCCCAAAAATTGCATTCTGGAATGGGGGACCGGACGGTTCAATTGATACGATGGAATGCACCAGATCCGGTCTTTTATCTGCCATAACCCATGCCATCGCCCCTCCCTGGGAGTGAGCGACAAGTATCACCGGCTTGCCGATGGCGTCTAACAATGCAGCGCCAGCAGGCTGCATAGAGGCTTCTTGAGCAGCGTTTTCTGCAAGAGAAGGAACCGTCGACGCATAGTACGCATCGAAAAATGAGTCGCCCATAACACCGGTTCCGGGCCATTGGGTGTGAAGACTCGCCTGTGGCCAGAGGTTGTATTTCGCCGTGTCAGTAAAGTACTTTTGCAGATGTTCGGCGCTGTATTTCCTCAGCTGTCCATTCCGGGAATCCCATGGACTCCTGCCGCGGGAGGTGTGATCAAGCAAGTAGCATTCGTAGCCTTGTGAGAGAAAATAAGACGCCCATCCTTCGTCTCCGTCGGGTTTGTTCAGCCAGTTCTGGTCGTGTTAGTTATGAGTCTTTCAGACAAGGAGCAATCGTACCGTTGCTGTTTGATCGGCTCCGTGGATAAATACGATCGGATACTGTTTGAGTGGGCCGTCGACAGGAGTAAGTCGTTCAACGTACATCTGGTTGGTGAAGATGTGTTCTCCATCATTGTTGAGGGTGTAGTTGCCTCCGACATAGAAGTATGTTCGGCGATGTGGTGTTTCGACGGCGGCGGCAAGCAGAGAAAATGCTATCGCTAGAGGATGAAGTTTTGCCATTATGAGGGTGGATGAAAGGGCGAAATATTGAATTGAGAGGCAGAAGAGGGGAGTTGTGTATGCTCAGCCCCGCATCTGCATGGGTGAGATATCGCTGTGGCAACGGTAGATGGGGTCTCATGTAGTACAAACTGCAGCTAATCTACGAAAGAGGTATAGATATGCGTTCATCTCATTTATTCAACTTTATCAATCTTGATTGCCATGCTTTGCTAAAGACGCTTCATCCCGCTGTATCATTTCCTTTCCGAATTTAATTGCCCGTTCGCGGCTTTCTACCTCGTCTTCCACAAGCTTTTTGGCCTGTACAGCCTCGTCTGGTAATTGTAGGGCCCAATCTCTAAGGGCTTCAAGTTCGCGCTCCATCATGCCCATACTGGCTTTTTGATCCCGAATACTAGTGACTGTATCCACTCTGCCGAGCGAGGCATTTCCGGTCGCAGATTGAAACGTCCTCCCCGGACAAAGTCGTTCTGCCTCTGATAGGGCCGCTTCGTATGCCTTTTGATAGATAGCTGCCTCCCTCTTTGCCTGCTGGAGGCTGATCTGGTGATATCGCGCACGGTCGGGGTCAGTATCAGCAGACTCATTCGCCCAGTTTTGACACGCTTCCACTTTCTCCCGCTTCGACCTGTACTCCTGCCGAAGCTTCTCCAGTTCCCAGAGAGGGAGATCTTCCTTTCTCTGGCATACTCCCCCCGGACACAGCCTTTCTGCTTCTTGTTCAGCCCCGGTGAGATACTCATTGTTCCTCGCAGACCATATCTCTTCTCTCCACAGCTTGAAACGCGCCGCCCACTCCTCATCCGTAGACTTGGCCACCGCAAGTTCAGCTTGATGTGCAGAAATGCGGCCCTCTGCACGCTGCTCCCAGAGCTTGAATCTCTCCACGGATCGCAGTGGCTCTTCAGCCGTGTTCTTGGCGATAGCTGCACAGTGCGCCCTCGCTTGGGCAACCTGAAAGCCATCCCCGTCGAAATTATCCGGCCAACCATACTCGCGGTACAACTCTTTCAGGGGTACATCCTGCCGGCTCCATTCACCTGCGCAATGCTCGCTACCAGGTAGCTCATCCAGTGAACGATACCAGCGGACAATATCGCGCAGAACGTCCCCAGCGCGACGACTAGGTTTAGACTCGAAGCTGTTGCGATTCTTACTTTTCTCCTCTGGTTCCTTCTCTTCGTCTGAATCATCAGAGTAGATGACTGGTCCGTCCGCCAGCGCAGGATCAGTAGTGCTCCACAGTTCCTGGTCAATAATCCAAATCCGATGCCGCCGCGCATCGTACATGATCACGCTCTGGTGGTTTCCCAGCTGCGATAACGGGGTCACCCACGGCCGAATGTACGGCCCATTTTCATCCTCGTAGTCATCACCGACAGGACAGCCGTAGAATGGATCGCGACCCTGCATCACGTCTTCCTCGCGGCGGAAATCCGTGAATGCACCGCCGTGGAAGAAATGCTCGTTGCCAGCAACATGACGGTTCACATAGGGAAGGATGCTGTAGAGATAGATGATGGCGGGATCAATCTTCAGCTTTTCATACAATGGGCGCAGATGGTCGATGTTATGTGGGCCTTGTTCGATCCCTGCTGGGTCGAGATAGCGCATCTGGGCGAGGGTGTGGTAGATTTCCAGCATGAGGTCGGCAACCTCGTGCAGGCGCGCTTTCTGATCTGGGGGGAGTCGGTCGTCCATTTTGGTTGGAAATCGATAGCTGTGCATTTACCATGCGTCCAAGAGATTATATATATCATCCCAGGATATAAAGATTATGGTACCTGGGCATCAAGGGCCCGCGGCCCACAAGGCAGCCATTGTTGCCTGATCCTAGCCGGGTCCCACAATTCAGGAGCCTAGAGCGTTGAGAATTGAGGCTCGCATTGTCTGTTTATGATGGAAGGATGGTCTGGGATGTTATTAAGTACGTATAAAATAATATATCGTTATTGACCATGTTATCGAGAACATCATACACTCATGAGTCATGGAAGCGATCAACATGGCAGTGGTTGTGTTGTGATTGATTGGTGGGGTCTCACTCCACACGGGGATAAGCGCTGCTTGTTTGCTCTTAGCTTTCTCAGCTCCTCCCTCTCATAACCAACTTAATCCATCTTAATATCCATCGAGTTAGAAGCTCGAGTCAAACGAGTCCAATAATGGGCGGCGTACGAGGAAAGTCTCAAGGTTGCGGAACCTGTCGAGCACGTAAAATCGCGGTAAGTCGACAGCCACTAGATAAGAGTACACGGGGATTGACAGACTCAGTGCGGACAAGAACGACCTCGCTGCAGCCAATGCCTCAAATCCAACCGCCAATGCGCAGGCTACCAGCGCGACAAGGTGTTCGTCCTGGTTCAACCCGACGCCAAAGAATCCGCCCGCTCAACCCGCCAGGCTGTCGCAAAGATCAATCCAAAACACTTCGACCAAGGTCCTGGACATGAAATCATCATGAGCTGCAATATTCGCCAGCAACTCCTGGACGCTTTCATTGGGCGCTGTCTTCCTCATCCGCGGTTCCGCACACGCAGCTGGTACAGACCGTGGCTCTTTCTCCTCCCCGACATTCCCACCAGATCCAAGGCGCTGGAATTCTCGACCTTGGCGATTTCCTCGGCGGCCATCGGTCGAAGATTCAACGACAGCGGACTTGTTCATCAGAGTCTAAGGGCGTACACGAGGGCCCTTCGCGAAATGCAGAAAGCGCTCTGGAGTGGCTCTCTGATACGCGAGAATGAGACGCTGGCGGCGTGCTTGGTGCTGAGCTTGTATGAGCTCATGGAGTGTCCGGATAACGGGGCTGATGCGTATCAGAGCCACTGCAAAGGATACCTGTCGCTGGTCAAGGCGCGTGGGATGGATGCCCATACCGATGGGATCGGGCATGATCTTTTCGTGGGCGTGAGAGTACAGGGGGTGCGTATTATGCCTTTGCGAGAGAGCTATTACTGACACTGTAAGATCCTTCACGCAATTGGAAACCGCGTGCCGAATTTCATTTGCGATCCTGCCTGGTGCCGGGATCCGTGGGCCTCGCGACCGAAACGAATGGCCGATCGCATTGCGGATTGCCTTACACGCATGCCGTCCATTCTCCAGCGATATGACCAGTTGTCGTCTCTCCACCGGAAAGAGATTCTGGATTCAACATACGGACTTGTGGAGGAATGTCTGAGGATCGATCAGACTTTACAAGACATCTACGAGGACCTTCGGCTTCAGGCAGAGGGTCCATTGTACTGGCCTGTTCTCTCGCCGTCGTTTAAGGACAGTGTCCAGGGCCAAGGCTTGTTTCCTGTGATATACGAATTTCCCGATCTTAAGACTGCAACGTTGTTGATGCTGTATTGGGCTTCAAGGGCTATGCTGTGGGCTACGCTGAGCAACCTGCACGACGTCATTAAGCTACAGGGGGTGTATGGCAGCACTGTCCCCATCGTTGAAGTAACCAGTGAGAAACATGACCCCAGTCCGAATAATGACGAAGAAATCTTCAGCGAACGAAATTCCCCACCTCTACACGATGGACAAAACTACTTGAGATTGGCACGCAACGTCTGCCAGTCCCTGGAGTACTGCCTACAGGAAGACATGTCACTTCTGGGAATTCTTGCCGCGTCAGTACCCGTAATCATCACAGTATGGGCTATTCGGTATCGGCACAATGACGAAGCAGAGTTGGCCTGGTTGATGAACGCATCGCAGAAAATGCGTCAGGGGCTGCGAATGTGGACATACATCTGAGGAGACCACAAATGATGCCCAACTTCGAGAATCTCCAAGCCACTAAGGGAAGAATCTATTGAGTGGCACAGCCTCAGGGGCGGAGTCACCGCTGGATAGAACAGCGAGAAAGAATCTTGTCAGCCCTAAGCTTTTTGAGGCATAAGGTGCATCCACCGCGCTAAGCTTGTTTGGGTCAAAACCTGCGAGCCACGTGACTTGGTCTCAGCTGTGTACGAGAAGGTGCTGGCGATTGGATATTGAAGCAAATCTGGGTTGATGAGGAAATGGGTTGCCTACTGTGGCTGAAGGAGGTCTGTGGGAAGCGTCAACTATAAAGGTAGAGTGTTCTCCCCTGAATATGCGTTGCCAATTCACCAGCTATTCTCACTGTTGCAATTCACCATCATTGTCTACTCTGATTTCAGCGATATCCTCATACACAATGCTCACAGATCACTCTAAGGTCGCCATTGCGCAGATTGTCTTTTATGTACCTGCCATAGTAGCCGCCGCGGTGCTTCTATTCCACCGCCATGGCCGGCCCCGACAGGCCTGGATTATCCTCCAGGTCTTCTGCTTGAGTGAGTCCTTCGTTCCACCTGCTACGCCGTACAGCGAGCTGATGGTCATTCATAGTCCGTGTCGCCTGCGCTATTGTCACCATACTCTACGAGAACACCCCAACGAGCATCGGCCTGTATATCGCCGCGCTGATCCTTCTCAACGCCGGACTGCTGCCCCTGATCGCAGCGACTCTCGGTCTTCTGCGGATAATGTATGTGCACCTCCAGACAAGCAGGCATAATAGGCATAATCTAACTCTTTTAGTATTGTCTACGAGTTCAAAAACAACAACAAGAGTCTTCACATGCCCATGAGAATCTCTCGGTTCTTGTTCATTGCCGGGATTGCCTTGATCATCGCTGGCGGCTCCTTGGCTGGGGATTACACGGACGCGGAGTCTGTGAAGACGGGCCATACACTTACCAAGGTGGGGTATATTGTTGTTGCAGTCTTTATGGCTGGCTTGGTGCTTATCCAGGGGCATTTTTGGAGACTGTATGCTAGTTTGTCTCGCGCAAGTCAGACGGTTAGTACCCATTCTGAGATACGGCAGTGGGGATGCTAATGTTGAGTAGGTGCTCAAGGGCATGGGTCTGGCTGTTCCGTTTATCATTGTGCGGATCGCATGGCTTTTCCTGTCGATCTATCATCCTGATGACAAGAGATGGAGTAACCTGAGTGGAGACATTGGAGCTTTTGTGGTCATGACGGCGCTGATGGAGTACATTATCGTGTGCATATACATCGGGACGGGGTTCATGATTCCTGCTACTAAGGGTGTGACTCGTACTGGTGACCAGGAGCTAGAGCATGAGCCGGCAGGTGAAGGGAGCAGCCAATACGGGAAGCTCCATTCTCTTGAGCGGGCGTGAGTCGACAACAGGTTAATGGAGCCCAGAGAACTCTAATTGATTACAAGGGTATATAGGACTAGAACGAGAGACATTTATATACAATCTATGCCTGCCATCACACACCTCTAGAAATGCGGCGTATTCAACGCCATCAAACACAACAAACCTCCAATCAACCCAGCAGAAGGCAACGTCAACACCCACCCACTGAAGATAAAACCAAGCTGCCTCCAATTCACCGCTCCCAAATCATAATTCATCAGTGCCACACCAGTAGCCGCACCAGTCAAACACTGCGTCGTCGACACGGGCAACCCCAGCCTGGACGCCAACAACACCGTAATCGCCGCGCCCAGCTCCGTCGCAAACCCTCTGGTCGGCGACATCTGCGTGATCTTGTTACCCAGCGCCCGCACAATATGATACCCGTAGAACCAGAACCCAAGACCCAGCAGCAACCCCGCAATCACAAGGAACCACACTGGCGTCGGCGCCTCGGTATCTACATCGCCTGCAAGGTACGTCGCATACACAGCCGCCCAGGGCCCAACCGCATTCGCAACATCGTTGCTCCCGTGCGCAATCGACATCATCATGGCCGAGACGACTTGGCAGTATGTCCAGAGATGCTCGACGCGGTCGTCGTAGCGGCGCGCGCGCGCGTGGATGTCGCGCAGCTGGGCGGAGTCGTGCGTGACCACGTCGCGGGTGATGCCCTGCAGGAGGCAGAACTTTATCCACCCGAGCCATTTCCGGGGGTGTGTCCAGGGGAGGTCGGCGACGGGGTGAAGGAAGCGTTCGTGGGGACCGAGGTGTTTCTTCCGGGGTTTGAGCTCCGGGGTGGATTGTGCGGAGGCGGCGGTGCGTTCGACGTCTTGCGTGGACTCGAGGAGTTTGGCGTCGGTGGGTTGGGATTGTTGCGATTGCTTCTCGGTGGTGTGGACGTGGGCTTTCGTGCCGGCGCGGACTTCGCCGTAGGCGTCTTCGTAGTAGTTGGTTACGAATTTGTCGCCTTTGGCGGGGAAGTAGAGCGGGCAGGTATCCTTTAGGAGCCAGGGGCCGAGGGGGAGGTGGTAGAAGCGGACGCGGGCGTCCTGCTTGACGAGGCGGCGGTGGAAGTAGGGGAGGAAGAAGACGACGCCGATGAGGAGGCAGCCGAAGAAGACGCCCAGGATGATGCCGACGGCTTTGCCGGCGCCGAATTCCTCGAGGGAGGGGGCGGTGGGGGCTTCGACGACGATGAAGAGGGCGAGGATGGCGCCTGTCGTGGCGAGGTAGACGGGGATGAGACGCATGGCCCACTTGAAGGGATCCTTGCGCTCGAGGACGCTGTACTTAAGGATGCCGAAGATGAGGGCCGAGAAGCCGGCTGCGATGGCCGGGGCAATACCCCAGGATGCGGCAATCTGGGAGACACTGCCCTTGGTCCATTCCCAGTGGATGGGTGACTGAGCGGCAAAGCCGACACCGACCAGAGCACCGACAATCGTCTGAGTAGTAGAGACAGGCCAGCCCATTCCGGTAGCTAGCATCAGCCAGGCAGCATTGCCCATTTCCGCGCAGCCCATTGCCAGCATCAGAGGGCCTGGCTTGTTCTCAAACCGGTCGATACTGATGATGCCGGACTTGATGGTATCGGTCACGCGGGCTCCTAGGGCAACAGCACCGATGAACTCGGTAACCGCGGCCAGGATACCGACCTGCCACATGCTCAGCGTGCGAGCAGCGACGGACGTGGCGTATGAGTTGGCCACATCGTTAGCTCCGTTACCAAAGGCACTGAAGACGAAGGTGATGGAGGTGAGGGCGAGGATCCAGTCGTACTTGGCGGTTGCGGCAGGGATCATCTTGAAGTCAAGCTGCAACAGCAGCCTTGGTAGAGAGTGAGAAGGAAATTGATGAATGGTCGGGAACTGCAGACACAGAGAAGTGAGGGGTGCTATATATCGAGCTCGGCAGAAAGCAGGGATCCATGCGGTGCTCGCCAAGGCAGCTCGTGTGCTTCGGGATACTTCTGAGACAAAGCTACCTAACTCATCACAGACAGAACGTGAGACCACAACACATTCCCATTGGCTTCTTGCTTTGAATTTTCTGAGTGAGTTTTTCCATGCGCCAGAGCGGACTTGGCGCCAAGGTCCGCCGAGAGCTCGGTGGACCACAACCACGAAGCTATCAGCAAATCACGTCGCATTCCTCAGCACGTTCCTGAGCTGCTGGATATCATTCAAAGCCAAGACAGTTGGTAAAGTTGGGCAGTCTCCACGCGATGTCCGTGTCGCCACTTTTGGGTATCTCGGCGCGTGCATTGGCGGACTGTTTCGAAGTCTGTTGCGTTCATTCTCAAATCACACCAGCCCGATCTGGCATGCTACTCGTCGACGTCGGTGGCTAAGACGGTACACTTCCACCCGCAGCCATGGCGTCCCGTCCCGGTTGATAAAACGAGGTAGCACGTGGGATACTTCTCAAATCGTACGGGTGCATGGTGGAGGATTTTTGCTTTGGAATCATTACGATAGTCAATGTTTACTTGGCCACAAGGGGATTCTTCCTGCTGCAAACGTAGAAAAACATGGAAGAGGCGTTTGATTCGGCTACCCGGCTATCCAGGTCTCGGCGACATGCTTTGGATGCAAAGAAAATACACTGCTTGACTAGTCAGTTCGAGACAAACTTGGCAATAATTCGAAAACAAGAAGATTCGCAGCTTTAGTGAGGTTGGATATAGCACCAATTACTTGCTACAAAAGGAAAGAATATTGTTCGTAGCCGCTGCATGCGCATGGCACCATGTGTGGCGAGTGCCCTACAAGACACATGATTCCAAGGGTACGCTCCATTGCATTAGTTGAGATCTTGAAATGTCAGCCAACTACATGGCTTGTCTTCCATTCGAGTCATAGGCCAACGTCTCCTTGATCAACTGTCAATCATGTGCATATGTCATTATGGTAACTAGAATAACAGGATTACAACTGAATACAGCTCACTCTCAATCAAGCAAGGAACTTTTCCTTGTTCAGATCCACCCACTCATGAAAGCGCAATGACGGTCTCCCGGTATACCTTTGAACATTTCCCGATGCCTCCTCCGGTAGACCGAAGAAGCCACCTGATTCCTCCTGCTTGCGGAGCTGGTCAAGAATGGTCTTCGCTACAGGCTCCGGCAACCCATTGACCTTGATCATATCCTGCAGTGCCTCCTGCTCATCGATCTTGGTGATCTTGACTTCTTTGCCAACAGCTTTGCCAAGCACACCAACCGCCTCCCTTATCGACATCTCCTCCGGTCCAACAAGGTCGACATAATTTTTCTTGCTCCCATCTTCACCAACTGGCAAGCCCTTCACCAAAAACGTCCCAGCGACACTCCCAATATCCTCCGGCGCGATAAAATCAAACCTGGCCTCAGGATACGCCAGCTTGACCTCTCCTTCCAGAACCCCACTCTTCCACCACAATGAATTGCTAGCGAAAAACGCCGGCCGAACAGCCACATAGTCGTCACCAAAGACATCCCGCAAATTCAACTCCACCTGCGCATGCGTAAACGCAATAAAGTCACTCGGCGGGACGGCGTCGGCATCGCCGTGGAGGCTAACGCTAATACTGCTTAGAAACACGACCGTCTCGATGCCTGCGCCCTTGAGCGCCTCGATACTGGCGCGCATTGCATCCGCCGTGCCAAAAGCGAGGTAGATGAATGCGTGCTTGGCCCCGGTTTTTGTGACGGCGGCGTGGATGCTTTCGGGTGAGGTTAGGTCTGCTTGCACGCGTTCGAAGTTGCCAGTGGTTTCTTGCTCGGAAGTGAGGCCGGGGATGGACTTGGTGGTGTCGCGCATGGCGAGGATGACTTTTGCGCTGTGTTTCTGCGCGCTGAGGGCAGCTGCGGAGCCGACGCTGCCTGTTGGGCCGAAGACGATCACGGTTGGTGTGGACATTTTGTAGCGCGCTGATGCGAGTATGACTTTTTGGGTGAGATGAGTGAGAAGATGATGATGATGATGATGATGATGATTATGATGACTATGATGATGATGCTAGGCAGTGTCGGTTCAACTATTTATATTGACATCGACACCAGTACCATCATCAAGGCAGAGATATAGATTACGAATATATCGGTCTTTGCAATGTCCGACCGCCGGGTGGAAAAGCTGGCACTTCGTATTCGCCCATTTGAAAGTGCGACAGCGTCGGTAAGCGTTGTCCGATCCCCGACATGCTTGATCAGACGTCAAGGAGCATGATATCGACGACGCATATAGATTACACATACTGTCTTTGATAAACCGGGCTTCTCAGTTGATTCGACCGATGAGAACATCGATGAGATGTTAACATATTGATAATAAATAGTCTCACTAGTTAGCTTACAAGACAATCTATCAGTCATTATACTCAACCAGGTATAGTACTTACTTGCCCAAGTTACCTTATTGAAGCTATTATGGGCTAATCTTATATTCTTATTATTAATTATATCAAAGTTATATAATTAGAATAAAAAATTATAATTAGTAAGACTCAGGATTATATAAATAATCTAATACTAAGATAATATAATTAACTTAGAATGTCTTCTCTAACTACAGGATAGATGAAATAGTCTAAATTATGTCTATTTAACTATAATCTCCTTTGCCAAGCCCTTGTGAGGAAAGCTTTCATACTGTATGCATTCCGGACAACTCAAATAGGTATATAAGCTACCCTGTTCTGGAGAGAATATCTGTGAGAGCATCTAGGGAGTCTCGGATGAGGTATAGATAGTGGGATAGTATCAATGTGCTCATTCGTGAACTAATTCAGACGATGATACAGCACCCCCGCAGCTCGCTAAGCACATGTCTCGCAGTGCCTAACGATCTCTTAAGGGTGAAAAGTAGTAAGGGTAAGTTTATTGAGTTCTTGAATTTCCTAAGCCCTGACTGTGTCCTATGCTGCGCTATGCACTTCATCCATTGCTCATCTAGTATGATAGACCAGGGCCTTTCGGAGAATTCTTGGCGAAGCAAGAGAGCTTAGCAAAGGAACTAAGCCGCAGAGAGCGTGCCTCAAGCGGGCGTGCGGCGCTGTAGTGTGTTTGGCTGTGGCCGACAGCATGTGGGGGTAGGCACCCTTGCCTTCAGCCTTGCCCTTGAACTCATAAATAAGAGCCACCATCAACTGGCAAGACCGAATACTTTCTCCTGCTACCAGCCGACCAGCTCGACCCACATGCCCCAATGGCAACTCCAAGTGACCTACCGTACGAGGTGTTGAGGATTATTTTTTCAGGCTCTATCTCCCTCAGCATTATGCTACCTGCTTTGTGATGAACTGAGTAGATTTTCTGTGCTGTGACGCGCGCCGCTCGCTTACCGATTACGTTAACTAACTAACTAACGTATTCCACAAGCGAGTCGCCACCACAAGCAAGCCGCCACTTCAGCGCGTTTTGGACCGCGTCAAAGATCTCACTTATTTCAACCACCAACCATGCCTCCAAAAGCGCGTCAAAATTCAAAAAATTCAGCGGAACAGGAGGGAAGGATCCTATTAGCGATTTCTGCTATAAAAAACAAGCAAATTACCCAAATTGCTAAAGCTGCACGTGTATATAATGTACCACGCTCAACTTTACGCGACCGACTTTGTGGCAGCAATTATCGCAAAGATACACGCGCCAATAGCCATAAAATGACCCAAAATGAAGAGGAATCAACTTGTACGATGGATTCTATCTTTAGATCAACGTGGAGCGCCTCCCCGACCATCCCATATACGAGAAATGGCCAATATTCTTCTTGCTGAGCGCGGTACTACACCTATTCAATCAGTTGGAGAGAACTGGGTCTCTAACTTCATTAAACGACGTGATGAAGTAAAAACCCGCTATTCTCGACGATATGATTATCGACGCGCTAAATGCGAAGACCCTAAAGCTATTAGGGAGTGGTTTGATTGCATACAAATCACTATAATGCAGCATGGAATTGCAATGGAGGATATCTACAATTTTGATGAAACTGGCTTCGCTATGGGCCTAGTAGCTACTGCTCAAGTAGTTACTAGAGCTGATTACTATGGGAAAGGCTCTCTCGTACAGCCAGGCAATCGAGAATGGGTTACTTCTATTGAATGTATCAACTCTACTGGATGGGCGCTTCCTCCATGCATTATCTTCAAAGGAAAGGTCCATATAGAGGGTTGGTATCAAGATCAGAAGCTCCCACGTGATTGGAGAATTGAAATTAGTCCTAATGGATGGACTACTAATGAGATAGGCCTTCGCTGGCTTAAGAATCTCTTTATTCCCGCTACTACTGGCCGTACAACTGGGAAATACCGTCTCCTAGTTCTTGATGGCCATGGCAGCCATCTCACGCCCCAATTCGATCAAATATGCAGTGAGAATCATATTATTCCTATCTGCATGCCAGCACATTCTTCCCACAAGCTCCAGCCTTTAGATGTAGGCTGTTTTGCGCCTTTAAAAAAGGCGTACGGAAGCTTAGTGGAAAAGAAAATGCGCTTAGGAATCAATCATATTGATAAGCTTGATTTCCTAGAGGCCTTTCCAAAAGCTCGCGAGAGCGCTTTTAAAGCAGAAACTATTTGGAATAGCTTCACAGACGCTGGCCTAGTTCCATTTGATCCAGATAGGGTGCTCAGTCAGTTGAATATTCAACTAAAGACCCCTATATCACCGCCTAGTCGCTCAACCAATTCAGCGCCTAAAATGCCCTATACTGCTAGGCAGCTAGAGAAGCAGGCATCTGCAGTAAAAAAGCTGCTTAGAGCGCGTATACAGAGCCCTTCATCTTTGCTAGAAACGCGATTAGACAAGCTTATTAAGGGTCATGAATTGCATCTTAATGAGCTTATTCTTGCACGTGAAGAAATACGCGAATTACGCGCTTCCAATGAGAAGCAGCTTTAAAAATGAAAGCGCTCTACTAGGCAGCTAGCTACTGCAGAGGGCTTCACTATTCAGGAAGGCCTAGAGTGATTCCAGCGTGAGAATGAGGTTCATGAAGCTCAGGATACAATCCCTATAGATCCAGCGCTTTCTGCAGTTGGACCACGCGTATGAGCGCCACTGCGCTGCAGTGACTGTCATAATCTAGGACATAGGCTATTGCAATGTCCTAATTGAGTTCCTAATTAGTTTTTATATAGAAATGCAATTGTTTGGTTGATAAAGGCCCTAAAATCTTGCCTGGAGGTGGAATCGGGAGCAGAGGTGGCGGCTCGCTTATGGAATACGTTAAGATGCGAACAAATTCATAGTAAGACTGAAATATGATCTCCAACACGAGGTCCATACAATTTCCTTCTTGTTGCCTGACCTTCCTGTGCGTCCATTGACTGATTCTATACATCTGATCCATTTGCTGAGAGGCTAACCGAATATCAACTTGAACTTGCTCGATTCGTCGACTTACTGAGGTCAAACAAGAACGTCTTAGGGTGAAGGACACCATTAGCCATCCGGGTCAAACATATAGATCTGGCCATTCACCTTCAACTAAACCATAAGGGAGACATCTGCATTGCACTCCCAGCAGAACTTAAATACCTTCTGGGTTAATGTATCTCCTCATTGTTGGTATTGTCAATGTTTTGCCTTGGGGTTATTGGACAGCTGATGACGGATTCTTCTAGGCTTTGCCATCCTGACTAGTTTCCACTGCAACTCAGAGTAAATGGGGCCCATTACTTCAGTCCAATAGCTTTGGAAGTTCGGGCCTTTACATACTCCCTCAGCGCCACTCAAGAGGAGTAATTTGCCCTCGAATTGGACTTTAGTAGCAAGTTCTGAGAAGCTAGTCCGGCCCTGACGTTATGATCCTAGTGGTAATAAGCACATGCGTATCTGACACAGCCCTGGATGCTGCCTACAGTACATCCATAGGTAACTTAAGAAGATGACTCGCCTCTCAGACAATGAGGAACCTAGCCTTTCGCAGTTATTGGTAATTCGTTGGAGAACCGTTAAAGACAGTTTCCGAATCCCAGATATCTCAAAGCGTAATAAATGATATGAAAGGGACTCGGTATGAGCCTTCGTCTTTTTGGGGTCTCCCAGGCACTACACGCATTTTCAAGGTTCGGTACTAGGCATACCGTGATCTGGTGCCGGTGTTTTTGGTATTTGGCACGTTGCTGCCCTTTCACTGGATGTTCATTTTATCGAAAATATGAAGTCACTCAATGCACCTAAGGAAGGGTTCCCTGAAACTGTTATTCATACCTAAGTGTCATGGAGGTACCAGAGATATCAGAGACACCAAAGATACCAAAAGAGCCCAGTAAATAACGATGAGGTCTTCAGGACGACCTAGCCTAAATCTATACTAAGAGTAGACCTGCCTAACGTCTGTCCAAAACCTATATGCGTAAAGAAGCGCCGCTCTGAACGCCACTGCCGAGATGCCAACTATGGAACTGGGTACGCACAAACCCAACCAAGGGGTGTTCATCTAATACACATAATCGCATCCTGAGTACGAGCCTATACTCTATCAGAAGATCTAAGCTATTGCTTATTCCGGAGTGAGTAATGGGTGACAACGAAGCTTACACCTCAGATGACCATCATAGAAGTTCGTGGAAATATCTCAAGTGATCTGCTATGGGGATTCCATCGGTCTCCAGACCCTATTTTCGTTTCTAGATAGCCACCCCTAACACTGATCCTGGAACAACAGACCACGTCTCTGTTTTGAACACCAGCTCTCCCCTCGCCTCCATAAGCCCCGGATTAACATATACCTTCATCCCAACCGAATCCCGGCCCAGATTATACACCCTAAATATTACATACACAGATGCCTGATTATCAGGGTCAGTATCAACATGGCGCATGGTTTGCATCTACTCCGACCATAGTCAGCTGGTAAGTTCTATCATAAAGACTTTGGACTAACGCACCCGTTCATACTGATACCTGCTCATATAGAATGGGGTATCCCAAGAGGACGTCGTAGTCTTGATCTCTAGAAAATAATGCGGTCTCGCTCCGGTCCATGTGGCATCTAAGTACCCCTTATCGATGAATAGAGCGGTGAGAATCCCTTCCCTGTCGGAGTAGGTAATATCAGCAGTCTCACGGCCATTCCAAGGCTCAAGGTCGATGTAATCCTCGTGGAGGTTGACATATTCCCGAATGGTACTTTGCCAGTTATCGCGGCAGAAATCGGGTAGGGACGGGGTTAGACGACATAGTGTTTCGAAGACCTATATAGAACTGTTATGGTGTTTCGTCGATGGTATTGGACGAACGCAGCCACTTACGAATAGTTCTCCAGCTGCACCAATGAGTTTATCCCGGTAAAGCTTATCAATCCCGCGCAGCTGGAAGGGCTCGTTGCCAGGGTCAAGAGAGTCGGTTAGGGCTGTCATGTTAAAAGATCCTCTACTTGGGAACGTGGATGTTCTGGCGACATTGACAACGCTGCGAAGGATAGTAAGATAGGCTGTGTCAATCGGTTGAGCAGGTAGCACGCGATCCCGAGATAAGTAGCTTGCTTCACCAGGCGTCCCGCGTTGAGTAAATGGTATCCGGCTCGGGACTCGTGAAGGAGACGACGGTCCAGCATAAGGGGCAGAGATAACATCGTCAGCTAGAGTGACGGATGATTCGCTGCGAGTCGGTTGGATGAAGACCACGGCCGATGTAGCATCATCGATCGAGTCACGGCCTTCAGTACGCCGTTCAGTAAGCTCGTCCTCCTTATCGTCGGCCACCTCGTCAGCGGCCGTATCATCTGGCGTCTCAACCGACATGATACCATCTCGGTCAAGGGTCATACCGATGTACTTCGTTTCTGCCTGTAGCACCTTTGATAGAACGTTTAGAGCCTTATCATTGAATGGCTCACAGATACCGGTTGCCGGTTCAGTCATGATCCATTCCATCAGAGCTCGGGGAATCCTGTCCAGAAAGCATAGGTACTGCGCTTGTTTATTGCGTGGTACGTAGATTGTAAGCCCCGAGTCATATTCCTGGAAGTGGAGCTCGCTCTGCCTGACTTCCGCCATGATATCCTTTCCATCTTGGTTAAGATGTAACTCGGAACTAATTCCATCTGTTTCGCAGACGCCGATGTTCCTCAACATCTCATAAAGGGATTGCTCGCCAGTTTTGAGCCGCGGACTTCTGAAATGAACAGCAATACTATAGACTGATCAGCTTCTTTGTGCATTTACTATCTCTTAAGAGCGACGTACCGGAGCAACCCGTAAGCCTTTCGAGCAATGTTGCGATCCGATGAAGTCAAAGACTTATATGAATCGCCCCGCACCGTGGAGATCTCCTTTATCAAAGACGATAGATATCGTCTGTCCAGCCCGGTCCACTGGAGGAATGGCTCTAGGCGCGCTATCTCATTGACGTCGAAATCAAGAAACTTGGCTTTGTTGGAAAAATAATCTAACAGGTGCTTGCGGTCTGCTATAGCGAAGTCCACGGCGGAGCTGCACAATTCAACGCTGCCAGTTGGATATCTGACTGGGAACACCTTGGACCTTAAAACCTGGCTTGGGCTGGGAAGATCGTTCTCGTTTTGCATATACGAATTGAGTAGCCAAATTGTTTGTTTGACTTCCTCCGCTGACAATTTTCCGCTTCCTTGTTCCACGAGCTTATCATGAACCATCTGGAGAGTTAAGGTCCGGACACCGATAAGCTCAGTGAAGAATTCATCGAGGGCTTCATACGCGTCATTCAGTGCGATCATGCCCTTGATATCTGTCATGGTCGACCACAGACATTCGGATGGTCTGTACCACGTCTTCTCGTCATCAGACTCGTAATATATGAGCTGCTCCTCTTCGAAATGATCCCTTGATGTCATGAATGAGACGGATCGGATAACAATTTTAGGACTGTAATTAGCTTACCGGATCTTCTTCACGGTCGCGTCGTCCATCCCCGGCCGCCTCTTATCAAGCTCCTGATACAAGTCTTTCGCCAGGCCATAATCCATAGAGTCTGGAAGGTCCCTCTGGTACAGCTCAAGTAGGAAGTCATCAATCCCGGCGTTTCTTATTTTTAAAATACTGTGAAATAGGCCCCCGATATACTTTCCCTTCGTACAATCGTGATACCGTGGCTTCAAAGGGTATGAAGATTGCATATATCCAGGCGCATCCCACAAGCATTCATTAGGGAACGCCCAGTTAGCATCCCCAGAAAAGTCACCCGGCACGTAAATCAGGGGTTGCGTCTCAAATGCTGATCTGTGGTGCGATTTAGAAGTGGCACAAATTGACAACGTGCAGAATACATACACGATCATTTCACGGGAAATTTCCAGGGTTACAGACTCATGGTATCTGTTCTCAATCCGACTGTAGAGATCGAATATACGAGAAGCGTCGAACACTTTATTCTTTCCTCTGTTCCCATCGGAAACAAACTGCAAAATAGTTAGATAAAACTCGAGGTCGGACTTCGGGCGCCCAAATCCCAGTGCCGTTGTCAGGACCCCTAGGTCAGGGAATCCTGCCGCCTCGGAGAAATGGTCAAGCTTAAGCCATGGGAAAAATTCGCCCTCCCGTAAGAATCCGTCAGCATATTCGATCTGGGCAGTGCGCACGTAAGTTTTACCCAGCGGATAAGTCCTGTTGTTCTCGCACAGAACCTCGATGTTTAGCAGCGCCTTGACAAGGTCTGGATTGTTCGCAATGTATGCTCCTTCAAACGGCCAGTACCTTAAAAGGAACGGCAGAAATTTCTCCTGACAAGATCTGGCCAAATAGAGGCATTCTTCGCTCAAATGTTTATTGGAAGTGAGTGGTATCACGTCACGGATACCGAACATTTCGCTGATCCACGTCTTCCACGAGCGAGTTTCCTCCTCCGGCTTCTCTGGACAGTCACGCATATAGTCTGGATAAAGGATTATTGGTTTAGGATCAAATTGAGCAAGTAGCTCTTGGGGGGTATATGGCCCCTCGTCAGGAAAGTACCATGTCCCGTCTAGCAACGACTTGAGTCTAGAGGCGCTGTCCGTGAGTTTCAATAAAGAATAGGTAATTGGCTGGTCATGTTCCCGATCCAGATGCGCGGTAAGATAAAGAAACTGCAGATGAGAGCGGGAGGTTGCAAGCCCAGGAGCAAATCTCGTGTCCTGGTCAATAATTTTACGGCGAATGTCGCGCACCGAAGCCTCCTGAACACCTAGGCGAGCAAACAACTGTTTTCGAGCTGGATTATTTTCTGCGTCGGGTGCAATCAAGTCGAATATCCCGTCAGTCGGAACGGCATACCCATGCGCCTGGGTGAAATATACAGGGTATCTATCAAGGGCCGAAGGGCATTTCCAACTCCCTCCCAGCAAAGGAATGAGCTGAATCTTCTTTATTTTTGCCGTCGTGTTTGGGTTCTCAGGCCCCGACACACTAATAAGGTATTTCGCCACAGCTGAATGCCAGTCGTCGTCGGTATCGGGATTGCGCATAATTGAAGAGCCACCATTGTTGATATCTTGCCGAAGCCTGTCAAGAAATTTGAACCTGTTCATCCGCTTGAGGCCATAGTCTTTCAAAGAAGTCAAGTCTTTTAGTGCATAGTGAGAAGACAGATACTGTTCCGTGTCCAAGTCTGGAAGCAATGGCTTTCCGTACTTATCGCACATGCTGCTGGGAACCAATCGCATGTCTCCAATGCAACGCATGTTGCGGTGACTCCTAGTCCACATCGTGCTAGTTAGTTGAAGCTGACGGCGAATCTCGCCAGGCAAAGCTTTCCAGAATCCGTCCTGAGAGCCCCATTCAATATTAGGCAGATATCTCATCCACTGGTAAGCTAGGCTGGTGTGGGTGCAAAACTGTTTGACGGCCTGAATAAACGCCTGGGCAATTGCTGGAAGAAGTTTGATATTGCGAGCGGATGACCTGACGATGTCTTGCCTACTTGCATCTGTCACAAAGTCGGCTTGAATCAGGAACTATGAAAGTGGTTAGGAAAATATGCTAGTGCAAGACGCGCTACTCACCGGCAGGCCCATGTTTCGTATTGGCAGAAAAGCAAATACGTCGTGTTTTTCGATGATAGGGACGGAGTCGTGTGTCAAAGGAAATGCCAGAATGATACTCGTTTCAGAATATGCTTTCGTCAACAGTTCTACGTCCGTATATTCTCGATTCTCGCTTCTCGGTATGTTCGACGCAGTGAGCTTTGTCGTGTGGTAGTATTGGGTGCATTCCTGCAGCTCCCCATCCTCCACTATTTCCTGCTTCAGTGCGACTCGACCTTCGTCCTCGCACCGCATTGAGAAGGTTGTCTGTGAAATCTCCGTATCAAGATTGTCGCAGATTCTGACCTCAATTCTTCGTAAGTTCTTCATAAACAGCAAAAAGGCAGCCTTTAGCTCCCGAAACTGTTGAAGCGTGGTCTCCCGTTGCCTAGCCAGGTCTTCGGCCGACCCATTCTCATGAAGAAACAGAGTAATCCGGGTAAGAGGATGGGGTAATACTTCTTCACTCTCCTCCCAAACAGGAGAGATCATACCCATCCCGGAGTCTCCCACATTATGGCGAAACGAGAAGGAAAGATCGCGCGACTGAATATGGACTTTCCAAGCTACCATGAATACAGATTTGAACCCGATCCCCTTCTCCCCTATATACCCTTGAGCACCAGTCTTGGAGCTCTTTCCTACGTTGCAAATAGCCACCAAGTTCTCGTGGGTAAAACCGTCTTCATTGCACTCAACAATTATCCGTCGGTTGTAGACGCAAAAAGAAACAAATGGGTCGGTGGACGTTGATTTCGCAACATTGTATGAGTTATCGTCAGCATTCTGAAGAAGTTCGAAGACGAAGCGAGCGGTGCTGTTGTATAAGTTCTTCGCAAGACTGTGACGTTGACAAACCTGTTAGAAAGCAGCTGGAATTTATGAGGAACTGGTCATACGTTATCACTGAAGATCCAATCATCGCATCTTTCTTCAGCATTGCTTCTTCAACCTCCCGCCGAACATCTGGATCCATCCGGCTGAGAACTTCTTCCCCCAGGTAGCCATGTTGTTTCGAGATTTGCTTGACAAGAGCACGGGCGGTTGAAGACCCCATCTGGTTTGCCTGAACTGACATTGCTCCTACGAAAGGATGAGAGTGATTTGTTAATTCGGATCTGCTGGTGGTATAATAAGCCTTGGCAATGATCAAAAGTCCCAGTCGGGAGACATAGTCTGGTGGTGGGACTGGGCGACCCTGGGTGATAAGTCAAGACTCCCAAGGTTCTCTCGTATCTTTCTTTTTGTTTTGGATACGGATTACTGATTACGGATACCCTGTCCCAGCCAATCATAACCGATTTTCCGGGGGTGGTTGCTGGCGCGGATGTTGGCTGCTGCGGAGCACATGTCGTCGGATTCGGCCCAGCCTTGTTAAAAGGAGCTAGGATGCTGAGGGGTTAACTATGCGGGTACCGCAGTGGTCGCTCGCCGCAGTACGGAGTATCTGTGCCTTAGGAGCGCACCCACAACTGGTGTGGGTGCGCCGCACTGTAACCGTAGTTTTCACCGCAACCATAATGTACCTTCTATATATGGTGTTGTCACGTAAAAAGTACATACTTTTTAAGTCAAATATCTAGGGTATTTACTAATGGTAACTATATTTTAGATAGTAATATTAGATTTAAGAGGGAATATCTTATAAGCAAGAGCCTTTTCTCAAGAGTTGTAATCAAAAATTAGAGATATACGAATGTGCAGTTTTTCCCAAGGTAGGGTGTTAAAAACATTCCCTAAGCTAGCAACCCCTCCCCCCACCAACCCCAAAAGCAACCCCTGAAACAAAAGGAAAAGAACCTTGACATGTTATGTGTGGATTTCAAACATTATGGAACCATGTTGAGCCATCACTGCTTAGTTTCGCGTGGATGATATTTGTTCTTAGTTATTAGAATAATCCTAATGGGGAAACTAAATGTGATATACCTCCCCTATGCAGTCATTGTGCTAAGTATAACAGGAGAAGGAGACAATTCTTCTATAGTTAGATTAATTATAATGGCCTTAGCAGTAATAATTATCACGTTCGCTCAGGCAAAATCAACAGATATGGTAGCATTCGGAAGAAATACTAAGTCTAGAGAAGAGGAAGAAAAAGTATGTACACAGAGTAGAAAGATATCGCGGAGCGATAGTGCAAACAGGTCAAACATCCAGAAGTGGCAAGCGGTCAGCTGAGGCAGAAAGCTCAGAGGTAAGCGAGGTGACGAAGGATGGTTACGAGAGATGGTGACAGGCCGTCACAATAATCAGCTGATTTTCACAACATTCAATATTCGCGTGATACCTAGGCTATTCAAACAGCAAGGGAATAAGAGCTCATGTCTTCACTGACCAATAAGAAATCATTACTCCTCAGTCTAATAAAATGGCTATATTAATAGCCTATTATCAACCTGAAACTAGTTCCAGCGCGAAGTATGGACGGCGTCTTAATCACTCACCAACCAGGTGAGAGCAGGTGAGTAGTATGCAAGGTCACCCCTGCATGCTCACCTTGTTTAGCCCACTCACCTACTAGGTCGCGTGACCTCAGGGCGGCCACTGCTCACCTACTAAAACAACAAGGGTAATGGCGTAGTTTGCTGCTGAGTGGGAGAGTGTGTCCAATGTCATAGATTACACTCGCGACCTTCGCAGTCCAAGTCGGCAAGTCTGTTCAGACACTGAAAGGCTACTAGGACTCAATGCATAATACGCCAGATGACCTCAAATCACTACTAAGAGAAGTGGAGATCCTTGGCTTCATAATGGCTGACATTGACGCCAATTTATCACAGAGACCTTTATTATTAGGCTTGATAGACAGCCAGCATACTTTACAAAGCTTGCAGTTCTGTAAAGAGGCTGTGGAAGACTTAAAGGCACTTTACAAGGATTTATTACATCACAGCAGCTCATCCAGCTGTCTGTACGGGTCGTACCAAGCTACAAAGTTAGTGATACACAAAAGGAAGATTAAGAAGCACATTCAAAGCTTCGTAATGTGGTCTGGCTACTCATATTATCCTAGCAATGTTACACTAGGTACGGATATGTCTTACTCATTCAGTGTATTAGATAACTAAGGCAGCTTTGTACTACTAAAATTAGAGTGCTCATACAGGTTCACTGAATTTAATCACTAAAGTGATAAGAAATTGGGGGTTGTCTCCTCACACACAACTATTATAGACCTTATTTCAGCACCTCATTGTTAGTCCATCTTTGCGATTACCTTCTTTAAAACTATCCAACAGTTTTAATATGGGAATCTGGCTCCAACTATGGCGTTAGTGGGGAGCTCAAAAATAGAAAATGGATGGGTTAACCTTTGCACAAGCCGTCTTTGGCTTCTCCTTTGGCTTCTCCGCGTCCCGTACTGGATGTCATCCCAAGTACTGGAAATATCTGGCATGAAAACTCCCTTCGGATAGGACTGGTGGTTTCAACGTACGATAAAGTTCGCTGGAGTAGTAAACTTGATTATTATTTCTGGCAAGGATCTACTAAGAAAATTCAGGAGCTTTTTACCTCAGGGGACAGCTCTGGAGAGTAGCGGACAAAGTCTACATGTAAGTACCACAATCCTACGAGGTGAATCACATCTTAGCTTTTTGTAGTGACTTACCAGTATATAATCTGTGTTAATAGAGATGAGCAAGTAGTTGAGTTCCCCCTAGACTAAGGAGTGGTCCCATCTATTAATGGTGGATTGTACTCAATGAAGACACCTCTTCGCCTCATTTCAGAGTATGGGAGAAAGTCAGCATCAAATAATCCTACCTACTTTTACCATTCCTACATCCCCTACTCTGCCATTCACATGACCTCATTTATGTAAATGCCCAAGAGGCTGTTGAAAGAATATTATCTGAGTTTCATAACACCTACTAAAGAATTCATAATTTTGCAGCAACGCTGTTGTCCCATGTTTTATCAAATACACACCGGTGGGTGCGGATAATAGTGGCATCACAGATCATTTTTGATGCTGAATATTCCTACTATGCTGGAGGAGCAAACAATACCCCTGACTTAATTAAAACAGTTCTCAGAAAAGGCACATCAGAAACCAAAGACTTTCAGACAAAGTGTACTTTACGTTAACCTTAAAATGACCTTAATGCACTGCATTGCGCAAAAGCTGGGAAATAGTCAAGGCTTCCTACAAATATCTCGCCGGATCAATCTGGATGTCTGTACTGGATACGAAAGATTCTCTCGGCCTGCTAGACCCCACTATCACGCAGGATGGCAAGCTATTTGGGAGTCATGGAATAGTTTGTTTTTCAACTTTCTACAGGTTAGTGTAGATGTTCATCAAATTGTTAATGGCAAACTCTATTTATCACATTTTTGGAGGGGTATCTGGCTTCTTAGGTGTTCAACCAAGTTCCATGGCTTGAATAAGAAAAATTCCACATGGAGATTTGGGCCTGGCTGAAGGGTATGAAGGCCACTGGGCTGGATCTGAAAGGTCTGGGAGCAAACGAGAGCCGCATTTGGGAGGCTGAAATGTTCAAAGGGAATTCAACAAGGGGCTACACCAGGTGACTGGCATAGCTTATGGTCCAAACCCGGAAGACTGGTATATATAGCTGTCTAAATCATTTGATTCTTTTATGGGGGATATTTGGGCTTTAGTCGCGCGACCAGCTGAGACAATGCCTGGGGCCTGGCCAGGCGAATAGCTTCCAAGGACCGCACATGAGTGAGGACTTTGGCATGAAGTTGGACAAAATTGAAGAAAATCGATCGCCTGTACACTAACATAGAGAGCTGCGTCAACTAACATGAGGAAATCGTCTTATCGCCAGTAAGGAAACATCAAGCCGCTCCCAACGCCAACACTATCCATTCTATCTATATCGCGGGCATCGCTTTCACGTTTTCAGCCCATCCACGAATATTCTCTACGAAACTTCGGGTAGTTCCGGGTTTGATTCCCATGCCAACAAAGAATTCTGGATCTTGATTCTTGTAGATGTGCTCAAGTTCAAAACCGTCAGACAACGCTACATCGCACGCCTGCCGGAATGCAGTTTCGAAAGCGTCATCCTCTACATCACTCTGGGTTCAGTCAGGATAGAATTCGATTTAGCGGTTCGGTTATGCAACTCTATTTTCTATATCTTACTAATACTAACTAGCCATAACTAGGTAAAATAAGTCACAACCTCAGGAAACTAATAAAATGGGATAATGGGCACCTAAGTATATACAATCACAACAACTCTGCCTCCCTCTGACCAAAGCATGTCATACCTCCTCCGGCCCGTGTTCAGCATCATGCCCGGGCAGTGGCTCTGGCTCTTGCAGTCCCCATTCTCCCTCTCCAATCCTCTTTCCATAGAACTTGACGAGCAGCCCAACAGCCATCGGTCCAACGATGGTGTTAAGAAGAATGGCCCAAACTCCAGTAATGAAGGCCTCCTCACTTACATAGGACGTCTCATTAAACCCTATCTCGATGATGAGTAGACCAATCTCACCGCGCGCTACCATCGCAGAGCCCAAGAGCAACCCAGACAACCAGGTAGTGTTTGAATGCGACCTTCCGTTTTTCTCTCTCGGCGAGTCGTTCTGCAGCTCCTGTGCGCCATTTCCTTCCTTGGACAATTCCTTCCGTTTGGGAGGCCACAGAAGTGGAAGGTATTTCCAGAGTGGAAGCCAGATACCGACCGCAAACTAGCCAGTCAGAATAGGTTTGATGTCTACGGCTGGGAAGTACATACCTTTGCAACGACCATCAGAAGAGAAAACACCACTCCCCTCCAAATCCTTGTCCCCGTCCAGAGCTGCACAAACGGAATGGCGAAGCCGATACTAGCGAAGAATAGTGGCTCCATCAGATAGGACTGCACATCGAGCAGGTACACCTCAAAGGTATGTACAAATGTGGGACTCTTGTGCGCTTCGCGTTCCCCCTCCTCACGACTCATAACCACAAACGGACCGGATGGATGCTTGCTGGGGATATAGGTCAAGAAAGCGCCGGCGAGAAATGCGCCAAAAAGGACAGAGGTACCCGCGTATGCCGCGATGGTAATGAACGCGCAGAGGACCAGCACCATAAGAATGATGTTTGAGACATGATCGAACTGCGCAAAAGAATGCTCGATATACCGTCGGAAGAGCCTCGCAAAAACGTATTTTGTGAGTAATGGGGTGAGGACGGCCATGGCGACGGAGGCGACGATGGGCCGGCCGATGATCCAGCCCAGGTTGAAGCTGCCTCCCCCGGAGAGTTTACCCAGGTTGGCTATTATGCTGTTGATGATTAGTTTGGTTAATGCCGTTCATGGTAATGGTGTTTTACCTCAATAGGACGAGACCGACGACATCGTCAATGACGGCAGCGCTCACGAGCACGGCGCCCACTCGTGTCTGTGCAAGGTTTACAGATCTAGCTGCAGATTTGATAACTGCAAATGTGGTGCCTGTAGAGCGTCAGAAGTGTAAACGACGAAGGAGAGGCGGACAAATACCAAGAGAAGTTGCTGATAACGCGGCACCGACGATGAAGGTTTCCACCGGTCCTGCTCATGGTTAGCCAGGCATACTCTTATAGCAATAGGATGGCCTACCATATCCAAACCCTAGGTAAAGCAACAAATAGGAGAAAGCAATCGGGAAGAGAACCCCAACCGCAGCTCCCAGAAGACTGAGAATAAAGTTCTTCTTGAGAAGATCGAGACGAGCGCTAAGCCCTCCTACATACTGTTAGTTCCGTTCATGTAATCGGGTGTCAGACATACCCTCAAAGATAATCAAAATCAAACCGACGTAACCCAGCACGCGAAAGGTGTCCTGCCAGTGTTTTTCTAGGATATTCGCTAAAGGTAACCCATATATGATACCCACTGCAATTTGCCCGATGATTCCGGCTTGGATGACCCTCGCAGAAACCCATTCCGCCAAAGACAGGAAGAAGAAAAATGAGATTATAATAAGAATCTGGACGACTACAAACCATGATCAGTCCAGAATATGCGCTGACCGGGCATGTCTGACTTACTGCTTGGCTCGTGATATGGCAGGAAACTGCCTGCCATGTCCTTTTCTATATTTCCTCCTGGAAAAGCCGTACAAGAAGCTATATCCTAAGCTCAAGAAATTCTAGGCATATTGAAAATTTGAAATTGAATATGATGAAATCCGCCGCAATTGGTAATATCACGTGCCGTAGCCACTGGTGACGTCGAGAGGAAGACGCCCGGTTCAGCAATTCTCGTCTCCATGTCCAAAATTGGTTTGAAGAATATCTAAGTTTAGGAAACCCACCATGAAGTCGTGGCCCATTTTCCCGAGGAATGAAAGTGCTGCTGATTTTTCAAGTCGATCCACCTTGGCCCAGTAGAGCAGGGAAATTCCCCGCCAATGCTTTTGGTCTGTGGACGGTGCTTGGCGGAGACTTGGCATGACGGTGAAGAATATACAGTCATTTCTCGGACATGATACAGCTCTGTCGACTGTATTACTCTAATGATCTTTTTAATATTATAACGAGCCGCTTTCCACACCTGCTATGTGGTTACTAGGTCTATATGCCCCAGTACTGTTAGCAATCTTAGTTTAGGACTCTTACCTCTGATTTTGGCACATCCCATATAACGAATGGCTGGACCTTCAGAATGACTACACCATTGGCTCGCATAGTGGCCTGATTTGGAGACTTGTGAAGCCTGGATCTTCAGAAAATCGCAATTCAAGATATTCATATTCACAGATACCCAGGTCACTCATCCAGTGACTGCCCAGAGATTCACTCCTCAAGAGGCTCAAATTTCTAATAACTTGCCTTGAAAGCAAAACCTTTATTCACTGCAGTTGGGGGAGACCATACTCACCTCTAATAGATGTCAATGATTTCTGCTTCTATGTTTCCCGAATCTCCTTTCTTCATCCACTTCCACTGTTCTAGTCATGATCATCTTCAGGAATGAATCATTGAAGCTAGCGTTGATCTAGCTTGAAGTTTTGCTCCTTCAGCCTTCTACTCTTTACCCCTGAGCACGTGGGGTGCGGCCGACACCGAACAGACCCTCCAAATGGATGAGACTACTGTTGCTTGCATTCACACTGCTACCGAAACGACTGCAACTCGTAGAACGCCAAACGTATCTCGTAATACTGACACCGCTGCATCCACTGGCAATCCGATGGCCAGCCCAGAACCGGACCAACTTGGTACACTCGGTCAGTGAGGATGTTATGGTCATCCGAACCTTCGCAGCCGGTACCATAGCGAGAACCACTTTGTACGACGTTCCTGCCTCAATGTCATTAACATTCTTGGAATGAAGTGTGGGACCCTGGCTGAAAGGGAAATTTTGTGTGTTCGCAAACCGTCCGAGGAACAGACCGAGACCAACGTGGTCCTTGGTGTCGACAACGCAACTGGCATCGAGGCCAGATATGTTGAATGTATCGCTCAGCAACTGTCGGAGATTCCAAGGCTGGAACTGAGCGTCCGCAGCGGACGACTTGTATGCTGCTATTTGCACCTGTCAATCGTTACTGCCTGCGGTAACATCCGCTGACTGAACTAGGAGGCAGGGTTGCAGCCGACTGGCCATTACCAAGGAGGGTCCCACACTCGAAGATCCCCCGCTGAGAACGTTGAAGATGAACAGGACAATGACGAAGAAGAAAACGAGCTCATCAAGCCGCCAGTGTGGGTTGTACTGCTCGAAAGAGCACGTTCTTATCGTTCCACCTTCGTTTGTTCCCAATCCTGTGTCCAAGCACCCAATCTCACATTGAATAGAGTGTAGCAATGTTGTGAAGGCGCTGCCACAGCTGGCTGCTGGGCTGCACGATCTGATTAAACCGATGGTTCTCGCAGCGCGCTGCAAGAATGTTACAGAAGATAACACCAGACAAGTGGAAGTGTTGTTTTCAGGCACGTAGGCCTGATGGGCGGGAGGGTGCACTGTGGAACAGGCCTGCGATGCTCGTTTCGTACTTAGCGACCATCACCGATATGTCACTAAGAGAGTGCTTTTGTTTCGAGAATGGCGGCTGCGTCGGACATAGAGTCGCTCTTTATCCTCGACTCGGGGACAACATGGTAAATCCGGTTGCCTTTTCTACTCTGAAACACTGCTAGCTAAGTAGGCAACAGGTGGTTATATCACCACGGAATAGTCGTTCCGATGTGGTCGAAATATCGTTGAATCTCAAGTACGGCGGACACGTTGAGGTCTTTCGGGTCGAGCTGCTCGATCATCCGCTCAAGGCACCTCAAACTAAGCCATATGACCTTCGAATTACGACACGACCATGATCTGTCGACTAGGTCGTCAAGAGCACAGGCATCTATGCCATTGCTCTTTCTCATCTGTCCAAACTGTTCCCTGTCAAGCAAGGACCCTCCAGGCAAAGACGCGTGGGCCGGTTTGGCTATGAACTGCCTTCATGGAAAACACACCCAGTGGTCTCTGTTGCTCATCTTGAGCCATCATACATGACGCATATGCCAGAACAATGTCTGAATACGAAACGCAGCTACTGAAGCTAGTTGGCAGAAGAACTTCAGGCCTCTAGTCACCGCTCTTGGATGCCTTTGCCACTGAGGACATTTCGATTGCACCAAGAATGTACCCTGTAATTATTGTTGGGAGATAATTAATGAAGATGATCTGTGCTGCAATCCTTTGTTGGTTTGCCATAGCTCACAGACGAATTGATGAACGAAGGCTTGGAAAGTGAGATAAGCGGCGCTATCCATTACTGCAGATTCGATGAACAATTCGGCCCCCAAACAAGGATCCGTAAATCCATTGTTGATTGGTTGACTTGTAATAGACCACGATTTATGCTTGTTCTGGGCTTTGCACTGCCCACTTAGTTCGACACCAGTCATGTTAAGGCCCAAGCGTCACTTGTTCCAGTATGATCAGCATCATATCTAACCAGTTCATTCATCTATGTTGGTTTTAATTTGTCAGCTGAGTCCAATGCTCCAATTGAGGTCTGTACTCCTCTTTCGACACATTTGAAATATTCAACATGCAAATCAAACTGTTGATTGGCGCATATGACGTTTCCGTAAGCTGCAGATCCGGACTTCACAGCCAGCTGAACGATCGGCCCTTTTTCAAAGCCCGAACCCATGTTCTTGTGTTCCCACTGTTGCCTTATGGTCCCTCATCCTGGCAGCTCATTTCTGCAATTCGACACTAGCATGTCCCTTATCCAATGATTCTTAACCCAGATGTTGGATTTATGCCTCCTACAGGCCCACGTGCCGCAGAACCATTCATGAATCGTGGCTGAATAAATTCCCACGACGCCCTTCGTCCGCACGTAAGGCCGAGGATTTTTCTCCTGCTGACATGACCCCGGAACTGGGATCTCACTCGCCAAAATGCTCTTCTCATCGTCATCAGCATCATTTGCCGTCGTGTTGCTGTTAACACAATGGGCGCGTTCCACGATCGCCGCACAATGCTACTTCTCAGACGGCAGCAAAGCAGACAGCAGTTACCAGCCATGTTTCCCGGATCAAGACAATAGCCCCTGCTGCGCGAGTAACAAGCCCAAGAGCATGGTCAACGACATTTGTTTAACGAGTGGACTGTGTCTGGCACAGATGCAGGGCTTCGCAGGGTTGATATATCAGAATGGGTGTACCGACCAGACCGGAAAGAGCAGCCAGTGTCAGACGATTTGTTCTGGCTGTAAGTGCGATAGACATACTTCTAGTGGTTAAAGTTCGATTTTAATGTATTGGTTTGCGTATAGCTACGTCGGGCGGAATCCACCTTCTCCCTTGCCCGGCCAAGGGTGTTAACAAGTGGTGCTGTAGCATCAACGGGACAGACTGCTGCGATAACGCGGGGACAGTCGCCATCGGCACAATCTACGGATATACAAGCACATCGGCATCATCGACATCAACATCAACAGCCACCGGAACCGGAACGATAGCTACAACGACGGTCACCACAACAGCTGCAGCCGGTAACGGTACGGAAGTCTGCTCGGATTCGAGCTCGAAGACGACCGCGGTCGGGGCGGGGGTTGGGGCGGGTCTGGGTGCCTGCTTGGTTGCGACGCTATTTGCGCTCTGGTTCCAGCGACGGATGTATCAGAAGAAACTGCAGCAGACTGGCGGATACGCGGGATACAGTCCTGCCAGCATGACATATGCCCAATCTGGGTATTCGAACCCGTCGAGTGGTGTTCGGCGGAATGTCTCCGAGCTGCAGTCCAATCATGAAGTCATCCATGAGGCAGATGGACGAGAGGCACGAAAATGATTGTTTCCTCATGCAGAACTGCTATTTATGAGACTATCGTCAGCGAACTCGCCGTACGTGGATTAGAGAGCGTGAGGTGGCATGATTTCTGTTACACCAGCCTCCGACCGCAATTCGACCAGATTAATGGGCCATCTTGTGGAACGACTCCTTGCTTTCGACAGCTGCGCAATCTCCATCTCTCATAGAGGCCAGTGTTGTTGCCTTGATCATGCGTAGGTTTTGCAGGGAAAACCAGGCAACTGGCTTTGGAGCTATTCTGGGAGATACATCGTAGGGCTGGAGTCCATCAATATGGTCAATTGTTGATTTTGATTGGTGAAATAAGCTTCTGTCAAAATAGAGACTGGAGTTGTGGATATATGACAGATTAATGGTTGATTTTCGTTGGAAGATGATGCGACAAGTCTCCATCCACTGCGTCATCGTCATGGCCAGTTACTTGGTCATCTATGCTCAAACTGGATTGCGATCTGCACCGGTGACATCGACGGATAAACAATCCAAATCAAATCTATAAATTAACTCTCCTGATTTAAGTAGTATAGTAGCTTTAGTATTCATCGAGTAACCTCGGTGAAAGTCGTGGTGGGCTTGCTCAGCGGTGGTTATATATCCCAACATGTATCGACTTTCTACATTCCTCCTAGCCTTAGGCTCTGTCACCCTGGCAGACACCAACTCGAATAACTTCAATCCCCTCCACCATCTGGCGGGAATTTCCCCTTACTTTACACCAAATGACCCTCAGCTCGACCCCTCGGTACCACAGGGCTGCAATGTCACCCGCGCAGCTTATCTTGTCCGTCATGCCGCCATCTACGCCAACGATTTTGACTATGAGAGCTACCTCGAGCCATTCATCCAGAAGCTGCAAAATACCACACAGGATTGGTCCAAGACAGGAAGCCTCTCGTTCCTGAGCAAGTGGAGAGCGCCAATCACCGAGGCACATCTCGAGAAAGTCACCCGAGTCGGTCTGCAGGAGTCGATGATGTTTGGCATCAACATCCACGACAAGTATCCAGACTTCAAAGCACCAAAGAATGTATGGACCTCGACAGCGGAGAGAACCGTCAAGACCGCACAGGGATTTATCCTTGGATACACCGGCAACGGAACGACCCAAATCAATCTCACCCAGGTCGGGGAGTACAAGCACGACGGAGCCAACTCGTTAACCCCGTACCAAAGCTGCCCGGCATACAGCTCCAGCTACGGCTCCAAGCAGTCCAGCGTACGTATGGCCCTTCGCCTCCACCCAAGCACAAGCTAACAACCACAGGAATTCGTCTCCCGCTACACCAAACCCATCATCGCGCGCCTCCGAGCCCTGGCCCCCTCCTTCAACTTCACATCGGACGACATCGTCGCCATGTTCGAGCTCTGCGGCTACGAGACCGTCATCCGCGGCTCCTCCCCCTTCTGCTCCCTCGACCTCTTCACCGCGACTGAATGGCTCGCCTTCGAGTACGGGAACGACCTCATGTACTTCCACAACACAGGCTACGGCCGTGACTTATCCCCCGCCATCGGCTTCCCCTGGCTCAACGCAACGAGAACCATCCTCGCCGACAAGTCTGCCTCTCAAGGCCTCTACGTCTCGTTCGCCCACCGCGAGCTCCCGCCAACTGTGCTCACCGCGCTGGGTCCGTCAACGCTTCCATGCCTACAGACGCGATCAACTACGGTCGCGCGTGGAAGAGTAGCCAGATCTTACCGTTCTTGACGAACATTGCGATTGAGAAGATGGCATGTGATTCCTATGGGTATGACGACGGGGTGTACTACCGGGTGCTGGTGAATGAGGGTCCGCAGCCGCTTGTGGGGTGTCGCGATGGGCCAGGGGAGAGTTGCTCCGAGGAGGCGCTTGGGCGCTTTGTGCAACAGCGGGGAGAGAGGTATGGGGATTTTGGCAAGCTGTGTGGGGTGGATTATGAGAATTCGACGGACGTGTTGTCGATTTATCAGTAGCCGGGTTGCAATCACTTGATCACATTCATGTCGACCGAGAAACTTTGAACTAAAAGCAACAAACTCATAGAATCGCCAAAAGGCTACCTATCTACAAGCTCCAATCCCCCTACAAGCCTCGTACGGCTCCCCCACCGCAACCATATACCTCTCCGCATCCCTCAGGAATCCCCTCCGAAAGTCCAAACACCGCTTATCCACAAACAACCCGCCCCGACATGTCACGTCAACCGCATACCGGAAGAACTGCTTGTTGGTGCGGATGTTCTCCGCGCCGCCCTCCTCCGCGTGCCGGATTTTGGCATCCACGCTCATGGCGTAGTGCAGGCAGTCTGCGCAGTAAGCGGTGGTGCTGTGAGATGACTCGTGCCGGGCGTAGAGGTAGAGGGCTGTTTGTAGTAGTTAGTACTCTGTATTGAGGATAGGGGGTAGATGAGGGCTTACTGCATGTGAGGATGAAAAGACAGATTACGATTAGGATTAGGTGTGTTAGGGTGGGCTTTCGATTTGCCTTCATGTTCATTGTGATGGATATTTGACAGGGATTGTGACAGTTGAAGGCAGCAACAATCAATCATGCAGGAAACGTGGTATATGCGGGGAATTATACATGGCGCTAGGCCTGATTGATTGATGTCAGATCCAGCTTAGGAATAGCTCGGTTATAAGTCTTGGAAGTACGAGATAGACAGAGAGTACTTTGCTGAGCTAAATATAGGTGTATTGTCAAGTGATATACGGCCAGCTAGGCATCCTCTCAGCCATAGGAAATATTCACGATACTAGAATTTGCGTTAAATGTGTATATTTTCGAATAGCCGCGTGTATTCATCTTTAAATCTAGACTATCAGATGAAGCCATCCAGTAGGGATCAGTTGCAGCAATTATAGCCAACTATGCGGATCATTCCTCCTCTGCCAAGATGTCGTCAAGATATTCAAGGAAGAATCGCAACCTTCGTCCAATGGATATTCGCAAAATTGAAACAGCTGAACACATTAGCTTGTAACCTCCGAATTACTCTATAAGATCTTACCTTTGACTTGTTATCCGTCTTCACGATCTGCAAACTGTAACCATGGGTGGCAACCCCATAGACCACACTATTCTTTCCCCTCTGTCCTACCGATTCCTATGAACTATTCCTATTTCCCGATTACCATCCCTTCAAGTTCAATGTCCCGCTGTCTGAGGAGAAAAGCCATGACAAATATGCTTACCCGTATACGCCAACAAAGGATTGTAGGCGTCGCCCCATCTTTCCTTTGCCACAACGACAGCAAGCAGATCTCTTCGCTTCCCCTCCGGGTTGATGAAGCTGATGGTATGATAGGACAAGGCAATCAATCGCCGTGTCTCCATCGCAAAAGGATGATACATGTCCTTTCCTTTTGTGGTGCAATAATGAAGCTCATACTTGCCAGCAACAGTTCGAGCCTTCTCAAATCGCTCCACTGAAGCTTCCAGGTGAGGCAACAGGATAAGCTCGCATCTTTCCCGAACGAATTTTCCCGGGTTGCGCTGGAATCGCCTGCGTTGAGGGCTATCCGCGGAGGCCGGTGTCTAAGAGGGGAGAGAGACTGCATTAGAAGAGCAAGGCAGTGGAGGAGACAGTAACACTACATCTGCTTCTTCATACCGGGGAGAGGCTCGGTCAGCATATGGATAAAGTAGTGTAGTGGTTTGAGCATGAATTTAAATGGCTGACACCTGAGACTCAGGGATGGCTTTGTTCTATACATATGGCTGAGTCGACATGGTCTAAAATAACCCAGTCTGAGACGATCATTCATAATTTGCCTTGTCCATCAAGATAAATTCATTCACTGACAACAGCAAGCAACTAAGAATAGTGACTGATAAATGTCTCAGAAGCATACAATTTCAAGTGATATTCAGCATCAGGTATGCTATATAAACCCCTACAATCACCCTCTCTCTCCATCTTCCATATCATTCCCCATCAGTCATGGAAAACCTCTAATCCAGAAACAAAACCCACCTGCCTGTTTCCTCTGTCTGTATATAACATATGATTGCAACTTTCCTCTCCATATCATGTCCCTTTTCCTAGGCGGGATCAGGACGCCGAACATCCAGCCGACAAAAGCGAACGCTCAGCAGTTACCGGCTTCTAGCTTCAACACGGGTATAGAGTCCGTTCCTCCGCGGGCCCCGGTGGAGGAGGTCATTGAAGAGGAACGAGTAAGTCCCAGGCATATAAATCTGATAATTACTAAACAGTGCTAACTTTTACAGGCTGTTAAACACCAGGCTCTGCAAATGAGTGGTCAATATATTCGAGCTCTTCCGGTTGTATGCAGCTCGGGACGCCCAGCTCCAGGAGCCAGATAATGCTCCCAACTTGGCAGGCGCATCCGGTCTCATTGGAACGCAGAGAAGTCTCGGTGCTACTCGACGGCGCCGACAAGGACGCAGAAGAGGACTTCGATGATGAAGATGATGACAACAACCAGTCGGTAGCATCCGAGAACATGGATGTCGATGACCATATCGCAGGTAAGAATGCCTTGATCAATGAGGAGTATACTCATGCTGATCATGCATATAGCGGAGAATATGGAGAGGTTCTGCATCCGGGTTCCGATATCACTGAACCTTCTTCTCCATTGCGACTTAAGCAGGTGATATCCCCGAGTCCGCCACCGTATTCAGGGCTCTTCGACAATATGATCAAGTCGAGCTATCACAGGAGGTCTTATCTCTCTTCCCTAAACGACTTCGAGGTCTTATACGGGATCCATTCCCGGTAGATCAGGGCGGGGTCCCAGTAATGAAGGCGTTTCCCAAGACAGTCTAATGGAAGACTCGCCTGCGCCACGCACGGGAACATTACGCAGATGCGAAATGGTGGGTGATACGCAGACCCTTTGCTAGAATTGATTATTGGATTGGCAACGAGATGGGGACAATGGGAGCAGAAGCTGCTCCAGTACCAGCGGCACAACAAGACAAATAGTTCATATTGCACATCCTTCCGCTGTCTACGACTACATGTCTTTATTTACATTGACAGATTCCAAGGAACTGCAAACGTCGGGTGCGAGGAGCTCAGTGACAAACCCCGAATGCAGCAAGTTTGAAAACGCAAAGGGATATCTGTACCCGAATGCGAGTCCTCGCCCCTCCTCGCTCATTCTTCATCTCCTTGTTCTACTTGAGAACTTAGAAGCGCGGGTTCTACAAGTTCTTCACAGTACAGTGGGATCAACCACGACTCTCTGCCCAAGCAGTAATTAATGGCATTGTTCACAAGATCCCGAAAATCAGAGAATTCAAGGAGCTCGCATAGGCTCTACCTATCAAATCAACCATGGACTGGTTGCCCAGGAGGTTCTGAGTCACAATTATGAACTGCCGATCACGCTGCAAAGAAGCAGTAATAGTTGGGTGATATTGAAAATGGAGGCACCCTTCGTTAGGGCTATCACTTCAGTATCTGCCAGCTAGTAATACAACATGATCTCCCCTCTTTCAATGAAGCTGCATCATGGCTTATCCGCATGACCATTTAAGACGATTATCATGCAATTTACCGAGACAGCGATAGCATGGGTCGCTAGTATTGTCAACTGGTGGAAGAATACTGGAGCCGTCTCGATTTTGACGCGAAGACCCTGAGAACTTTGCGGAATCTTGCTGATCAATGATTGATACAACACAGGCAATAAGCTGGTCGTAAATGCAGTCGTTTCAATTATTTAGTAATATGCTGTCATGGCTATGAACAAAAATGTGGGAATCAGATTCAACATGCTCAATAGCACAGGAGATCAAAAATAATCCGAGAGTAAAGGGTCATCAAGCATCAGCCAACTGAAGGTATATATCATGCCCGCACGGGATCAATCCGTCTCGGGCCGCTGGCCGTAAATAATACGGACCTTGGTGTAGAGATGGTAGGTCTGGTAATCGCGCAGTTCCTTGCGCATACCCGCGACGAGCACCTCGATCTCGGGACGTGACCAGCCGAGATACCGTGTAAACAGGGCGAAGGAGTAGGGGCCGACGGCTTCGAACATGTTGACTTGGTGGTAGCGACCGAGTTCCTTGAGCTTCGGGTCTTTGGGCCAGGGGCTCTGGGGGAGCTGCAGGGACCGTCAGTATGGTTCGACTAGGAACGTATGACATAGTAGTACCTTGTAGATGTCCTCGCGGACGTTGATAAAACCTGCCTTCTCCATCTTCTCTTTCCACGTTCCCGCTGTTGTCATGTCTTTTCCGTGCTTCTTCGATGCTGCATGCATGTTCTTGACCCCCTCAACCATGTTAACAGCCTTGAGATGGGTCCCGTCGTCGGAATACGAGTTGACGTCCATGGAGGCCATTTCTAGCCAGCCACCTGGCCGCAGGTTCTCATATGCTTGTCTGAAAAGATTGTCATGGTCGCGGATGGCTCCTTCGAGTTCACGGCCGTGGATGTAATCGAACGGTTGGCTGTAGGACCAGGGTAATTCGAAGTCGTCGATCTCGAAGCGGCAATTGGGAGGGATCCTGGGGGAAGTTAATGGGCTGTCCGACCGGAGAGGTCAAGGAAGGTGTACCATGAGGGTTGGATAGGACTGAGATCGTTTCCTGATAGCAGCCACTCTGTTAGTCGTCTTGCAATCCGCACTCCCGCAATCCAAAACATACCAATGACCTCTGACTCGGGGTGCTCGCTGTCGCCCCACGTTAGTCGATCGCCTCATCGCAAATGATCCAAGAGTTTCTTACTCCGCAAAATCAATCGCCCATATTCCAGTACCGGTTCCGATATCCAACACTCGTCGGGGGTTCTTGATGGGCGCGGCGTGCAGTTCACCTTTGAGGATGATGCGATAGATGTGGTGGCTCTAGTGGAGAGACGATCGATTAGCTAAGGACGGACCCCGGTCAAGGGGCAGAGTCGAGTCGGCACTAACCAGGTCCAGGCGGTCTTGTTCTTGCTCGTCATTGGGCTAAGCGGTCAGCTTTGCGCGTTAAGAACCGTCGCGATCATGGAAGGGTATATACCAGCACATATTCGCCCTCGTGGAAAGAATGATATCTGCGACCGTTCTAATGCGGGTTTAGTATATAGCCTGCGACAAACACAGCAGAGGTGGTACCTCGTAGCTGTTTCGGCTTGATCAGTCGCTGCAAGGTGAAAAAAGGGGAAGAGATCAATGCGTACGTGTAGTTCATGGCACTTGATGTGATACTGGTGGTGTAGCTGGCGTCTCCGAGACTGTAGTTGATGTTAGTTGGGGTACCGAAGATTGCGACAGATGAGGCGACTAACGATCCATTGTAGGCGGAGTCGGCATCGCCAAAGTCCTACTCATCCGTTAATCCCAAAGCAGAGGTATATCTTGAGATGAGGCAACCAACATCAGGCTCGATGACACTTGGACTCTGCTGTTGTGGTTGTGTATTCAATTGTGGTGGTGGACTGGCCATGATGGTGATGGTGATGTGATTGATGATGGAGGTGGTGGTAGAGTGGAGGAAGATCCGAGGGATGGAAGAGAACAAAGACCGGAAAAGTCAAAGGGAAAAAATAAGATTTTCTGGTTGGTATGGGGAAGAACCAGAAAAGAACAAAAATTGGTTAAGGTAAACTTGGGAAAGACACTTTAAAAAAACGGGTAGCGTTATTTAGTGCAGTTCGCAGAGAAGATCGAGAAGAATAATAATAAGGATTGTCAAGGAAGAATGTGACTTGTCAAACTGCCATGCATTGCTCAATCCTTTTAAGTACCTGACTGTCGGCCACTCGTGCAGCCTTCATTAGCGTCCACCATACAGATTATCTGGCACTCAGTTTGACTAGAGTCTAGACTTTTCCATACGGCAAGAAGCATTATCATCTGCTGCTATGTTTTCCGTCCTTTTGTCTTTATTATTTCCCACAGATGATGCTCGATTTTCAGCGCCGCTGGAAAGAACCGAAATTATGCATTGTACTTTGTGCACATGTAGGACAGATCCCGAGTCGCCGACCGACTTCCTAACTTGACTAGGACGACAAGGGTTACAAGGCCATAAGGTCGATCGAGGGTATCATGGTCCATTTTAGGATAGATACAGCGTTCATTCAAGGGTAGCGGCTGTTAGACTCCACTAGAGCGGTCCACAAGCGTTCAAGTGCATCCGCGGGGCGTCGGATGTAGGTCTGGATGGGGAAGGTTAAGGCCTTGGAGAGCCACTCAGACACGCGGTCATTTACAACGTCCGTCCTGAAGAATCACTGTGCTTTCTGACTGGTGGTACTAATGTGGGTACGGATGGGTACAGACTGAGTGGATAGAACATGGGTGTCTTTTGACTTGTGTCACGGCTGAGTAACTTGGCTTGGATTGAAAGTATATCCCTCTAGACTGGCCATTGATATCAGTGATCACAGTGATATTGAAGTTTATCAAGAGTCTGGCCATTATCAAACATTAGATGGGCAGGACTACAATGGATGCCTTGTCGCTCGGTACCTAACCTTCAGTACAGCGTAAAGTACAGTGTAACACTTATACACAAACATACGGAATTCACCCACCATGGCTCCTTTCGACCTGAAACATTTCGTCTTGTATTGTAAGAATTTGTAATTAAAATCACGTGGCGGACAATACCCGGCCAACAATACCCGGCCGCACTGTGGATATTTACAAATTAGATGAAGTGCATCAACTGTCAAGGCAGAGAAATTAATAAGGTACCATTAATGCTCACATCTTCTACGTAATACCACCTGGTCGTCTTGATGTTAGCTAATAACGGAACATAATTCCGTATCTAGCTCCAATCCTTCTCTCCACCAAAAACGTAGATACCACTCAGCTCAAACTAAATGTTACACTGCAACAGTTCCTCCTGTCATCTCATGGGCGGCGGCCCAGCTATTGCCACGTCATATGTTCCACCTGATTTCGCTCGGCTCGTCATATCCGTATATGCACTCGATATCATAGTCGAATTGCTACAATTTAGGGTTCATATTATTTGAAAAATGAAACCGGTCTGATCCGCTTTGATTGTGGTGGATCAGCCTGGTTGCCTAGAGTCCGTCCATCAGCCCACACTGGCGTCTCATCTGTTTCTCGAAAGCCCTCTTTGCGGAGTCGACTCGAATATCCAAGGCCACATGCTGCATGAAAACCGTCAATATGACTGAATTTGTGTGAAACCATGACGAAGGCAAGTGGGACCGAGCCTGACTACCAAAGTCTATCAAGGAGGAGTTGAGAATCAAAAGGACGGGAATGCCGGATGTTCCCGTGTGCGCCGTTTGTGGAGTGTCAGCCCATGTGTAATTGGCACATCCTACGTGCCTTTTAGGATGCGTGCAGGAAATCCATCCAACAATTCGCTCGTCTCTCTCAAACTTAAGATTCTTGCGTTTGTACTCCGTACTTTTTGTTGTGTAAGGCGCCGGATTTTCTGTCACGATTGCGGCGCGCTCCGAACTTACGCGAGAAGGGGAAATGGAGAAAGGGCGAAAATCCTTACTTATCTACGGAGTACGCGGTAGATGCTGTTGATGCGCTATGACATGAACAGAAGGGTCTGGTTGGCTTTGGCCCAGCTGTGGAAGGGAGTGCTGTATGGCATTCCCCCTTAAAACAGTGCGGCATAGGTACTGTACACAACACAGGTATTCTTTCCGCGTCCTCTGGAGACCGTCAATCATCTCAAGAAGCTCATCGAATATCAATAGTACATGTGGGCTTCTTATCGACAAACCCTTTTTGATGGGATGGACAACAGGGAACCGTCTCGGCCTCTGCAGGCGCCT